TACCAGGAAGGAAAAACGTGGTTGCCGACAACCTCTCGCGACCACCCTGCTCGCCAGGAACTCGGGAAGAATGCCCAGTTACGGTGGACGAAACAACCCAGCCAGGGGCAACTAGCGCATCGAAACGCAAAAAATCATAGAATAGTTCGAAGGACCGTACGCGAATTCAAAGGGCTACCATTACTAGACCACAAAAGGATATTTTATGTCGCAAGGTATCCTATTCCGACGCCTACCAGACGATTCAAAACGTTGGCGATCGACCTATTCGGATCTGAAGGCCCGAACCAAGAACAATTGATCCTTGTAACAGAAGACAGTGAGACATAACAAGATGGATTGATCTTTCGCCTTAGAGAAACTCGACAGCCAATCATACGCCAAAACGCGATTCTTAGAAATTTTCCTCCGCTATGGAACCCTTAAAGGAATAGAAGCGACAATATGTCACCCAATTTATTAGTAACGTGATGCAGCACTTCACCCATTGCCTAATAGGAATCACCCAATCCTCACTCCCTGTTACCACCCGATATCAAAGGGGGAGAGAAGGAACTGGGATCTACTGGCCATCCTAGTAAAAGGAGACCATTCAAACTGGACCCGGCAAACTACCTACCACCGATTTGCTTTGCAATGAACACCACGCCCTGCCAGATCACGCAGGTTTCACACCTTCATATCTCTCAATGGAGCGCGAATTCAGAAACGCACGACTACGAAAGAACCAACTTCATACGAGACACATTCGTTCCCAAAATAAAGCCGTATCTCATTCCCCTCACGGGGACCCTCAGGAAAACCGGCCTAAACTAAAAGGAAAGGAGATTGGGGATCGCAAACGACGAGAAGCACCAATATGCAAGCCAGGCAACCTAGTCTCGCTAAGTACACATCCCGTAAGCAACCGGGCATCAGTTCCAAATTTGTGCCAAAGTGGGACCAGATCCTCCAGGCTCTTTAACCTACAACCAACGAAGTCAAGGACAAAGTCACACCCCATACACTGGACCCATGGATCACAACATTGAGTCTTAACGAAATGAGGCCGCTCAAGGAAGACGCCCTCATAAATACTGAACAGAGATCGGGACGTTCTCCTGTCCAGTAAGGGAGATTGTAACGCACCCCACAACGGCAACCCACTTTGCATGGTGCACGTGCCAACTAAGGGCGCGAAAGCAACACTAATCTACCCCTAACCAGCAGAGGGCATCAACGAAGAAACGCACTTGATATAGGGACAAACCTTATGTAAGTCACTTGAAACAAACTTAAGACCACAGCGGAGGTAAGGGGCATTATACACGTCAAAACCCGGGCAAAATGAGTCTGACTATACCCTCTACTGAACAGAACGCGCTAACCCAGAAAAGCAAGATGGTTGATCTACAAAATCTGACGTACCTAGACCTCTGCAGGTTGTAAGGAGTACGTCTGCATAAAGAACTCGAATAAGTTGGAAGCGGTGCAATCCATCGCGTTACGGACTATCGGCAGGGCATATATACAGGGTTACCCGACATTCGTCGCAGCATACGAAAACGCCGTTAGCTGCGTGCAAATATGAATTACAATACGGCGTACATATAGTAATGCAGGTTTCGACGCAGCATTGGTCAACGAGTTGGCGATGGTACTAGGATTCGTCACTACTCATCGGATAATTCCTGTCACAATTTTGACGCGTAATTTTCGTCTCAACGCGTAATGCTCATCACAACTCTCAAACGTGTTAACAGTAAACTCGTCGTTGAGAAAATTGTTATTTTTTTCGTGGAAGCGGAGCTCTATCAAATCCAACAACATGTTGCTGATTTAAAACTATTGTCTGATAAATTTCCCATCCTCAACACTGCTTTTAAAAGATCTCATGTTGAATATCAAAATAAACTCCATTTAGCAAAAAAACGATACTTTGATTTAAAATACTTAAATCCGTAAATAAAACTAAAGCTACATGGGATGTTATTAACTCGTTAAATGGTCGGACTAAGAGCGTAAACAGTATAAGTATTGTCAGGGATGGAGAGACTGTTTCTGATTCCGAGGCAATTGACTTATTTGATACTCACTTCAGTCGTTTTTATAATCGCCCTAGCATTGTAAATTCCAAAGGAAATATCTCCCCCTCCACATCGCTTAGTACTTCAATGTTCCTGGCCCCGCTGGTTGAAGGTGACGTAGTCTCTGCTATTCGATCACTGAAGCCATTTTCATCCTCTGGAGTGGACGAAATAAATAATAATTTATTAAAATTAGTCAACAAATTAATAGCCAGCCCCCTATGTCACATTATTAATTTATGCTTCCTCTCTGGTGTTTATCCAAGTCGTTTAAAAACCGCAATTGTGAAACCATTGTTAAAAAAAGGTGACCCAAGTGATGTATGTAACTACAGACCAATCAGTCTGCTTTCTAGTTTTTCTAAAGTACTCGAATATTTAATTAATAATCAACTTATCAATTATTTAACAAAAAATAATATCATCAATGATTCTCAACATGACTTTATGAGAGGCAGATCGACTGATACAGCTTTATGTCAATATATTGCAGAAGTGGTTTCGGCAGTTGACAAGCGTCTTTTAACTGTTGGTTTATTTATTGACTTTTCGGCTGCTTTTGATACTGTTGACCACAAGAAATTAATTAGCAATTTGTTTGAATCCTATCTTAGAGATAGAACGCAATTCGGTGAATTACCTCAAGGTCCAGTGTGGTTTGTCTAAGCCCATTTTAACAGGAGTTCCTCAAGGCTCAATTCTCGGCCCGACGCTATTTATTCTTTACAGCAATGACCTGGTTTCGTATCTGAAAGAGGGCGATGATGGCGATTCTACATTTATCACAACATATGCTGATGACACAAATATATTAATTAAATCACGTTGTATAATGTCTTTGAAATTGCAAATAAAGCTCACGCTAGATAAATTAAGCACATGGTGCAGCAACAATAATATCATACTTAACGCTGCCAAAACTACTGTGATTCCGTTTGGCTAAAAAAATATGATTTAAATGAATTCACGTGCTGTAAGACAACCAAAATGCTTGGGCTTACTGTAAGTTCTGACTTGGGTTGGTTTGCTCACATTGACACTGTCTGCAAATCACTTAGAAACTGTTGCTATTCTTTAAGCGTTCTTAAGAAGCTATATGCAACAAATCAACGTTACTGACTTTGTACCACGCCAACTTTCACTCTCATATTCGGTACAATATATGTACTTGGGGTGGCAGTACTCACGTTCAGCGCATACTTGTTCTGCAAAAACGCGCTATTAGAATTATATGCTCTTTACCTTTCAATACGTCGTGCAGACCGATTTTCAAAGAATTAAGGATATTGACGGTAATAGACACCTACATTCTGGAGATATGTTGCTTAGGGTTTAGAAAGAAATCGTTTTTTTTAAATCCTGAACATGTTTACAACACTCGACAGAAGATGTACTTAAACCCTGGCAAACACAGATCATCATTGTTTCAAAAAAATTTAACGTTTCGAACGTGTCAAATTTTTAATGCACTACCGCCAAATATTAAGGCCATTAAAACCTACCAAAAATTTAGATTTGCATTAAAACAATTTCTAGTAGAAAAAGCGTATTATCACCTAAATGAATACTTAAACATTTGAAACCTTTTAAAATATTTATTGCATGTTCGTCACAATTTTAGAATGTATCTTTTAATGTGTTTTTTAAATGTGTCGGTTTGTTTTAATATGTTATACATTTTGTAATTTTAGTATTTGTGCTAAGTTTATTGTTTGTATGTATTAGGGACATGGTGTTGCCACCTACTATAAGGTAAAGCAACAACGAATAAATAAATGAAATGAAATGAAATGAACGTGTTTAATGACAATGTTAGAAGAAAGTTAAAGTAGTAATTTGTCGGGTACGCGCGAAAGAAAGGAAAACATGACGTTACATAAATGATGAAAAAGTTTGGTGGCGTAATGAAACACGTGCGGCCGGATTGCTGCGTCGGAATAACCTGCATTTTATATAAGCTGTACGCCGGCATTTGTAATTCATATTTGCACGCAGCTTAACGCATTTCGGTAGCTGCGGCGGAATGTTCGGGTAAAACCCTGTATATTCGTAAGGAACCAAGATATCCGGCAAACCCTAAAGATTTTCCCAGATTATAGAACACATCCGCTAGCTGGTCGAGGAAAACTCGACAGCTTGAACAATTCAGACGTGGAAACTTTTAAGGAACGTCCGCTCCCCAGACGCGGGACAGAACAAAACTATTTCTGTCTACAAAGCAATGGTGACTGGGAGTGGAAAACCCGGCATCGCTACAAGAGCAATCGCACACCTTCTCGACTTTCCATAAGGAGGAACAAGAACATCGTCCGCGCTGGCGGACACAAGAACAAGAAAAGGCGTCCCAGGAGGGTTTGCTATACAAAAGTAACAAAATTAAGAATATAAAAAACAACAAGATAGAGTGCCTAAAGGGAAAGATCAACACGCGAATAAGGTGGACAAGGGAACTCACCGGGTTTCTCTAAGCTTCCACCACCGTTCGTATGCGTAAGGACGTTGGTGCAAGTGAGGGAGATAGTGTAACACAATTAGTGGACTGCCCGAGAATCGTCAACTGTGATTAAACATTCTCTTGTTAATTTAGTTAGTAGTGGTATTTATAATACCTCCCCTTTTAACCCACCCTCTGTCTTTCTCTCAGCCTCCGCTTTCCTTTGTTACGGTGAACTTAAGACATTCTTTTTCCTCCTAAACACCTGAAACTACTCTTCCTCTTTTCGGTCTTTCCTCTTCTTAGTATCCCCATTCATCCCCATCTGCACTAGGGGCTTGCCCGTTTCCGCAGCTTCGCTATTCGCGCTATCGTCTGCACACTGCACACTGCTGCACCCTCTAGTGAGCAAAATATCTAAAACCGGTATTTTGCCGTGATTTTCAACTTCAAACCTCACTGATGTCTTGGTTTATTGTTAGAAACAGTGTAAGTACATCTAATTGAAATAAGATCGATGTAATCAGTAATAAGTGTTTTACAATAGAAAATATTATAAACAAAATGAATTGCACAATTCACATTATATATATTATATAACAATAATTATTTGCGAAACGCGATTAAGTAACAGTATTCGCGAAGCAACAACCCATATAAAACCTTAACAACTAACAACTTGTAGTTAATAAATAAGCAACTTTTTGATCATAAAAATATTAGTGTAAAAACATAAAAAAATATAAGTAATTATAAACAATAGGAAACAGCAGCTGAACAGATGTGAGAATAAATATTGCTCTGATATCTCACTTTCTTTGAGACGTTAACTCCTCTTGAGGAATATTTAAAATAATACAACAAAATCGCGTAGTAAAAGAAACTCGACAATCACAGTGTAGATTCCAAAAAATTACTAGACTAACCATCAGAGGTACACATAATTTAGGTCAATAAAAAAATTTTTGACTAGCAAGCGGTCAGTCTTCATTCTTGAAACGTGCATAAATTGTCTGTACATACGTAAACACACATTTCCAATCAGGCTTACGTGTTGCGACCATGTCATCAACATCCAGGAGGGGTACAATATCGGCCTTTTCGCTACAAAAGAGGTAACCAGCATTAAAATGCGACTACCTTCCAAACACTTACTCAGCAACACGGAAAGCCAAGGTGAAATTATGTCGACGCTCTTTTGGTGTGAGTGCGTGGTAGTCAAATGCGTCAGGTAAAAAGTGATGAATCAGAGCACAAAATGCCAGTCCGTCCGCCCAGCTGCTTGAAAAGTTATCTAGTTGTACGTTCTAAAACAGATAAAAATCGTTAGTTTCGGCAAAACGTGCGAGCGAAAATATAAACACTACTCCAAGAAGCGCAAATTACAGTAAAGCCCCAACCAAACAATAGCGCTAGAAAAAAATAAGTACAAAGCAACCACAACAACAAGAAAATCCATTTCGTCGCTACCTCATATTCCTTAGTCTTCATCTGACACCATTGCAACAGTCGTTCCTTTACGGTCATCGCCTGACGATTTAGTTCGGGATCAGTGAACTTAAAGAGTGGTGCGGAGCCTTTAGGAGTTCTAGGGGTTCTGCCAAGCCGAAGACCAAGCATTAGTATACAATGAAACTAACATATTTTGTATAGTTTGACGGTTAGTTGGTTACTCAACGCAGACCCGAAACCTACTAAACCGACACGCATTCCATTTGCAAGGATTCGCTAAAAAGCTACGGGAACGCTTTTTGATTTTAAAAGATACGTTCGAACATGGGCGGAGGATTTCTGGAGTGTTGCTTTATGCGCCACGCTATGCGGTCATTAATACAATCAGTAATAAAATCGATCCTTAGAACCGTGAATCTCGAAACCTATCTCGAAATAAGCAGTTGATTGTTTCATTTTGAACCTTTTTTGGTTCTTTTAGAACTCTATGCCGTCATTATTTGTTCAATCAAGGTTTTTTTGAAATCCACAGTTTAATACCTACAACTTTTGTACAGAACTTATTTACAAAAAATTTACAGCAAAATGGAGGTCATTTTAAATTTTGGAAATTAGATTATTTCCTAGAATTCTTAAGGATAGAAACATTTTATCTCTCATTTCCGTTATTAATTTTGTTTTGTTAAATGTGGCAGTTCAGATTTGATTTATTGGGCGCTTCGTTTATTTTTATAAAAGGTTGATGTAATTATGATGCATTTTGATCGAAAAAATTTGGGTAGAACATTGTGTATTTTATATAAGATAATTCCGCGTAAAATTTGCTTAGGTGACTGAAAGGGGGGCCTTTTTGCCAACTTTGAGGTCGAGTTGATGTTTAGAAGATGCGCATTTCTGCGTTAAAGTTTGGTGGCAAAGTTTTGCCTTTCATCAAATCCAATTCTGTTTGTTGGTTTGTTTAAACGAACGCTGTTGTAGTCCAATTTTGATAATTGCGATGTTACGTTTACTTTCATTTGTGTGTATAGAATAAAGTTTGTATGTTGTTAAATCATGCAAATCGTGTGTTCCACAAAACTATTAAAATGTCTTTCAGCAAACATTTGGGGATTCATGAAGGCTTAAGGGTTCGTAAAGCTTCGTAAAGTTTCTAAGCTTTTTAAAGACTCACTCCTTAAAGACAAGACAAGAACTCTAAAAGCTTCTGAGAAAAAAAAAACTCTTAATTGGGCCCTTTTTTATAGAACGTTGAAAACCAGACCATGAAATTCTCTTATTTCAATCAAGATATGTTAACAGGTCAGAGGGTCTAACAACCACAATAAGGCTGTAGAGACCATTAACAACTCTTTAATAGAAAACATTGGTAACTCATTCATTATTATTAAGACGCTTCAAGACCAATAAGATCTTTAAAAGTCGTTATAAATTCCATAAGACTCCCCTTGAGGAACACTTTTGATGTTTGTTAAACATTTTTGAGACCTTCTATGGGTAAAAGGTAACAGAGGTAGAACAAATGAAGGAAATGATGGGAAGAACGAAGAGGTTGGGTACTAAATGCAAAGAAATAAAAGGAGATAGGGGTTTTACGAGGGGTGGTTATGTACGGAACGGAGATATGGGATGAACTAGAAGGGATACAAAGAAGATGCTATAAATGCGTGCAAGGACTAAAGGAAGGAGATAAGCATATCGTCGGGACGTAGAGCGGTAAGGTTCGAAGAGACAAGTGGGAAGAACAAAGATAAAATACTACGAAATCAGGTACGAAATGGATACGAAAGGGTTGAAGGCAAAAGGGGGAGAGGAATAGGAGAAAGAATGGAAAATCAGCTGCAACAGAGGGTGAAGACAGAGAGCGCACGAGGAAGTGGGTAGTACTTACAAGGATGTCATAGGGGAGTGGTTAACTCATCATAACTTTTATTGTTTCCTGTTGACAATATAATATTGTATTAGGACATGTCACAAAATGAAGAAAAAAGAAAGAAAAAGGGAAAGAAAACATTGATTACGAAAATACTTATGAGAGAAAAGGAAAAGTATTAAAATAATGGCGACATTCAGATCTGGAAATGAGGAGAGGAAAAAGGGAGCCAAGAAGAAAGAAAGAAACCCTTAATGTTCTTCTTTAAAACTTGATAAAGGCTTTTAAAACCTCTTAAGAACTTTTTGAAGGGCAATTGCTTAGAATTTTTTTTACCCCAGTGCCAAAGTGTAATATTGTGGAAACTGTGGAAGTAGTTAGCAACTGAGAGTCGCGGAATCCTAAATATTGGAAATGGGCTGAATATTGGTTTGTAAAATTTGAAGCTATCGATGGTAAATGTTAACTCTGTAGCCGCAACACGGAAGTTATCAACGATATACTGGATGAAATGAGGATTATTCTGGACCGTTCTCAATCTGGCAAAATGCGTTCAACTACAATCTAAAGAATCGACAACACCGATAATAAAGATGCAGGCGCCATAAGTCGAGATGATCCCAGTTTTAAAATAATTAAGTCAGCTAATGAATTGTGAAAATTTGCTGGTAATTTTTGTGGCCGTTATTAATTGCTAAATAACGTGTAAATAAATTTATTTAACGTTTATCTATGATTTAAATGCAGCAAAATAGTTCATAACAGGATAAATTTCTTTGCTTTTTCAAATCTACAAATAAACTATTCTTGAAACAAATTCGATCATCATGCACCATGGGTGATCAAATTTAATTATTTTTATGTTTTAGTTAAATTCCCCAAACTTGGGATATTAGGTACATCTGTAGGTAGGAGGTAGGAGGATTATAAATTAACCTTAATATGTTTATTTCTAGGTGTAAACTGTTACTTTTTGTATGGTATCTAAATCCTACTTTGATTTGTCTCCAGTTTTTTATGCGGCATCTCATGACTCATCAGAAGTGTTAGTGAAAGAAATGTTAATTGAAAATATCGTCTCGCACGTAGGGATTATTATATTATTTAAGAAAGGCAAGCTCAGAACTAATTAACTTATATACTTTGGGAAACATTTATCGGGGAAAATTTAGAAATGATCAGATTTTGATAAAAATATACTAAAATTTATAAAGAGATAATCAGAACTTACCCCGGAGAGGTGTTAAGGCTGTTCTGCTTGTCAAGTTGTCTAAATTTGGCAAACGGAGACATCGGTTTCTTCGATATTTGCTGACTGGTCACTCTAGTAGTGGTCACTAAAAAGAACTTCAATTACTATCGCGTTCATTCACAATGGGACTATACCTTGAGTGGTCGTCACTGGACCTTCTGTTTTTTCAACGACTTCTGAAAAAAGCAAAATTATTAGTACGCGAACGTTCACTCGAGATTTGTAAACACTAGCCTAGATATCTACTAAGACGAAACCGTCATGCACTTTTCATCGTTTGGTTAGCAACAGAGTTTTAAAATAAAAATAACTGCAAACTATATTATAAGAGTAAATGTGGGAAAAAGAACAATTAAGCGAAGTGCGTTTAATCTGCAACCAAAAATTGAAAAAAAAAAGGTCGACAGTCTGAAAAATTCTTATCGTCGTGCCGGTACGGCCCAAAAAAAATATAAAAAATCTTGATCCTGCATATTAAACACACGTAGATAAATGTGGTAGGAGTGTACAAATCGGTGAGTATTGCCAGGTGTGCAAGCTAATTAGTGGGTGCGCACACCGACACACTTCTCTCACCGCATCTCCTTGCAATGTGGTCCAGAATGAAGATTATTAAGGTATTGGTGTACGCACTCCACGCACCAACATAAAATTTTGTGCAAATGCATCTCTTCATCCTTTGCGAAGGTAAAAAATTTCTGAGAACGGTTTTGGCACGCTTTGAAGTTAGGCACAAGCTCTTACAACTAATTTCGTTCCATGATTTCGAAACCATTTTACAATCTAAATTTTTCCATAAAACACAGAAAGGAATGAACTACGTACATCAGTCGTAAACGATTAGGCGTGTGATTTAAAGAGATCCTCGAATGATTCCTCAACTTTACTCTCATCTAACATGTCTGGACAGACTATATTGGGCAACGTTTGACTGCGAGAAACACCCACGCCCATCTGCTTGTGCGCGGAGACCTTTTCCGAGGTTTTCTTTCTATTAATACTCGATTTATTTACTTTAACTTCCGCCTTGTCATTTGGACCGTCGTCAGTCATTGACTGTGGCGAAACGCTACCGCTAAAATACGCCTCCACCGACCTTTTCTTCTGGACAACCTCATCCCTGGTCATTCCCGCTTGAAACTGAACGGTGGGCACTGCCAGCGTGTGACTTGATTTTGATCGAAGCACTGATTTCGCACTGGGCGCACTGATCGGTTTCCTTTGGGTCTGCTGCTGGTCGTACATTAACTGATTCCACATATCCGCCTTGCTGAACATTTGCTGTGAGGGCGATTTGGAGATGGGCGACGGAATCGTAACCGGTATGTGGAATTTGCTCGTTATTACAGATTCGCCGTTCTCGTTGATTTCGGTCGATTCCATCGAGAGTGATCTGCCGTTCACCGAGAAGCTCGGTTGCGAGGTTTTCTTAAAGCTTTGCGTTTTTCTCTCAACGCGTGCCGGTTTCGGCTGGGAAATAATTGCGGAATCGACTGAGAACTTTCGGTCCGGCGATTTTTCCGCAACCTTCTGTAGGGCGTTCTTTAAATTTAGCGCGACCTCCATGTCGTGTTGGTTACGGCCTTTGGGCGACTTCTGCTGTACGGTTACGGCCTGTTGCGCTACCGGACCCTTCATCACCTTCGCAACCGCCGCTTCGTACTCCTTCAAACTTTCCTGGGAAGTCTGCCTGGTGTACTGTGCGCTTGGGAAAACTGGCGGTGGAGCTGGATTTGATTCGTATTTCGTTGGAGCCGGATTGAATTTCACAAAAGTCGACGATGTGTAACCTTCGGGTACGTGGCGGTCTTCCTTCACTGGTGCGATTACTCTAGTGGGATGATTTTGGTATTGTTGTTGGTAAATTGGAGTGGGTTTTTCTTCGTATTGTGGAACTGATTTGTTCGTTTGGTAGCTTGTATTTGGGAAATGGTGAGCGTAATCACCCTGTAACTGACTAGGAGGATAACTGCGGTATTTGGGAGAATTCCATTCCGGTTTGGTAGTACTTGGAGCAGGGCTTTTATTAAATTGGTCACTGATTTTTCGTACTGTATTCGACGTATCGGCACATTTATTAATATAAGGCGCACTCACCCTCTCCAACTGCGCGTCTTTCTCCCCAGAATACGTAAATTCTTTAGTCGCCTTCTTTGGCTTCCTAACGGGTGGCTCGTGTAAATCAGCGGAGGTTCTTTGCTCAAACTTAGTTGCGGCCAGCTTCTGCACGCCATTAGTGTTCACCCAAGGAGCACTTGACGGTGAAGGCGTACTTGCGTTAGGTATCGGTTTGGGGCTGTACAAGAAAAGAGGCGTATCCAATTCGGGGTCGGTGCTTTGATAATCGCTCTTAACGAAATGATTTGCTTCAGGGGTGACTTTCTTCGGGATCGCAGCGAACGCCGATGTTGGGGCGTGTGAGAATTTATTCACCGGCAAAGGTTGGGGAACGAATTTGTAATTTTTATTGGCATCTAACCCTTTCGTCTCCACTTTCAAACTGCCGGTCACAACCTCATTCTCGTTAATAGTCGGAGTGGCCCACGGCACTTTCCGCTCTTGGAAATTTTCAGATCTCCTATGGATGTGCCTGTTTATCTTTGGTTCATTTCGGTATGCCACCGCACTATCCGCAGTTTTCCAAAAGTTTCTGGCAGAGTTAACGCCTATAGTGGGCGTCACAGATGCGTTAATAGAAGCCTTCTCAAACGCCGTCCTGATATTACCAAACCGGTTGTTCCAGTTATTCCCACGTTGACCAGCGCCTTGACATTGCGGTCCCCACGAAGAGCCCTGATCATTCTTTTCGTTGTGTTTGTTAATAAACGCCATAAACTTCTTGTCGCTTTCGGTCTTCGGTTCGAAAATAGGCAAACTGGTATTACCAACTTGATTGCGTCCCACTCGAATCGGTCCCCGAAGGGCCAGATAATGATTCCTACGTGAACACTGCTTATCTACAAGCGACGTATCGCTATCATAATCATCATCGCTTTCGTAAATATTCACAGGTTTTGGAATATCAATAGTGTTCGCCCTCTTGATTTTAAGCTTTTTGTTATTAAATCTGTTCTGTTTATCGTCGTCTTGGTAATCCGGTCTAGCGTAAATTGGATTATTTTGCAATAGGGTTTGTTTTTTCAGCGCAACTAGATCATCGTCTGTTTCTGATTCTAGCGTCGTAGTTTTCTTCTGAATTTCGGGTAAAAAATTTGAAGAAACAAATTCCGACGTACGCGGTTCGGCTATCTTAAGCGAGGTGAGTGGGTTCGATAATTGCAATACGCCGGTAACTTCGGTTGGAGTGTGAATAGTCGAGGAGGTACCTGAAGGACTAAGACTGCCAGGACTTCCGTATGGTTTAGCCGTCGTATTTTTAACGACGGGGCTATTTTGATTTACATTGGCCGTTGGTATTGAAAGGTGTCCCTCGGAGATTTGCTTTTCCAATGTCGGTTTGCTTCGGCACAATCCCATTTCTTCCACAAGACGTCTCGCATCTTCTAATTCTTCACTACTGACACCGACGGTGTGCCTATTATGCCGGCGTTTCTTCAAGAATCTTCCGTGACCACTAGAACGCCGTTCGCCAGCACTCAATTGTTGACTGGACAATCCGGTTTGTAATCGTGTCACCAGCTGCAGCAGTGAACTACGCCGTTCTTCGCTCATGTCGTGCGAGTTTTTCAAGCTAGTTGCTAACTTAGCGAGTACGTTTTGCACTTCATTTAAAAGGCCGTTACGCAAATCTTCACCGGATTCGGTTCCCGAATCTGCTGTCTGCTCATTATCCGGCGCATCTAATAAACCCTGAAGAAGTGGTAGAAGAAGTGACTCACCCTCTACTCTTCCACTGGATTCCTGGTTGGATTTTGGATCTGCACAAACTGTAAACGGTATTAGATTATGAAGACCGCAAGCCAATCAATTACCTTCTTTCTCCGCCATTACGTCACGAAGTCTTCCGCGGATAATGCGACGCTCTTCGTAATCGACACTACGTTCAAGCTGTAAATCATAACGATATACCACGAGGACATAATGAGAGAAATTTACCAATAATTTTAGTGTAGGTTCGTCCCAGATGGTTTCTAAGTCCTCTAGCGTGATTGGATGCGTAAATGTACGTGTTACAACGGTCGGTTTTCCACCCCCCTAAATGAAAAAGGGAAATTAGAAAAAAATTCAAACGATGTTTTAAATTAAACAGAAGTGCGCTGAAAGTTTTTCATATTATCCCGAGCCAAATCTAAGGTCTTCAACATGTGACCAAAATAGGCGAGTCCAACGGTTGTTCTAAAGTTGGGTCGCCGTAGTCTTTTTCTGTATCACGATTGTACATCTTTGTCCATCATTATGACAAGTTCAATGATTATGACAAAGATGAAATATGTTGTAGCATTTAAAATTAACTAAAGACTAGTTTGGTATATTTTTGTACCTTTCGGCGTGCGTTCCGTGTTCTATTTTGACTAAGTGTCTTTATATAGACGCTTTTGTTTGGAGTAGAGAAATGGCGATTAAATAAATTAACTTTTAGGAAACGTACCCCATTTACTAATACCACTGCACTTCACAAAACAAAAGCTTTATGTAATCAAGGCATATGACACATTCTTGTTCTCCACACTAAGTACCTTACAATACTGACCTGACAGCAGAGATAATTTTTTTATATATGTAGTACAGCCTTGGGGAACTACCATATTTCTTAAAATATATTTTTATTTCGACTATCGCTGCAATTGCTTCGTAACATTAAACTCAGACATCGATTCATCTGTGAATAAGGCTAGAGATCTTGAAATCTCATAAATTTAGTTTCAAGTACGTCTTTAAAAAAAAGATGTGACGAAAAGTGTAATTGATAAATTCGTGTTTTTGCGATTTTCTGTATTTCGTAAGTGTAGAAAAACAACGTTCGAAAATTCTCAACAACGAACTTGGATTGTGGCGTATTAATTAGTAACATTTTAAAATATCCCAAGTGCAAATTTTATTATTAGTGCAGTCTGTTTTTAACTAGTACTTAGAGATAATGGTAAGTCAAGTACTTTGTAAGAGTATGCTAACGAAAGTGGCACAATGATCTTCTCAATGTAGTAGGACAATTGCCAAATCAATTAAAGTTAGTGCAACGTTATAATGTCCAACGATTTTGAACGCTGTAATAATTTTTGGGAAAACCTTACTTGGGGTAAGTTGATATTAAAATGTGTGGTTGATAAGTGGTGCTGATATTCAAGCGCGAACGCGCGATGGATTTCAGAATTGAGCATCTTCATGGGCAGATTATGCAAACTTGAGACCTTGGGGAACCTGAAGAAGAACTTGAGAACAACATGAGAACGGCTTAGTAACGAATGAAGAATCATTTAAGTTCTGAAAAATCCTGAAGGTGAATATATAATTGAAGGGCAATTTGAAGGACTAGGTATAAGGAGAAGTTAAAGGAAAAAAAATTGAGAATTTGAGAAGTATATATATGAGAAGTTAAAGAGAATTTGAGAAAAATTTAAGAGAAAGTTGAAGGAAATTCAAATGCACTTGAAAGCGCTCTTTCATGAAGAACGTTTGCCATGCAAAGGCGCTGTGTGCGAAATATTGTAAATGCTGGCTACAGGGAGGACTGTCGCAATATCTTTAAATCGTTGCAAATTCTAACAGCTCCATCACAATACATTTTTGACTCAGTTTTGTTCGTTCATAAAAATAAATCAAATTATATAACGCATAAAAATGTTCATTCTTACAATACTCGGAACAAAAATCAAATATATAATGATAGATTACGATTAAAAACGTCGCAGGCGGCACATAATTATTGGGGCCCTGTGTTTACCGTTTACCTTCTTGTTTCCAATCTCTAAATGAATAACTTTTTTCCAAGAAACTTAAAACTTTTTTACGCGAAAATCCAATATATAACATCCAAGAGTTTTTAGATAACGACCTCAAGACTTTAACGCCTTAAGTTTTTTTTTGTTGTTTGTATTTTTTTTTTTGTTTAATTGTTTTGTTTCTAAATGATTTTTGATGTTATTTAATATTGTTCTATATGTCTCATGTATTTTATGTTTATGTGTTATACGATTTCGACGGACGAGTGTAAGCATTTTTTAAATGTATTAACACAATAAATTACTTACTTACTTACTTAATGAAGGTGTCAGATCTTTGTCATTTGAATTGGATTTATTCTTTTTTAGTTCACCTAACATGTAATTTTTTATGTACTCGTATCTCTGTAATCAGCTCTGGTAATGTATTTTTAGCGCATTTTCCAAAAGGAAAACCGTTTGTCTGTCTGTGTCACTACCAGTCCACTAATTGAAGTTTGTTACTTGTGGTTTCTTTCTTATACGGTGTAAAGCCCCATTCACATAGGTGGTAGTGCGGTGCCGTTGCCTTGTTGTGCGGTGCGAGTCGGTGCTGTCAAGTTGACATTTGCTTTCACAATCACCGCAAAATTGGCCCGCCTACACAAGTATGACCAATCAACGACAACAGCAACAAATATGTTGCACTTCTATTGGTGCTTGCTAACGGTAGTGCAGAAAGTTTGAAGTTTAAAGACCTTGAGAAAAGGAGAAGAAATTGGGAAAAAATGGGCGCTACATTAAATCGCATTAAAAAGTCACAAGTGACACTACGGCGATGTAATTATCCATCTTACCGTATGGCGTTTTTAGAGACCAAAATGTTGCCATAAACAATTAACCCTGTGACGTAACTAGCTTCCAGTTAAACTCATCTATCCGAGCACTAGGGACGCAAAGAATTATAATAGAATAGTCCATGTCACGTGTATAGTTGTATGTCCCTAAGTTTTATTGTGGGGATTAGTTAAATACCTATAGGGTATTAAAAAATTTGGTCACGTAGACCAGATCATAGTCGTTTCATCGTCATATTTAAAAATGGCCACCACGTGGCTAGATTTTTTGTTTAAGTATACACTGCGTCCAAGATAACGATGTTTATTGTGGAGATCTCAGGACCCTTGGAAGATCCGACCTGGAAAATGGAAAAATTTGTCCGATTCTCGAACGAATAAAGACATGGAAAAAAGGCAGAAGAATTTTGGATTCGTGCACTTGGCTCAAAAGTAAATACAAATGAACCATTTGCGTTTCCCTCAGTTTCATCATAGGAACTTATGAAACTTTGAAGATTTGGCTCCTAGTTTACATAAAACGAAGCTGCATGCAGTGCTATGACGAATGGATTCATGCTCTGGTATCTTAATCCGTTGGACTACGGTTACCTAGAAAACGACGGTATTTTAATTCCACAAGTGACAGATGATCCAAAGGGCCCTGAAAATGTTTCTAATCCATGCAATTGTCAGACGTGCTTCAGAGAAACGGTACGTCCGTGTGGAAGATTAGAAATAATGTTTTGGACCAATGCAATAACCCTTATACCTGTAGATAACTAATTTAAAGAAGTAGTAATACATTTTGGTGTTGTTTGCCTTCAAAAAATTAAAATCAAGCCATAGTGTGTGGAAAGGGGCACTTAAACACGAAAATCTAACAACGGGGCGGCCATTTTTAAATATGACGATCAAACGACCATGATCTGGATCACGTGACCAATGTTTTTTAAGCCACTATAGGTGACTATATAGTCCAGGCGCTAATATAGGTATTGAGCATGCACTGGAAGTCTAACGCAGTTTGACTTTTGATTATTGTTGGGGCCATATAGTAGATGAAAAATATCGATGTCGTCGCATTTCCGCGGTGGGCATAACATGAGGGGGAGGGGGCAAAGTCGCGCGCGTGGCGATTCACTTTATCGCTTCTAACTCAAAGACAGTAATAGTTAGAGCAATGCTTGAAGCGGCTATTTACAGCTACTTATATTGGCTACAAAAATGTCCTAAGGATAAAAGTCGTACTTCTAACCGTTTCGTTAGAAATAAATTATTTCGGAATATATCCAAATCCACTGAAAATCATATTTGCCACATATTTCTTGTATCTGTAAGACAATTTTATATGTTATAAGAGTAATTATAAAAGTACATAAGTATTGTCATCTGATTTTAATTGGCATAATGTAAGAATTATGTTTAAATCTTCAAAAGATTGACCGATCACTAAATATGTTTAAGTAATAGAGTCAAACGTTATTCCGCAGAAATTACTTCTCACATAATGGCATCAGTTTTGGTAATGTCCCCTCGAATTAGTTCCAACATTAAATGTCTGCATATCCATCGGGAAGTAATTTTGGTAATCTTCAGAGTGATGAATAATGATTCATCAATTTTTGATGTATCTACACCTGGCGTATTCCAAACAATTTATGAACGTAAAGGGTAAAAATGGTACTCATGCAATGCTCGTCAGCATTGATGTTATGCAAATCTCGAAGCAGTTCAGCGCTGCAAATGCAAAAACTGCTCCAAAAAACATGTAACTGTTTATCAAATATTTCTTCTTATTGTTCTTATTGCAAATGTGTTGATAAATGCAGAAACCCATTACAAACTAAAGAGTCTGACGAAGAGAGCGAAGGCGAAAAAGATTTGTGACTGGGTGCCCAAGTACGTGCTGGAAAATTGTAAAATTGACTATATAAAACTATATATATTTATGTAGTAACATACATTATTAAATTTATCTTACAAATATAAAAAATGTGCATCAAATATGATTTTCCATCGAATTTAGATATATTTTAAAATAATTTATTTGTAACAAAACGGTTAGAGGTACGACTTTTATCCTTAGGGCCTTTTTTGTAGGCAATATAAGTAGCTGTAAATAGCCGCTTCAAGCATTGCTCTAACTATTACCGTCTTTGAGTTAGAAACGATAAAGTGAATCGCCACACGCGCTACTTTGCCCCCTCCTCCTCATGTGATGCCCACCGCGGAAATGCGACGACATCGATTTTTTTCATCTACTATATGCTCCCAACAATAATCAAAAGTCAAACTGCGTTAGACTTTCAATGCATGCTCAAACCCTTTAGCGCCCGGCCTAATAGGGAACATATGTACAACTGAACACGTGACAAGCAACCGTGAAAAACAAAAAAACGCGTATAGAAAACTGGAGTGCGTTCAAACCACAGTACTGCTCTAAGGGCGAGCTTACTCGCATCAAAAGTACTACTTCACCAATCTATATAAATAAAAATAATGTTTCTCTGCCTGTCTCTGATACCTGCCTAAACTATTCATCCGATTGCGATGAAACTTTGGGAAATGGTTGTACTGTACGTATGTCCGCGAAGGTTTATGATTTAGTAAAAATTTCCCAAAATTCCCAGGGGACTCATATGTATAAGAACTCTTCCAATAAATAAAAATCTCGTTTTTGATTGATAAATTCTCTTTTAATCATTGAAAATACTTAGTTTTCAAAAATCACTACCCCTTCGCGTTAGCTTGTCAAGGCGAATTGGCGATCTTTGATGATCCCAAACCTTGCAAATCTCGACTGAACAACAAATTTTATACCGTGGGCCCTATTTTGGTTGAGACCGCAGTGTATCTCACCTCTTTCTAAAGATAGAGACGCGATTTAAGCGACCTGTGCCACTTTTTTTTTGAAACTTTTAATACCACAAACAGAATCCATCTAGCTACGTTTGTTTCTGAGATATAGGGTGAAAACGAAAAGTTTGTTTTTTTGGGATGTTATCATACGTTATTACCCATGGGAGATAGAAAAAAGTAATAGCTGGCTATTTTAAGTGGCGTAGTAAAAAAATGTTTGTACCATTTTTTCTGAGATTTGACCTAAAGTTGGTAGCATTTTTTAAATGTAACACCTTGTATTGCATAAGTACATTTTTTGCATTCTTTTCCTTCATTACATTCATATTACATTGAAGTATCTGCTATATATTTTTTTAAATTTCAGCACTGAACCAAAAATAAAACCCTTATTTTTTACGGTTTTTAAATAGTATTTGGTTTTTTTTTTGTTTATTGTACCCGTGGCAACTAAAGCAGGCGATACCAATCAATAAAATAGGTGACGGTCAAGTATGATATGATATATTATACAGGGTGTTTGCTAAACATGAAGACGTAATTCCTTGGTCTATTCAAGCATATTTTACCCTTTGATGATTTTTGAAAAAGTGTTTTGTTGCTAAGATACAGGGCGAAAAAAATACCCATTTTGAGTCAAATGTCGGAAAACGTGGTCGAAAAATTTTTTTGACTATGTAAAATATGATAACATCCCAAAATCACCCTGTACCTTAGAAACAAACGAAGCTAGATTGATTCTGTTTAAGTATTAAGTTTCACGAAACCCGCCGAGATACACTGGAGTTTGCAACCATAATAGGACATACGGTACATGTGATACTCGATTCATTAGCACTACTGAGCAAATGACCTAAAAAATTTTCATACTCAAAGAGAATTAGATCGAAAGCCGAAGGCCGTTATCGGTAAACTAGCCTAAATAAATCCCGAGAAAATGAGGCCGATTCTGTGGGAGGGCAGTGCGTTCAGAAACTAAAATGCTAATGTACAGGCGATCTTGATTCTATCAAAGGCAAAACTTCTCCAAGATCCACTTGGAGAGTTATCTCAAAAGACAGCAAACTTATATACCTGAGATCAGTAATTTATTAGAACTGAGAAGCAAATAGACAGTTCTACCTCTCTACAAGCCGATAGATGAAAATGTGTTCAAAAACCATTCGGTAAAGTTTTTTTTTGTTAATAACGACCCTCATTTTGAGCAAACATTTCCTTACTTTCTGTTTGGCAATTATTTATTATTAATAGAGTTTCTTACAAATGAACATAGTTCCAAGACTATAAATTTTAAGGGCTAATACCTTTTCGATAAATAAATGTTTTTTGGACTTTTGAAATTGTGCTGAATAAAGAAAGTTATTATTAAAACTTCCCAGTGGGAAGCTTTAGAAATAAAATAAAGGTAAAGTCGTTCTAAATGGGCACATCTTACATTCGTACCACACGAATTACTGCATCCTATTTTATTTATAGAATTTGTATAGAATGTTTGTAGTTATTGGCCGAGAAAATGCTTCCGGTTTAAATACCAGAATGAATTGTTTTAATTTCCGCGATTATTTTCGTGACTGCAATGGAGTTCGCTACGAATCAAAAGAAATTTCGCGAATGGATAGAAAATGTCTTACAAATCTAAAACATAAAGAGCATTACATGATTTTGGATCGCATTTTGTGACGTCCGTACACTTTACGTTTTTGTCTAAAATTAAACATCAAAAAAGAAAAAGCGTACCTACTTCTAAGCAATTTGGGTGGTTCACAAAGGATGAGCGTTTTCGATGACCATAAATAGCGATACGTGCGCTGAACTATTTTTGCAAACTAAAGTAGAACTGCGTAGAGTTACAAAAATAAGTTAACTTTTCAAAAACGTGCAAAATGCGTAAGTATGTGACGATAAACAAAATGAAACACGCACCTTTTTAAGGAAAAACTTCAAAGTTGGTAACAATCCATAAAACGCAAAGTGGCGGTTTCCGCAATCGTGATGGTGTACACACTGCACTAAAGGGATGCAAAGACGCTCACTCTCGGTGCGTCGTTTGACGTCACCACCCACAAATTTAGACGGCGACGCCGTCTGTTTCGGTTAACTTTGCAAAAGTGTTTCTACTTTCTAACGCGTATTGCTTTATGTAGACTTTCCGAAACTAGTAGCGTGTCAACAGAGTTGTCTATAAAAAACTTGCAGGTTGCTGACTTTGATTTTATCCTAAATTGTTTTCAAAATAGACATTTCATTGTGCTTAAAATTAGAACAATGCGCACGCGGTGCCATTACAAAAATATTACCTTAGTAGTAGTAGTTGTTGTTGTTGTGGTTCGTCTGACTGTCGACGACGGTGGAGATGAAGTTTGCGTTTCCATTCCAGATAAAATCACCTGAGATCCTATAAATTTGTTTAACAATTTTCGCGCCTCCACGTCTTCGGCTGTGTCGCCCTCTTGAACATCTGCAATCCACGAATCTGAAGAAAGCGGTGCCCGAAAGGCAACTTACCATCATCCGAATTCTTCATACGTGTGATCACATCTTGAACGTCACGTACACGCGTTTGATTATTGAGGAAGGTATCACCACGTCTACCGCTTGAGGTTGTAGTCGTGGTCTTACGAACTGTCGTGGTAACCGCAGCTGAACCTTCTAAAGACTAGTTAGGAAAAAATAAAAGGTTCACGTTGGCTTACCAGGCGAAGGCTCCCTGTCGTCGGGCGAAGACTTCTTAAAACTGGAAGTACGCAAGATCAATCCTGCCTTGGGGTAGGACGTCTGCCTTTCCGTTTTTGAGGTTTCGACTGTAAAGATCACTTAGCAATCGAGGAATTAATGAACGGCGAGGCGACTTACCGGCGTTGTCAATGAATTTCTTCGACATCTGTTTAACGGAACCACGTCGCGTAACGCTCGTCGACGATGACTTCCGGTTTTCGTATTCTTCGATTTTATCGTCCTCGGGATAGTACTAGAAAACAAAGATTGAGTCGGCTAAAGGAATGGAATTTTTATTCACCTCGCAGTCGCTTATAGCCTTCTTAGTTGGAGTGCCCTTACCAAACCTTTGCGTGGTTGTCACGGAAACAAGCCCTTCCGTCTCATCGACCTCTCCTTCGAAATCATTTTGGTCATTGGAATACTTAGTAACACTTATTTCACCAGTAGGTTCATGACCATTTTCGGAGTAATAATGGCTTTTGATAACTGTACCTTGTACTAAAATATCAAGTTATAGTTTGGCTAAGAATTGGCCGCCTACATACCTTTTGTTGTGCCAGTTTGCTTTTGTGCCCTTAGAGCTTTGAGACCAAACAGAGGGCTACCATTTTCATCCGTAGGTCCGACACCGTAACTGGACGTTATAGCATCGGTCGGCTTTCGTTCTTTGGGGGGACTCACTCTTGAGTCCAATTTCTTTGTTGTAGACACAGGTTTAGTCTTCGGTACATCTCCGGAAGATTTCTTTAATGGTCTTTGTGTTACCCACGACGGTTTTTCATCCACTACTTTCTTACTAACCGGCTCTACACGTTTCAATTCGGGCTTAAGCGGTTTACGTTCTGGAGATTTTCGTATTATTTTTGTTTCGGGACTCACTTCTCTGGAGTAAGTTTTGATTTCCGTCGATCGTTTTCGCTCGCTATAGCTGTGCATTGTGTGCTCCTCGTGCGTTGTCGAACTAGGCTTACGTACGACCACTTCCTTATACTTGGGGGAACTAGAACGTGGCGACTTTTTATATAGAACTTTGGGTAGCTTGTGATCGACAATGAGTTGCTTTACAACTCGAATTTGTGAGCGCACCCTTCGTCTTTGCTCGTAGCTCACGGCCCACTCCAGCTGGAAAATTTTGAAGTGAAAACCGGTTCACAGAGACGTCGATACTTACCAGAACTTCCAAAATTTCAATTTCGTAGATGTCTTCGATTTCATTCACAGTTAAGATTTCTTCGATTTCTTCGTTGGTGAACGAACGGTGCTTGCTTGTAGCTTTTTCCGTGTCAACCTTGCGTAGAGACGCCGTAGTGCGTTTTTCGTATACGTCACTATCCGATGGCAGTGGACTTCTAGCCCTTTCTATTGGTCTTGTGTGTGATGGGGACGATTCTCGCGATGTGTCGCGGTCAGGTGAATGTACTGATCGATCAAGCGGCCACATGTAATGAGGAATTTGATCGAGAGCTGGGTCGTGAGGCTTGTGGTGCCTTTCAACGGAGGGGCTCCTAGACCGATCTCTAGGTGACGGCGATCTTTCCCTATACGGACTATGGGGCCGTGGACTTCTATTCAATGGGCGCATATAACCAGGAGTATCGTCTGTTTCCGTAGAGTGTGGCCTATTTATTTTGTCTATAATTAATCGCGTTGATTTAAGTTCATCTTCGAGTATCGGTCTTCGAGGCTTAACAGGCGTTTGGTCTTTTGCGGCATTTTCAAAGATTTCTTTCGCTTTTCTAATACTTTCCGTACTACGAAGACGACCAGTGGTACTTATAACTGTTTTAGTCTCACTATTTTTGCGACTGGATTTCGGGGTTGATGGTTCTGATATTTTTCGTCCATGTTCATCGACTGAAGGTTTACGCCGGTACATATCTTCCTCGGTATCGATTTGCACGCACTCAGTTGTCAACGTAGTACGAGGGGCATCCATTTTACTTAAACTGACTGGAGTTTTATAATTTGGACTCGTATTGAATTTTGTAACCTTATCCGAAACACTTAACAAGCAATTGTCACTTTTGATATTTTCGTCCACTGTAAATTCGGGACGAGTCGCCTTCGGCCTCTGAGGGCTTTGGTGGGTTTTAATTTTTTCGGCAGTTTCTATAAAATGGGAGACCTTCTCCGAGACACTGGTGAACCGTTCGTCCTCGTCTTCGGAATAGTTTTGACACTTGGGACTTTTTGGACGACCAGGGATCTGTTGCGTTACCTTGAGACGATCGATCACGGAACCGCTGGATTTATTTGATCTAAGCTTGTCGGCTTCATTCACAAATTTAGTCACCTTCTCGTTTACGCTCAGTAAACAGTCATCAGTTTCATCGACCTTGTTTAAGTATCCTGTATCTTCAGTTTCAATAACAGGAAGGTCGGACAGTTTCGTTGGTTTTCTACGTCGGTAGGGATCATCCGGTTCACAAATTTCATCGGGATACCGAGGCACACCTTTGTCTTCATTGTCAGAGGCGGGATACGCGTAACTACGATCGGGGGTAGCTTCTCGTGAGGACTTCGACCTTTGAAGGTTAACTATTACTTCTCTTCCATGTTCTAAATCATTACTGATCACGATCGATTTTGTTGTTATAACTTTCTCGGGTCTTTTCGACGTGTCAGTAGGTCTAGTAGACGTTGGAAGACTCGATTTTGGTTTCAATACACGCTCAGGGCTTGTAATGGTGCGCGTTATTTGTCTATCAAAAGTGCGGTCTGTTGATTCTTCATGTTCATCAACAATATAATTTTCATCCACAAATTCTTCGTCAGTTTCCACTTGATCGCGAGGTTTATCCTTGGGCATTGGTTTACTACCTCCCTTAGGTAATGCCTTCGCAGCGGGTTCCTTCGTCTTCTTTTTTGGAACCACTTGAATCGTAGTAGTAACCACGTGCCGAGTAGCATCTGGTTTTGGCTTTACATCGCGAGTTTTTGAAGGTTTTTGATTTCTCACAATCTGCGTGACGGGACTATCCCTATCCGATGAATTCGCTTTGCCAGGTTTCCTTGTAGTTTTGTTAACAAAATGTTTTTCTTCGGTACGATACACAGTAGTTTTATCCGTTTTTGTTCTTTCACGCGGTTCAGAAGGAACTGGTTTATGAGTAGGTTTATCCCTTCCGGTTTTCAAGTCGTTCCTATACACTTTGATATTCAAAGTATAAAAGTCATCATCTCTGCGATAATTGTCTTCGTGATCTTCATGGGGCGTTTGCCTATTTCCGGTTGGTTTTGCTCCCCCAGGTTTCTTTACAGCAGGTTCTTCTTTATTTCTACGATGCACTGTTGCTTTATCCGTTGTCAGGTAAGTGTCTCGAGTCTGAATTGTTTCTTCAACTACCGGTCTCCTGCCAGGGGATCTTCTAGTAATCTCTTCCTTAGGAACACGTTTTTTCGGTGTAGATTCCTGAACGGTTTTACGATCGGGAGATTTTCTAGACGGTTTCCTTTCGTCAGTAACGACTGTTCTGCTTGTAGCAATATAGTGCGTACCTTCAGAATGGTAGTAGGGGCTAACTTCAGGTCGTCTACCTGCAGGTTTCTTAGTCTCATCTATGTCACTGGGATAATCTTCAGGCCGCCGTGGTTCTTCGTATTTAGGCTTACCACCAGGCTTAGAAACCACACGAGTGCGATCAATAGTTGCCTGCGCAACGTAACGTTGTGTTACACGAGATGACGTGTCACTAGGTGTTCTAGGTTTAGAATCGCTCCTTGGTTGCGGTTTCTTAGGTTTATTGTCAGGTTTGGAACTAACACGTGTCTGGACTGTGGTCTGTTGCGAATGACGCTCATCGATTTCTCTTCTGTTGTACGAATCTCGTTCAGGTGACCGACGTTTTGGAACAAAATCGTCTGTTGTCTTCTTTGTAACAGTAGTCTTTTGTGTAGTGGTTTGACCAGTACGAGTTTCTTTGGTGACTCGACTTGACGGCATTGGTTTAGGTTGTTCAGCTATGGGTCGTTTATTAGGTTGACGTGTTGACACTTTCTGATCACTGGTACGACGAATAGTATCCTTTGTAACGTACACTTGTCGTGTTTCTTCTGTATCACTAGGATACTTTTCTGGTTCAAAATGTTTGTTACGTGCTACAGGAGAACCTTTTCTGGGTTTACTTCCAGTGTGGCCAACAGTTTGGGAAACGTAATAGTCATCTGTTTCCTGGGTAATATGTGGACTTTGATCCAATGGTTCTTCATCACTGGAGTCTGACACATCGGTTGGTTGTTGAGGTTGAGGTTCTCCTTCGTACTGAGGCCTAGTTTTAGATTGGATTGTCACACTTGTACAGCTGGTCGTCTCATCGGCAACAAGTCGTCTCCCTGGTTTTGTACTCTTAGGCGTCGGGTGTTTTTCTATTGTAAATTCCAAATCACTTGGTATACGTTTTCGAATCACTACCTCTTCAGCATAACAGTCACTCGTTTCATCAGTTGGATATTCCCTGTCGGGCTGCCCATGTTTTGGTCGTTCCGTGGGCCGTTTTCCTGGTTTTGTAGTTTCGTGATCTCGAACTACGGTTCTCTGTGTATCACTAGGATATTTGTCCGGCGAACGCCCATGCGGTTTTTTACCTTTGGGTTCTGCATCAATCGTTGGTGCCTTTCCTACAGGTGTTGGTAAATGTTTCTTAGAGGTTTCACTTGATTTCGTAGTAACCCGTGCCGTTTCTTCAGTATAGCGTTCATCGGTCTCTTCGGTTTCATATGGATGATCTTCTGGCGCTCTCTGTTTGGGTTTTCCAGCGACAGTTTGCCGAGTATAAAAATCTATTGTTTCCGTATCACAAGGATGTTTTCCATGCGGCATCGGCGTCACCTTTTTAGGTTGATCACCTGGTTTTGTAGACACACGTCCTCTAGTCACGGTTTCCCGTCTTATAATTTCGGAACTTCCAGGCAATTTTTCAGGAGAACGATCTTTTGGTCTCCTATTTTCGGGTCCATCTGTTGCACGAGTAGATGATTTTGTGGTAGTGCGGTTTGTAGTTACCGTTTCGTGGGTGTAACGATCTGCGGTTACCTCTTCGTCACTAGGTAAATCTTCCGGTGCTCGATCAACCGGCCGACTACCTTTAGGATGTTTACCTTGAGAGACTGGCGTCCCCTTTGTAGGTGTTTCACCGCGTTTTGTAGTCACGTGACCTCTAATCACGGTTTCATTGGTTGTAACTACTGAACCTCCAGGATGCTTAATGGGTGAACGATCTTTCGGTCTCCTATGATCGGGAATGTCATCATCCGTTGGCCGAGTAGACGATTCTGTGGTCATACGGTTTCTGGTCACCGATTCTTGAGTGTAGCACTCTTCAGTTTGCTCTTCATCACTGGGTAAATCTTCCGGTGCTCGATCAACTGGCCGACTACCTTTGGGATGTTTTACTTGGGATACCGGCGTACCTCTTGTAGGTGTCTCAACAGGTTTCGTAGTCACATGACCTCTAATCACGGTTTCCTTGGTTGTAACTACTGAGCCTCCAGGATGCTTAATGGGAGACCGATCTTTTGGTTTCCTGTGATGGGGTAAGTCATCATCCGTTGGACGAGTAGACGATTCTGTGGTCATACGGTTTCTGGTCACCCTTTCTTGAGTGTAACACTCTTCAGTTTGTTCTTCATCACTAGGTAAATCCTCTGGTGCTCGATCAACTGGCCGACTACCTTTAGGATGTTTTCCTTGAGGTATCGACGTACCTCTTGTAGGTGTCTCAACAGGTTTTGTAGTCACATGACCTTTAATTATGGTGGTTGTAACTGCTGAACCTCCAGGATGCTTAATAGGAGACCGATCTTTTGGTTTCCTGTGATCGGGTAAGTCATCATTCGTTGGACGAGTTAATGATTCTGTGGTCATATGGTTTCTGGTCACCGTTTCTTGAGTGTAACATTCTTCGGTTTCCTCTTCGTCACTGGGTAAATCTTCTGGTGCTCGATCAACTGGCCGGCTACCTTTAGGATGTTTTCCTTTAGTTGTCTCAACCGGTTTTGTAGTCACATGACCTTTAATTACGGTTTCCTTCGTTGTAACCACTGAACCTCCAGGATGCTTAAGGGGAGAACGGTCTTTCGGTTTCTTATCATCATCGGTTGGACGAGTAGATGATTCTGTGGTCATACGGTTTCTGGTCACCGTTTCTTGAGTATAACATTCTTCAGTTTGCTCTTCATCACTGGGTAAATCTTCCGGTGCTTGATCAACCGGCCGGCTACCTTTAGGATGTTTTCCTTGAGAGACTGGCGTACCCTTTGTAGGTGTTTCGCCGCGTGTTGTAGTCACATGACCTCTAACCACGGTCTCCTTGGTTGTAACTGCTGAACCTCCAGGTTGCTTAACGGGAGTATGCTCTTTCGGTTTCCTATGATCGGGTGTGTCACCATCCAATTCCGTGATAATACGGTTTCTGGTTACCGTTTCTTGAGTGTAACGTTCTTCTGTTTCCTCTTCATCACTGGGTAAATCTTCCGGCGCTCGATTACCTATAGGGTACTTTCCCTGAGGTATCGGCGTTACTTTTTTAGGTACGCCACCCGGTTTTGTGCCTCTTATCACGGAATCCTCTGTTGTAATTTCAGTGCCTTGGGGTTGCCTGTGTTTTGGTGTATCATGATCCGTGGGATGAGTAGATGACTTTGTAGTAGTACGATTTGTAGTTTCTTGGGTGTAACGTTCTTCTGTTTCTTCGTCGTGGCTAGGGTAATCTTCTGTATCACCTGGTTGTCTATCTTTGGGACGCTTGCGCTGAGGTTCGTTACCGGGTTTTGTTATTCTAATCACAGTATCTTGCGTTGTAATTTCTGAATCTCCAGGATATTTTTTTCTTGGCTTCCTATCTTCAGACGTGTCATCATCCGTTGGATGAGTAGACGATTTTGTGGAAACTCTAGTCACCGTTTCTTGAGTGTAACGATCAGTTGTTTCGTTATCGCTAGGGTAATCATCAGGGGTTCGATCAACTGGCCGACTGGCGTTAGGATGCTTTCCTTGCGTTACTGGTGTTACTTTTTTAGGTTCGTCACCGGGTTTTGTAATCACACGGCCCCTAATCACGGTTTCGTTTGTAGTAATTTCAGTGCTCCCAGGTAGACGTCCATGCGGTCTCCTATGGTCAGGCAAGTCATCTTCTGCTGGGCGAGTAGATGATTTTGTGGTGACACGGTTTCTAGTCACCGTTTCTTCAGTATAACGATCTTCGGTTTCTTCTTCGTTTCTAGGGTAACCTTTGGGCTGCTTTCCTTGAGGTGCGTCACGGCCTCTAATTACGGTTTCTTGTGTTGTAACTTCAGTGCTTTCAGGGAAACGCTCTTTTGGTCTTCTATGTTCGGGCAAGTCATCATCAGTGGGACAGGTGGATGATTTGATGGTACGATTTGTAGTGACCGTTTCTTTAGTGTAACGCTCGTCGGTTTCTTCACCGTCGCTAGGGAAGTCTTGATCAACTGGCCGGTTACCCTTAGGACGCTTTCCCTGAGACGTCGGCGTAACTTTTTTGGGTTCGTCACCTGGTTTTGTAATCACATGACCTCTGATCACGGTTTCGTCGGTTGTAATTTTTGTACCTCCAGGATATTTTTCGGTTGGGCGACCTTTTGGTATATACTCATCCGTTGGGTGAGCGGGGGATTTTTTGGTTACACGATCCGTCGTCACGGTTTCTTGTGTATAACGCTCATCGGTTTCAGTGCGAGGATAGTCCTCCGGTGTTCGACCCACTTGCGGTTTCGTTACCTTTTTAGGTGTTTCGCCAGGTTTTGTATTACCCCTAATTATTGTTTCTTCCGTTATCTCTCTGCTTCCGGGATAACGACCTCTTGGTGTCTCGTCATCCGATGGACGCTTTCCTTTTTGAGGGGTATAACTTGTTTTAGTAGTGACACGGTTTCGAACCATCGTTTCGTCAGTTTCGCTACCGTAATAGTCGGGTGCACGATCACCAGGCCGCCCAGGTTGCCCTTTGCCTTTCTCCGGAGTTCTTCGTGTTACATCCACAGGCCTATTGTAGTCACCCGGAGAGTCCTTTTTGACTGTTTTGTGCTCAGTGAATTCTTTCTTTTCGGTCGTTCGTCTAACTTGAGAGGGGTACTCCTGAATTTGGTGTCCCGATTTTTTTTCCGGCGACTTTCTGTCTTCCGGCGTCTTTTGAGTTTTGTTCTCCTGGTTTATGCCCAGTATCTGGCGACAACGTTCTTCGTACGTATCCCTGCGCTTCAATGGTTTTTCAGGCTGTTGGTCCTTTTCGGGATGTTTTTTAGTAGGCGACTTCGTAATAGATCCATCCGGAACGCTTTTGGGCCTAGATGTAGCGTGTGACGGAGTTCTTCGTTCTGGGGAATGCTCATCCAGATCAGTCACCTCGACTTTCCTAACGAATTCAATGTCACTTGCGGAGGTTGTTGGTGAGACGCTCCTAGAACGTGGACGTCCCTTCGTTTGTCGCGTTATGGTGCCGCTATCATAGGTTGTTCTGGTTTCTTTCGTATCGGTATTGTGCCGTCTAGTGATGGTACTGGTTCTACTGTCAGTGGAAGGTTTCTTGGGGATGGGCCTTTCTATTTTCTTTATAGGCGAAGATTCACGCGAGTCCGGTCTGTTTTTGGTAGGCGAAAACCTCGAAGGCTGTTTCCGATCAAGCGACGATGTGTCAGGGTGCCTGCTATACGGATAATTTTTGTCTGGGCTAGTGCTGCTACGTAAAGAGGAAGTGCTCGATTTTAGGCTACGTACACTTCCATGTTTACGTTCGCGATCTGGACTGGCTCTTAGCGAACGAGCAAACGCATCGTGCGTGGGACTGATATCTACACTAATCCTTTTGGCCGTGTAGTCCGTTTTGTAGGTGGTCTGCGACGTGACCGATGTCACCTTCTCGGTTTGTGGTTTCACAACTATCGTCGTGTTAATCTTATCGGGTTGTTTGTCTGTGGTGGTCGTGGTTGTTATGGTTCTTTGGACAACTGTACTGTCGCTCATCGGTTTAGGCGTGGAATACTGATTAGGAACGATTTCTTGTTCAGGTGGACGGTAATTAGTAGGCGTTCTCTCTTCAGTAGGTTTACAGTCTCCAGGTTTACGATTATTAGGAAGATATCCTTGAGGAATTTGCTTATTTGAGGATGGCAATAGAGGTTCACGCGGTTCTTGTGGGGACTTTCCAACATCCGACTTTACGGTTTCCACAATCTCGTTTTTAGTATGCATTGTTGTCATGTGTACTGGAGTAGAAGGTATACCGTCATCTGGTTGTTGTCCACTTGGAGTAACCTTTCCACGCGGAGGTTCAGATCTAGCTTCTTTTGTAACTTGGTACTTTACTTCTTGATTTTTTTCTGTAACATAATGGTCATGTTGTCCACTTGGAGTAACCTCTGCACGTGGAGGTTCAGATCGAGGTTCGTTTGTAACTTGGTACCTTACATCTTGATTTGTTTGTGTAATATAATAGTCATGTTGTCCACTTGGAGGAACCTCTGCACGCGGAGGTTCAGATCGAGGTTCGCTTGTAACTTGGTACCTTACATCCTGATTGGTTTGTGTAATATAATAGTCATGTTGTCCACTTGGAGTAGCCCCTGCACGCGGAGGTTCAGATCGAGGTTCATTTGTAACTTGGTACCTTACATCTTGATTTTTTTGTGTAACACGATGGTCATCATGCGTCACCTTTGTGATTTTTGAATTAGTCACAGTTTTGCTTTCAATATTACCAGAAGTACGGACAACTTCATTTACCGCAGGTTGTTCTCTGGGGTTATACTCTTTTTCATTGATAATTTTCGTAAGGTAGACATCATCTTTTTTGTCATGGATTACTTTTTTGTTCACGTGATCTTCAACTGAGCGAGTCGTGCTCACTTCCTCATCGACGCGCCTATTGTCAGTACTATGTCGTTGACCCGTAGGTGATTCTCTTGGCCTCTGGTCGGAGCCATCGCGAATAACATACCGCTGGTCTAAATTGGTAGTGTCATTTCGACGGGTTTGATAGGATTGCGAATCATTTACCGTTTTGGTTGTCGACGTATGAAAATTCTGTTGATTAATTTTCGAGGAAACGCCTTTTGTTTCATAACGAGTGGTGGTGACTTTGGTACCGTCAGCAAGTGTACGTGTTTCGGTTGTTACGGTTGTATTACCGTCAATGTAGTTTGGGCTACGTTTTAATTCCGCTGGCACGTCAGTGGTATAGGTTTTTCTAACGACCAACTCTTGACTGTCAGACCTTGGTTTTGAGTCAGAGGTTGCGTGATGTTGACTCACGACTCTTGAGGAACTACTCGTACTAGTTGAAGATGATTGAAAACTGCTGTTATCATCGCCCCCCTTCGCATCTTGTCGTAATACACTTTTTGAACTGGTCGAAGCCGATTTTGTAAAATTATTGTCGTCCCCATCTTGAAACACACTTGACTTTTGCTCGCATTGAGCAGAATAATTTGCCACGCCTTTATCAATCTTTTCCGAACTCGATGTGCTTGCAATCTGCATGGACGTATGCGTTTTTCCATCTTGACTAACTTCATTTTTCGATACGACATTCCACCCTTGATTATCTCCACGATTGGTTTCTACTCTTAGGTGTTAATGGTTAACTTAAAATTGATGTGTACTCACCAACCACTCTAAACTGATGCATATCCTTCGTCGGCGATTCCGAATCGCGTATTTCCTTGCTCTTCAGACTCATAAAACCTTGATCGAGAAGCGAATCTGCATGAGTGGGCACATTTCCCTCTTTTATTGATGATGCTTGTTGAGTAGTGCGAATTTCCGTTCCAGAATCAGTGCTGTTGTAAAAGTTTCGAAGACGTTCCTCTCGCAGCTTATACATATGGGAACGAATCTCTTTCTTTTTTCCGAAATCTTCAGTATCTTGCCACTAAAAATTTGAAAATAGAAAATTAATGTACTGCCAAGAAATTCCATTCCCATTATTGTTACTTCCCAAAACATTTTCTTATAATTAGACAGACATTTGCATTTATACAAAAAAAGGCAATCTATACTGATTCAGGTTTTTATTTTTGTCGGTTGATGACGTTGGTGTAGGATGATATTAGAATATTAGATTTCAACAAGTGGGCCCACAAATTTAAATTCATAATCTTAGTAGTTAAGATATTAATTACACCCGAGGTTAAAAATAGCTGATTAGTAGTAACCGGACAATTAGCCGTCGTCAATCACTTTCGTCAAATAATTATTAGGTACTCCACCTACACAAAGCGTTGTTAATATTGCGATTGTGAAATGACACACTTTTTTAGTGTGGAATTATGTAAATTAGACGCCCCAAAGCGAAAACACCTCAAGTGACCTTTTGTTTACCATTTGGCGGAGGACTTCTTCGTCGTTTGTGTGGTACACGTCTCCAGACGTTTCGGCTGACATAGCCTAACAATTTCAAACCTGCAATGTTAATGAATATGTTACTTTGGGTAATTGACGAAATTACTGCAATAATACAAGACGAGACGTCTGAGTGGTGAGCGCGAGGTAATTAATTAAGGGGCATGCTCTTCAATTTACATACTTAGAAAGTTGGCGCCTACGTAGTTAACCGTAATGTGCCCACAAACCATAAAGTGTTCGCAGAAATCGGAGCAAACAAACCCTGACTTGGTGCGTCAATCTTATACACAAATATAATTAATTCAACTTCACTGCAGGGTGTTAAAAATCTCTGTGGGCATTATGGGGAATCTTGGTGTTGGAATCTATTGTTCTGACAACTAAATGGGCGTTCAATACCTCAGGTACTTCTCTGTAAAAGGACTCGTAATGTTTACTTTAGAAGTTCAATTGCAATTTACTTGTACGCAGGCTGCATTTCTGATCAAACGGATAGCACACCGACATACAATACAATTTTGCATTTATTTTTCTGAAAGTACTGTAACATTATGGCGCCCTCAAAGTAAATACGACCGTAAGCCTAAATTATTGTGGACTATTCTCAGTCATCACCCCTGTATATGAATGTGAATGTCGTTCAATAAGAAAATCAGAACTGACATTGTGGATTTACACATACTAACAATTAATACTTTATGATATACTGTGGTATAAATAACACTAACCAATAACAATAAAATACATATGATTTCTGCAAGCATATTTACATCAAAGGTATATTTTTGTGAGCAATGTGTTGTAGAACTTCATCTTTAGTTTTATTAATTTTTATTTGCGTTATTTCTCGTTTTATTATTGTGCTTGTTAATTAATTGTTGTTAATAGTTCTGAAAAATGTCTGAACAAGCTTTGCAATGGATTGGGAGATTTGGAAAGCGCCCAGATCGTCTCTGATTGGAAAGACGTTAAACACCTCTGGAAATAAAATTTAGAAAACTTCCGCGCCTTTAGTCTTCTTTAGGGAACACTGGCGCCTTTGTGGGGTTTTGTGACGTTCTAGAAACCTTCCATAACAATTTCTGGGCTACGTATACATTATTTCAACTCTGAACCTCCTATATTCAATTCTTAAATATACAAGTCAATGCATTGATATGCCGGACAGTTATGCAACTCACCTTACTCACATTAGACAGTAATGTAAACAAAAGAAACTTAATAATTATTTGTATGTTTAGAGTTAAAATTTACGCACTGTATGTTCTTTTCAGAGCTTTGTAGAGCTTGACAGAATGTTGTAGTCCTCGAGCCTTATGATCGATTAATTATAGAAATGACGCCTAGATGGTGCTTTTAAAGCAATCGAAAATTATCTAGAACTATCAAAAACTCTCCGCCGTGAAAAACAAATGCATTGGTTTCCAAAGCTGTTGAAAGATTTTAAACGATTGGAGACACTGGAAAAACGATGTAAAGCTCTGGAAGGTTTGCATAGGAAGGCATTGCATCGTCTTGCTTTCTATATTGATTCTCCGACAGACCGGAAATCTCTGTGGTAACCTTTGAAGAATTTTTTGGGTACCTTAACTGAGCGGAACATTATATAAAAATTAACAATTCTACATTTTGGACTCTTTCATGGGATTTAGAACCGTTTCTGGGAATCCACTGGTTTCCCGACATTAAATGATCCCAGCGACCGCTCCGTTTAGTTATCGGTATCGATAATCCTGAAAATTTAAACCCTGATGCGATTGGCAAAGGAAATTGAACATACAAAATAACAAATGATTTTTGTATGAGCTTGCAATGGACTCTATGAGCGCTAAATTCAATTTAAACATTGGCGGGTTTTATCTCTTTAAAAAAGGCGCTCACTTTTCGCGCAATATTTGTTCCGCGATTTTTTCTTTCGTTGTATGCGAGAAGGAAATACATAAGTCCCGTTGTTGAACTCCCTCAGATGCAAGAATTGCAATGAAGTGCACTCGTTGGTGGTTCGAATGTTTTTTTGAGTTAATCAGGTGATGTTGTTTGTTTCTTTTTGTCTTTAGTTTGTTACCGTGTATTTAAATGATGGCGTTGCATTATTTGCCAAATTAATGTCATTGTAGGTAAAAATGCATTAGGCAAAATTGTACCGAAGCACCCGTTTTCCGCCTTGACGTTTACCTTTTTTAGTGATCACTCTGTAGATCAACACCCTGTATCTGGAAAGGTTTTAAGTTGGGCGCGCCGAAAGTATTGGTTCTAGGAGGTGAAGAAGCTAAAGGCAATTGATTTAATTTCTAGAGTTGTGTTTCAGCCGCCGTGCCGTTACCGTAAATAAAACTGCAATTAATTCGCCGTTTGCAACCCTTCCCGTCAAGATATTTCCATTGTCTTCGCCTTCATCATCAATAAGCAGCTGCATTAGCTCTTAAAAAACCTCATTATCGTTAATGACCTTACCAAAACCCATGTAAGCCATCGTGAGGAACAAAACATAAGACCAACAGCCGAAAATGAACAAGAAGGTCTTCGCTTTTGATTGATAGGTATGCTTGATGGTTTAGGAGCGTTAAACGGCCGTCCTTTTTATTGTAATGTTTGTTATTTTTATGTTATGTTATAAATATTTATTGTTTAGGAATTTTAGTAGAGCCTATGATACGATATTTCATAATTTTACTCTACATTGTAATTTATTCTGATTAAATTTCTGTTTTTAAAGAATCTACTCGTTTTACTTGATCCTCACTCCTACAAGAACGCATAATTCCGTTAATTAACTAAAATAATAATTGTAACTGTTACTTATTTCACGCTCAATGTTTTTTTTCGGCTATTATACGCACTACATGTTGTTGTGTTATTTTGTTTTAGTTGTAACTTGAAAGAAATTATAGAGCGTCTGGATGTGACAATTTTGTTTAGTTCAATTAATTAACCGGGGGGGTTATTAATAATTTGAGACACAGGATTGCGTAAATTTCATGTTATAGTTTTGGTTCAATTTCTTAGAAGTGTTCTGTTTTTATTTTATTCCTAGAATTTTTTTCGATGTAAATTTCTTTTTAAATTTTATTTGCCGTTAACGAGGTATAGCGCGAAGTAGAGATAAGGTTCTTCGCAGAATTGCCGGGCGTACGTGCCGTTTAGCAAGAAGTTGAAAAATCGACGCTTCGCGTGATTGGCGGGCGGGATGTTGAAGAAAGGAGAAGGGCTTTTGGCTTAAATAGAAAATTTTTGAAGAGAGCGGGGCTTTTTGGTCGTTACAAAGCCAACCGGCGCTTCTTCGGTTACGTTATTTTTTGAATTTTGTGGAAGTTTCTTGCGTAGTGGATCCAGGTTTAATTAGAATTTTGTGTCTGCCGTTTTAAGAAGAATTATTGAGAAGTTTAAGAAGTTTGTCGCCGTCCTGTTTTTTTTTTATTTTTTGCGGAAACACGGAAGTTTTGAATTTGTGGGTACCCGAAGAGAGAAGACGTCGGTGTTTGAGTGTTTGGTTTGCGTGTTTGTGTACGGATACCTCTTTTTATCGGAGTACGTTACTCGGACTAATTTTAAAAGTAAGTAGTAGTTAGTGTTTTGTTTTGTCTTGTTTTTTTTGTAATGTTTGAGTAATTTGTTTTTTTTTTGTGTGTCATTTATCTGTTTAAAATTGTAACAATTTGTAAAACAGAAATTTACGCAATTTTTTGTTTGAAATTAAACCAGTCATTGCAATCCAGGTTTTGTTTATTAGAGTCAAGGAGAGGTAATTGTCGGCGTCTCTTACTTTGTTTCAAGTTGATTAAATCTGGGGGTAAAGTTTCATATTGGAATTTAAGGATTTGGTTAAGCCACCTATTTATGTCATTGTTGGAATGCTGTAGGGTGGCAGAATCCAGCTGGACCTTGAGATGCGGATAAAAATTTTGTTTTCATTTTAATTACAACTGAGCTAGCTAGAGGGAAATCGTGGGATTCCCAGAAGTGTAAGTTAGGTCTCACAACAATGTATATACCTAATCTAATATTGTCCTAGTTTATGGAACTATTCTTTGACAAGAAATTATTATTATTATAAGTAATCTTCTGGAGACTTTTTAAATCACACCGTAGAAGTAGTACTAGTATTTTGTTATTCAGGTTAGCTTTGTTCTAGACTCTAGACGATCATTGTGTGATGAGGGTCAGTTAGCTTTGGAGGGCAAGTTTTGATTTTAAATCTTGAGTTGCGCCGTCTCTCGGGGCGGGCCTGGGGCAATAAAATCTAATACAGTTTTTCAAATATATCGTCCCTCATGCTGCAATTTACATGAACATTCCTGCGTACCTTTCAACTAGGAGTCGGTGAAGATTGTAACCTGCTAAAATAATTTTAGCCCCTAGAAATTGTCCGATTTGTCTAGAAGGCGTTCCCGAGCCCCTTACTATTTTTCAGCATCTCTTAAAACTGGACTGTAAAGCATCGTAAAAAGCATAAATTGCTCCGTAAAGGGTCTAGAAACTTTTAACAGTTACATAAAAAGCTTTGACAACGTCTTCACGTGTTCTGTAAGGAAGATTAGACATTCTAAAATAGGACTATTGTGGGGTCAAGAGTCACGAAGGGAGGAAGAAGAAGCTGGAGAAGTCGGATCAGAACGACTGAATTGTGAACATGTTTTTTTGTTGTAAATTACAGTAGTGATAAACTTAATTCGAAAGTTAGTTTATTTGCCTAAAAATGCCTACACTATAGAGTTCTTCAAAGCGCAATTCACTTAAAAGGGTTTAGTTAGAGAGTTGTTTAGGTTCCATCCGGAACTTTTTAGGATTTTCTAATGGAGATTCTATAAAACCCCGTATAAGTCCCTCTGAAACCCTGAAAAGGACTTAAAAGTTATGAAAAGCAAATCGAAAGCTTTAGTAGGTTCCTGCGAAGTACTGAAAAGGGTTTAAGCAGGTTTGGGAGAGTAGTGGAGGGTTTTGGAAAAACATTATAAAGCTTTTGATAGTTGCAGGAACTGTTTATACGGTTTTCTAGGGCCTTTTAGCGCTATATTTGCCTTTTTATGGATATTTCGATTTCCCCAGCTAAGAATCCCCAGTATCTGCTAAAACATACAAAGTACTTGTGTGTTCTATAAAGTCTTCTAGTACCTACGAGTACTTCAATAGTTTTCTGTGCGGTTATAACCTTCTAGCTTTACACCCTTTCTAGGGGTAATTTCTCGAAGGTAATGTACATTTAATATATCGCATTTGAACATTTGAAGATAATGTTACATTTTTATCTGCGACGATTTGTGTGTCGGCGGTAAGGAGGGCATGTTTGAATACCCACAAACAACGATCGTATACTGTTTTTAACTAGAAATGTTACTATACCAGAATTACAGTGGATTGCGTAACGAAACCGCAAAATAGATCAATAATTAGAGCGAATTCTGTTTGTGTGAATTTTTTCTTAAAGAATTATAGCATTTATAAGTAGGTAGTTAAGCCGGTGATCGAAGAATGGTACCGGATCTTAATTTGCGAAATATTGAAGGAAAAGTAATTCAAGGAAATTACAAAATTTCTAATAATAGGTATACGTAAATTCTGAAAACGACCAAAAAGATCTGACAATTCCATTGGTCTAAGAAGAGAATGGAATAAGCATTCAAATGATGATGAATAAAAGTGACCCAACACGCTATGTCGCTATCCCAATTTTAAGGAGGCGGCCACTATGCTTAAAGGGTTGAAATGAAAACTTGAGGTGAACTTAGGTTGCTTCTTCCATACAAAGTACTGTTTTCTTAATTGGGTCATCTTGTAAGATTCGATGAATTATGTTTGCAGTCATTTGTGGATTTTCGGAAACAAACTAACTCACCTAGTCTAAAAAGTTGTGCTGACACAAGATGCAATAATTTGGAAACTGGTATCAGCAAACGGGCACAAATGCGACCATAATCCATCCACAAAAAGAGTATTTGGGTCCTTAAAGAATCTGATTACCAATGACAGAAGATTGAATAAGGTAACTTTGCATTGAAATCAATTTTGGGGCAACCTATAAGGGTTAAAACGCTCCCTAAATGTCTAGACCTGCATTCCAAAATCTGGGTGTTTCTTAGATGAGATTAGGAACAGCAGTTCTATCAATCGAATCTAGTCATTACTCATTTACTAATAACAATCGTCATTTTTCAATATCCCAAGACAGGGCTATGTACCAATACTTGATGGTTGCGAAACAGGGGTGGGCAACATTTCCAAAATAGGAGTTGTGAATAACACAGCGGTTCGAAAAAAAAAACTGACAACGTGCCGGTCGGCAGCAACTCGTCACGTTTCATTTAGAATTATGCAAATAAGTAATGTACACTAATAGCGCCATAAATGGAAATTTAAATTGAGAGGTGCTTTGGCATTAGTACTCTCATTTCAAGTCGTCTCATCGATACAATTTTAATTAAACCGATTTATATGAATAGCATTCGATTGATACACAAGTCATGTTCGCACCAAGATCATATGTAACAATAAATATGTACGAAAATAACACATGGCGACTGCACATTTCTCCATAAAATCATAAATATTGATGCAATACTGTCCCATTTATCCATTTAAGGTGTTGCACTGCGTATGGTAAGATTTGTGTTTAAAGTCACTTGGCCATGGCTTAAACGGGAGTTGCGCAACGTCCTCGACAATGTCTTATAACAAGAATATTTGGCCTCAGATTCTAAAATTCTCAGAAAGGAAAAATTTCTTAGTTCACTAACCTGGTCTACATGATTAACTCTCCATCAGGAGACGGAGAAAGTCGCACATCTTTATTGAATTACCTTAATAGTAATAAATGTTCAATATGATGCGGTCGTATACATAACTATTACATTTACTGCTAACATTTAAACATGTAGATTTACAATTGGTGAAAATAAGTATTTAGATATTCATTAACGATGTGTTGCAATTAGATCAACAGAAGAAGTACTGTGTGTTTTACGAGACCATAACAAAAAAATAAAAAAAATGAAATAACGTTTTCGCCTAGGACATTTTCCATGAATTGATCAGTACTTTCCGAAAGTTCTTATAACGGACTATTTATGTGTGCAAAGGAAAATAAGTTATGGCGTAAATATTTTTATAAATAAAGTCTTCGCATGCGATATGTTTGCCTTTACTACAAGAATTAAAAAATTAAAATTAAAATTTCAAAAAACATCTCCATAAATAAGAAAGTTGAAAGACTGCGCATGCGTACATTAATCGTCAATATTTTCGTGATTGAAGTGCCAGAGTTATTAGCTACCGAATGCAAAGAACCAGAAACAATAAACATAAGATAGAATATCATACTAGTGAAAAAACACAAAATAATTTTTAAAGAATTCCTGATCTTGATACGTTTCTACGTGGGGAAACTTTCTCATATAGTCTTTTTTTTCCAGAAACCTTCCCGCTGCCGGCCTGGAATCAAAATAGGCCGTGCCTTCACCGTTCAAGTCAATATACATTCTCGAATATAGGTATTGCCTCTTTAGAATAATTCGACTGTGTACTGCTTTTTAGAATTGTGTAGATTGAAACTGCCCTTTCTTATCCTAAACTATGTGGAGTCAAAGAAATGAAAGCCTCAACTAGTTTGAAAAGACAGTCGCAGGCTGGGCCACTTTTAAAAAGTAGAATAATTTAGCTGTGTTATCATTCATCTTTATCATCATATCATATTTATTATTTGTCACAAAATACATTCCATATATATAAGATAAGAACCGAACGTACGTAACAAAGTGTCATGTGTAAATATAAATATTTTACATAAATTATAATGTTAAGCTTTAAGCACGATACAATAAACAATAAAATCATCTTTCCAGATATTCGTTCAAGTGGTATATGAAAAACATCCCATTTTGTAAAATAGTTTACAACTATTGTCTTTAACTTTCTTTTTGGGTTAGTGTAACATAATAATCAGGAGTATTTGGAGCTTGAGAACTTGACTTGCACGGATACGGTTAAGGGACGTATTTTCCAATTAATTTTGGAAGACGCTATTATGGTCACTTTCTCCGTCCGACCATCCGTCTGAGGCCTGCACTGAAAGCTCTCACGCTCAAACCGTTTGAGATATAGAGATTAATATAGAATAATATAGTTACATAATAGTTATTTATGCATCAAGGACATTAAGGCGATATTTATGCCGAGGGCGACAGAGCCCGAGGGCCTCCGGCCCGAGGGATTCTAAGTCGCCCGAGGGTTAAATATTGAGTAATGCCTGAGGTGCATACAACATTTTATTTTTCATCATTCCAAAGAATGCATTTCTAATATACAAATATCATGAATCATGATTATTGTTTGCCCAACATTAAGTGCTCCATACGAATCAAGTTGCATCTTTTTTATGACATAATATAACTCCGTCAATCAATTTGACAGGCCTGTGGCGAGCGTGTGCTGTCATTGGCCGGTACGTTTCGCCAATGCGATGGGCGCTAGGGCTCACTACGGAACAAGCCGGCACACGCTCGCCACACTGCGAAACGTACCGGCCAATGACAGCACACGCTCGCCACAAGGCCGTTTGAGGGCATAATGAGATGACAATCCATTATGCTCTCTCATTATGCCCTTGGGCGTAATAGACTGCTTCATATATCACATATGACAGATATAATTGACATATAATAGGCAAATGAAAAATAATAGCTATTTATATATCAAGTACATAAACTGGGTCTTTATGGACGAGTCGTTTATTCAGCCGAGCGAGTTTACTAGTGAGGCGTAAATAGAGATGGCGAGTCCATTAAGACGGTTTATGTACGCGATATAATACAAAGCTTTATGTACGATTGCAACAATACCCTTTAAAGAAGAAAATTTAATAATCGACATAAAATGTTTGTAGTTGTGCAAAAATGGAAGAAATATCGTAAATTGCATCCGCAGCGAAGGAAACTCTTCTTCCCTGCAAACCGAGAACGGTATATGAAGAAGCTTACAATGGATACAAGAAATCGTGCGTAAAGAAAAATGTAAAAAAAAACCATTGAAGATACAATTCTGGCTTACTTTACTACCGATCTCGCGTCGTATAAAGCATCAAGCTTATGGATTCCTTGCTACGCACTACGATTCATTTGAACGAAGGAGTAGATATTAGCAAGTTTCCCAGTGTTATTCCATTTCTTAAATTGAAGGAGAAGGATATACGCCAAAAAAATCGCTGATTCTAACGGATGAAAATGTGGATTCCTTTTTATTAAGCGCTCAGGATGAACACCATTTGCTAAATAAGGTATGTCCGTATTTTTAGAGGCAAATTTTTGAAGATATCTTTAAAGGTAATTCTTATCTTTGGAGTGGCGGGTGCCTGTAGACGTCAGGAATTGGTTTTTTTGCAGACGACCAATGTTGAAGATCAGGAAAAACATTTTCTAGTCAAGATCATCGATACGAAAACCAAAAAAGATAGATCGTTGGTCATATTACTAGGAAAACACAATTTACTGCACATAATTAGAAAATACATAGCCATTCGTCCTAAAGTAAGGTCACACAACAGATTTTTATCAATTATCAGAATGGAAAGTGCACGGTTCAACCTGTAGGGGTTCAATAAGTTGGTGGTGTTCCCAGTGTGGTGGCCAAATTCTTGAATTTAACAAATGCTTCTTCCTACACGGACCATTCTTTTCGAAGAACTTCTGCAAGTCTTCTGGCAAATGCAGATGGAAGTATGACTGACATCATGCGCCATGGAGGATGGCTAGTGTCGCGGAAAGCTACGTCGAAGAGTCGGGCAAGTGAGAATCAACCTTTGAGGATTAATTTTGTAGTTTATTTTGCACACATCTACGGTGTAGAATAAATGTTTATCTTTATCTTTCATCATCAAGTGAAATGTAATTTAGATGATAAGCACAGATCCTGCTCATGTCTTATCTTCAGTTCGCGAGCTATTTTTTCCAATGTAACTTCTGTAAACCTTATTTTACGATTGAGGTAGTTAAGCGATTGGAAGGAATAACAAAAAGTGCACGACCTGTAACTACACCTTGAGATTATACAGGTAATTAAAAAATAAACCATTCGGCGAAACACGTACTGTGATTAGTTTGTTAAAGTAACTTCCAATAATTTTTTCGTCTCGGTAGGTAGGTAGTAGGTACCTATTTAGTTTTTAGCAGAAGAAATAGTAATCGCCTGAAGATGAAGAAATTACTACTCCTTTTTTTTACGATTACCGTATTGGGAATGGTTTATTACGTCCACCTTCCGCAATCCTCCGAGTCCAAGATTTCACCTCTTGCATGTTACGTCGCAGACGGCAACAGATTGCCCGACCTATTCGAAATGCAAACGCCACCAGAAAATTCGATATACTTCATCGAAACGTCGTGCAAGTCGTTTACAGAGGGCGCAGTTTCGATCAACCCAAGACAGGCATGCGCTGTCGAATCCGCTGCCCTAATCAACCCCGACTATCAAACCTACCTAATGTACACGTCGCCTGGGTTAATTAAGGACGAAACCACACTATCCGGGAAGCTTTTACATACACTAACCAACATAAAAAATGTCAACCTGTTGTGGTTGAATTTTCCACGCCTGCTCAAGGGCACATTTGTTGAAGAATTGTACACGAGTGGCAAGATCCAGTCTTCAAAGTTTCCCGTTAACACCGCAAGCAACATCGCCAGACTTGTGCTTCTGTTGAAGTTTGGCGGAATCTACCTAGACCTAGATTTTGTGATAATTAGGCCATTTGATGACTTGGCGTCCAATTTTGCGGTTGCTGAATCTGTGAGCGCCGTTAACAATGCAGTCTTAAGAAGCAGCCTCACCGGCAGTGGGCAAGCGTTTATTAGGACATGCTTGGAAGAATTGCAAGCTCATTTTTCTGGCAACGCGTGGGGGAAAAATGGACCCGCCGTAGTTACCAAGTGAGTTAAGTGTTTGATATTTTCAAAATACCTACTATAAACAATTTTAGGGTTTTGAAGAAAATGTGCAACGTGAATATGATTCAAGAAATGTACCAGAAGAATTGCTCCGGATTCATCGTTTACCCAAGTGATTACTTTTACCCAATTTATTATAAAAACTGGAAGTTCTACTTTGAAAGCGGCCACGAAAAGGATTTATACTACGTTTTAGAGCAAAGTCATGGAATACACCTGTGGAATAAGTTCAGTAAAAACGCACGTTCTGATTCTGAGGAATCCATTTACAGAGTTATTGCTAAAAGTCACTGTCCACAAGTGTATTCTATAGCGAGCGAATATTTTTGAAGCATTGCAAATCAATATTATACTTTATTTTACAGCAGATGTTAAATTGACATTTTAATAGGCTTGAATGAGTAGGCTCAGTCTTACTTTGGCGGTGTGAGGTTAAAGTGATCGCAAGCGTAGCTAAAGTGAAACAAATGACTTAATGGCATCTGCCATTCTTAATAAAAATGGGACGCTGAGCATGAAATAGAATGAAGTTCAGCACAGAAAACAATACTGTACTGGAAACGACGTAAGAGCCCAACCTTACTATTTTTTACGTCTAAATTGTTGAATCTGTCGAAAAGTAAAAAGATATTTTCGTGAGCTCTCTTAATAAATCGCATTACGTGCATTTTTAAATTAAATGTAGTTTATTGGGTGTGTTAATATGGCGATAGTGCTCATAATAATCGAGACTTCTACTAATAATATTAGTTACAATACCTTTATTCGCCAAATAAGTGAGTAGTACCTAATTCTATGCTATCCTAATAAAGTGCATGATTAGATACGTACTAATACCCATTAAATCTAATATTGGGGCATTTTGGATACTCATAGATAAATATTCTCATACGTCTTATCTTAAAAATGGTAAATTGCAATGTATGCAAATCTAAGCTAGGAAGGTATGATGTGGTCTCCATTGCGCCGGAACGTCCAATAATACGTTTCACATCGGTAGAAACGCTCCAAAGAATGAAAAGTGATAAAAGTGTTACTACTTGGTTATGTGATAGCTGCAACGACGTCGTCGAAAAGCCCAACAACACTAGCACTGAGACTATAGTCGATCAAAAACTGGATTTCTCAATCGGCATGCATATCGAAATGAAAAGTTCTATAGTTAATTTTTCAACAAAACAAAGCTTGAAGAAGTAATCGCTGAAAACGCTGAACATAGAAATCGAATAACACATCTTGAGAAGGAAGTCCAAAATTTAAGAAACGAACTGTTCTAAAGTTCGCCTCAATCCTAATTATCAGTGACCAAATACCAAAAGAACGACGTGAAGAGTTAGAATTGCGCAAAAACCAGGGGAAAATTAACCTTACTATTTATGTGCGTGGTCAGCCCAAAATTGTAGTCAATCAAAAAAACTAATTAACTTCCCCTCCTCAAACTATACCAAACTGAAGATGTGCTTTACAAATACTCGTTCCTTGTGTAAAAATGTTGACCACCTAAAAGTAATTATGAATGATTGATATACTGTTACTATGTGAAACCTGGCTTGATTCAGAAAATAGTTATCCTCATTTAGTGTCTGATACTCATTAACTCTTCAGAATGGATCGGGAAACACATGGAAGAGGTGTAGCTATAATTGTAGATAATATTGAAGCCAAAATCCTATGTTTGTTCGTGTTTTTGAAACCGCAAAAAAGATAACCTTTTACAAGAAAGGAAGGAACCAAGACCGGCTGTAGACTTATTTTTTAGCTTATTCGACCCTCCAATAATTTATTTTGTTCTAATTTATAAAAACAATAAGGGACCTAGATTTGACCTCTGGGGTACTCCTGAGGTCGCAGTAAACGTTTTCAAGTTGAAACCTCCATATGAGACAAACAGCTATCGATTGCGAAGATACAAGTCCATCACAGTAGCGGCTGAGACATCTCTTAACGCGTCTAGTTTTGACAATAATATGTAATGGTCGAAAGCCTTGTGAATATGGGCTAAACGAATAAACGAAGATAGCAGGTTTTTAAGGTATTTAAAATCTTATTAGCGAAATCGAACAGGACTGTTTCTCACAAGAATAGCTAAATTCCTTTTTTGAAAATTGTGGAAGCTGAGATTTTACTAAAAAAACAAAAACATTGTGTATAGTGAATTCATCCTACAATGATCGCCACTGGTAAATGGAATAAATGATTCAGGAACTACATAATGGCACGATTGTTGGAGATGGGGACAAGCTCATCCTTGGTATTGTATGTAACCTGTTGCTGGACTTCTCGTTACAGTCCCACTATTTTCAAAAACTTAAACCTTAAAACAGTGAGGGTGGAGAAAGGGGCCCGAGAATTAAATTAGACTCCCAACACAAAAGTTATATTGTATAACTATTAATCTGTATGAGCGTAAAAGTGACCATATATGGTCCTAAATAATTGATTAAGTAATTACTACTTGTAGTATATAATCACCGGAAATGTAGTCAACCGAAGCGTAACAATTCTAGACGATATTATTAACAATTTGTTAATCGGACACAAATATATGCAGCCAACTACGGTAATTAATGCAAACTTCCCATGGCCATTTTTTATAGTTAGATCGACGCCTTTTCTAGGATTATTCAGATTTCTTTTCACTTTTGTATTTACTTTCCTAAAGTAGAATCCAATAAACGACAAAACGTCAAATGGTAAATAATTAATATGAAACCTTGAAGCCGCTGCATTACTTGTATTTAACACCAACTATTTTTAAATAATAAATTTGTTCATTATATAACGCCAACACGGTCTGAGATCACAATGTGTGATTTACAATTCTACTTTATATGGTCTTATTAGCAAAGGTGTTTTTGTCTCAAATTGTCATAATTTTCTTATGTAACGTTGTGCCTAACGCTGCGTGTATGAATATTAATTTTTGAGATGGGGAGAAGCGTAGCCGAGGGCTACATGACCTCTCGTGATCAGAAAAATAGTTTACTTTTGCAATATTGAAGGAGTGCCAACTTCCTTTTAAATACAAAAATTTGCGTCTTAGATCGTCGAGGACAGCATCTGTTCGTTTATTACACAAAATTTCACGATTAATGCCCCAAATACTAAGTCTGTTCGGGATTACTTGTATAAAACCCCCTAAAAATAATCGCATGTCACCTATAATGGAATTGTACATCCTCCACCTAATGAAACAGGTTTGCGTAGCACCTACTTTGACTTTACAATTGATTGCATAATTTACACGATTAGTCACGCAGTCTTAAAAAATAAGACAAACATTGCAAAAAAATGTAACTGATCAAAACCGCCCCCGGTTTTCTTGTACTTGTTTTATCCAAAGCGTGGGAATTTAAGAATATTTTATTGCTTCGAATCACGCCTGTATCATCATTTTCTTGCAATCCTCAAAAATGGACATGGAAGCCTTGAACTTTTCAATTTTTCCATTTGACAAGACTTTGGGGCGACCAAAAATTAGAAATTCATCTCACAGACAAGAACGCCCACCTCGCTAAATCAGTGTTTCAATGTCATGTACCAATAAAGCATATTTTTAAATATACCTACCCTAATTGAATTAGATTAATTTGACTTGGTGAATTACGTGACCAATGTCGAGATGCCTATTTTCAAAAATATCACGCGTTTAATTTCCGAAGTTTCTAAATGTTTATAGTTTGTTTAGTTCAGCAACCTTGCATTCATCACGTAATTTTCTTCAATCGCAAATTAATTTAAAACAGAAGCGATTACTTAGCAAGGTTGATTTATATAAATGTTATACAATCAGACTTTCGACGAAAAAATTGGGCCAGTAAATGGCACTTACGGTCCATGCAGTGGTTTCAATTAATTATAAGTTATGATTATCAAAATTGCAAAAAAAACCATACCTAGAATTGTGTACCAAAAAAAACTTTGGGCACCGCCACTAATAAACAAATATAGCACCGTGTTATCACTAGCAGGTTTATGGCACTCCGGCTTCTTGCCGACTAAAGGTGGGCATAACCAGGACAATCGGGTTGACCATAAACACCTCCATCAGAAGCTCTAGCCCCTCTTTTCTAAATTGCAAAAGTGACGTCACAATGGTCGCGTTTCTGACCATGTGTCGTGTTTCTGAATTGTGTAGGACAGGACACCTACGTCGTACTTCTAAATGCACTTTCGAGATACGACGTTACGATAAAATGAGATCATCGCCTTGTACAATTTTAAGAAGCGCTTCATCCCTCTATCAACCTATGGGAAAATTCGCTAATTTACTGTATTATTCCATTAATCAAAGAGCAGCAACACCATGAAAGTACCCTTAATTTTGCTTTGCGCCCAAAATCATTTTACTTTTTCACTACCACAGGAGAGAAGAACTTAAAAGGTATCCATATACACGAGTGGCATACCAAATCAGACTTCGTAAGACAATACTTCTTTAACCTTGTTCCGAATGCAGATTGCAGAGACAAATTAATGGGTCAGTGGTTTCATGGACACATCTTATTTTCGCAAAAAAGAAGAGTAAAAACCATCTTGGTCGTTCCCATTCCACGTATTTATACATTGTTAATGAGAGTTTTAGGAACAACCGCGCCTCTGCCCATAATTAGTGGTATTGTACATCAGCTGTGCAGTTGTACACGAATTGGCCTATAATAATGCAGTTAAGGACGCCTACATATTTTCAGACCATATCTATATATGGCTTCATAAAATCCGATCGACTTTCAATAAGCGAAACAAAAAAGGAATAAAGGCAATTAAAAATTAATCGTTACCTCATAATTTTTGTTTACACGTTTTATAAATTTGTTAAATTTTTTTGTCGCTGAAAGTGCAAGGATAAATTGATCTTTAATATCTGAAGGACATTCTCATATACAGTACTCTATTTAGTATTTATGGGGCAATTTATATAAAATGGTCCACGCTCATGTCCAAAAATAGCTTCACGTAATTTTTAAATTTGATTTTACAATTGATTATACGTTAGTTCTAAAACGCAGGTAGCTATTTATAATAAATGATGTTAGTGGCTGCCTGTATATTTCATCGTGGAGTTTCTCAAGGGTCTGTTTCAGGTCCCATCTTCTTTTTCAGTTTACATTGCAAATATATTATTGATCTTTTCACTCAAATCATTTACTGGAGTTGAAGATTAAGTGTAGGTATAATAAGTAAGGTATATCTACACAACAAGAAAGCTTTATTCAAATAATTTATCGAAAAATTCTTTTGAACTTCTACCCTTCTTTACCAACGCTTGTAACCGAACTGTTGGATTCAGATTTGGCTCATCTTAATACAATTATTCAACTGCAAATTCGGATGAGCCAAATTTTGTAAATAAAACTTGGTTAGAGGCAAAACTACAGTCTTTGCTAAATTTGTTCGTAGTTTGTCCACTGTGTCTCTTAACGACTTAACATAATCGAAGTCGTGTAATTTTTTCACTTCTGTCATCTATCCAGGCATTCAGATATTATTCATTTTTCGGCTGTTCTAAGACAAGACGATTTTTTATGAGTTTTAGAGCCAAAACTACAAGTTTAGTGTATTGTTTGTTTTTTCGCCCACTGAGCAAAGTAGCATAATTTGTCTTAATACTCTACAGGTTATAATCTGTGACAAATTTGCATTTTTCAATCGATCTAAATCAATTTCAGAAGGAAAATTATAATTCTTTTTGTACCCAGCGGATATCTAATCAAGACAGGACGCCATTGCCGAATAATCGGAGAGGTAGAATTGGTTTTCTTTTGGTTTTCTTTCTGTAGTCATCGGAACGGAAGGAAAACTTATTTTTATCTTCATTATAGTTTGTTTCTTTCTTTTATGACTTTTCCAGTAAATAATTTAAATTTTTCCTTATGATTTCAAATGCAAAATGATAGGAGAGGTAACATTTTCGTTGCTGTGGTAAGAAGGTAAACCTATTTTTATCGTAATTTTAGTTTAGTTGGTGTTTATGGTTGCAGATGCCATATTTATGTGCACAGCGAATATCATACCAAAGCAAAATGCCAATGTCAAAGGACCGGAGAGGTAGAAATGGTTTTCTTTCGGTGGTGGTAAGAACGAAAACCTATTTTGTTTGCATTCCTTTTGTGCATTTCTTCTGGCAATAATTTTAACTTTTTTATGACTGTAGATGCGATACTTTGGTGCGCCACTGTAAAATGATCAGAATTATAAATTGTCTTTTTTTCGGTGGTAATAAGATATTATATTATGGTCTAATTAATTTGTCATTTAAATCGAGTTAAAATAATGATGTTTGATCTTTTATTTTATAGCAGATGTTAAATTGACATTTAAATAGAACTGAATGGGTAGCCTTTTTAACCGCAAGGGTAGATAAAGTGAAACAAATTATTGTGCATGTATGTTGTTGTTCTGTATTGTTTATCTGTATTGATTTTGAAACAACATTCACCAAGAGGAGGGGAATTGCAAGTAATGCAAAATACATAATTTAGCACATCTTGCCGCCCCTTCGAAAGTGGCGCTCTGGGCTATAGCCCATCAGTTAGCCCATTTATAACCCGGGGCCGGCTAATAAGTGGGGAAGTTTTGTTGGTAACTGCAAAAATAGTATTTAATTTTTTGCTTAGCTTATCAATGGTATACCTTCAGCTTAATTACTTGAAGTAATTCGGAAGAGTTTAACAAATTATGTAAAATTTTGAAGACAAAAATTGTGGATGCAATGAACAGTCGGGTTTATAACCCAGTCATTTTTAAGCCAAAAGTACTATTTAAGTAATTACTTAAATAGCTGGGTACCGTACGAGATCAAATATGGATAATTGTGGGTTGACCTAAAAAAACATTACTCGGATGAACTTTTTCTGCACTTTTTCGATCATGTCGATCATTCTTCTTATCCTAGTAGGTAATCTTGTCCTGGCTCTAGTTGCAGGTCCATGATCTGTGAGTGGCATTTACTAAGGGTGACTAAGAATTTTGATAGTGTCGGTCTGTCGGAAGAGTCACTAAACAAAAGAGTTTGAGGCTGACGAGGATCTAAAGAAATCGAATTTAAAACTTGATATATGATGTCCAAAGTCCAAAACAAAGTAACGAATTTTCCTCATTTAATGTGCTCTCCATTGAGGTGCTTCTTAAAAAAGAAATAATACCTCAGTACAAAATATTAACTATCCAACGTCAGTATTATTTTGGGTTTAAACTATGAATAGGTTTTTTTTTACTTCCTTTCAACCCTTTGCATATATTTGGATTATATATTTTTCTTTCCCTTATGTTTGTAAATAATTATGCAATATGGACACAACTTCAATAGAATGGACTGTACACTCGTGTACAAAACTTTCTTCCTCTCCTCCACTGTTTGATGACATTTCCGCCATCTTCCCTCTGGCAAATTTTAACAGTGGCACACTGTAGATAAGCAGATCAAAATCACCATCTAAACCACTATTTACAAACCAACGGTTAAAAGTTGGTTCAAGGGTATGACATCAACTGTATTAGTCTTTTACATATGCTCGTGGTATAGGTACAAATTTATCTTGGGATAGGTGTACAAGTAAGGAAAAGTGAAAATGTAAGTAGAAATAAATGAAGGAATGAACTAAAAGACATTCTTTCCATAGGTACGTCAAAATTATTCCGCGTAACTTACTATCGGAAGTAACTGCCCTGTCACAATTATGGTAAGATTTAATATGGTAATGGCAACATTTTATGACAAGATCTTTTCGACTATTCTGGATTTTTCACAATGATATTTTACTGACCATGGTAGCGCAAGATGTTTTTCTAGAATCTATAATTTTTCTGGTATGCCGTCTCAGTCACGATTACCATTAGGTAACATTATTTTGAAGAGTCTCCTAATATCGACATTAACCATCTTAAGATTCCAGTTACTGCAAACATGTAAGTAAATGAACCATATTGTTCAGTTTATAAGAAGTGATATGGCCAATTAGATAAAGGCATTGTATAGGTATTAGGAATGTTGACGCGCACCTGTTATCTACGGGCAGAATAAATCAGTCGTAAGCGAGTCGCGTCGTGTAAAGACGAAAGTGCAAGTGTCGTTTTGGAATTTTTAGTTTTTGGACCAATGTATTCTACGGATCAACGCGATAGTAACAGGTAAGATTTCATTACGTAATAGTTCCTAACATTGATTCACATTCCGACTTGATAAATCAACTGATTCTTAAAAATGATTCCAATTTTAACGTCCATCTTGCTTTGCATATAATATGCTGCTGCAGTTTCTGTTTAATTTATTGAAATTAAAATCAAAATTTAAAACTTAATCACTATCAGTGTGACCTTTTAGGCACCTGAGCTGGAGAGAATGCAAGTAGATGCATCAAAGAAACCCAAATTCTGAAATTTCCATTACGCCATGTAACCAATATTATATTATCCAGTAAACTACTGAAGCCCGGAATGATTTTATTGGGATGTGTATTATGGGCGTGAGGCGACCACATTCATGATAAGTAACTGTTTTTCAAAACGAAAGACATGACAAATGGGATGGTTTCTGAAACAATTTTGTATTATTTGTACCTATTAAGAGATAAGCAACATGCGGGTTTTCGAATTCTTCTACACATGTGGTGTGGTGTGGAATGAGTCACATCACATTGTTCAGTTTGGCAGTGATCTATTAGCCAATTAGATAAGAATGACTGCGCATACCTGTTATCTTCGGTCACAATATTATAATATTTAAATTAAATTAGTTGTGTAAACGTGGCGCGTCTGTGTCAAGACTGAAGTGAGTGTCGTTTTGACGTTTCTACTTAAAAAAACCTATTTTTTCTCGGGATCAACAGTAGTAAGAGGTAAGGTTTAGGTAGTTACATATACCCTAACATTTGTTCGGATTTAATTAACAAAAAATTCAATTTTGAAAAGTCCATTATGCACTTTTACCGTTTCCATATAAATTTAAATCGAAATTTAAAACTTGATCATAAGTGATGACCTTTTAGGTACCTACGCAATTCGTTATTTGTTGATCATAAAACTGTCCACAAATCTTAATGTATAGAAAAGTAGTAACTATAAAAATATTCAATCCTTTCCTGACCAGCGTTTTACTGTTTTTAGTTCCAAGTTATCTTTATTATTAACATATGTCCTATAAAGTCCGTAAACGTAGCCTTATTTTGCTTGGTAAATCAACCCCGTAAGAACAAGGGAACCAAAGGAGCTGTTCAGTAGGAACTTAAGTAGTGCCTTCATGATGAAAGGAACCATTTACAATTCTGGTTTAATGTTCTGGAAAAATACTCGCATACGTCGCGTCGATTAGAATTTCAACATACGCGTTTTATACACAGGGGTATCTTTTTTTTTTTTTTTTTTTTTTAATTGCCCTTAAACTTAAGTTCATTAGCCAGCAGCTCATGTGTTTCTTTGGACCTAGTCTAAACCTGTACAAAATGATTTGAGGGACCACAAAGGAGTGGAATAGGGTGTACTCTTCACACCCGGGGGTCTCTCGGGGTGGCTAACGGACAGAACAGGTAGACCTCGGACTTGTTCAAAATGTAAAGATACTCAACAGTCGCCAATAGGCGAAAATGAACACGAAATCTAACCTATCTAAAATGTGAGCTGACTTGATTTGATAAAATTCATAAGGGCCGTGCAAATAGTCACACTTTGTACTGCTAAGTACAAAATGTGCACTATATTGTAAGGTGGGAAAATGCCCTCTTTACCAAGGTCGCTATACAGCTTTTGTCTTTGGTTTGTGTATTTGTTACAGGCAAAGAAAATGTGATTGAAGTCACTTATTACTTGACAATCGTCGCATAAGTTCGAGTCCAAGACTCCAATCCTATGTAAATGATATGGATAGCAAGCATGGCCGAATTTCAGTCGGCCAATTGTTACTATTTCGCTTCTTGAGAAACTGGAGTTGTCGTGCCAAAATTTCCTAGGAAAAGAATGTTACCAGAGATTATTAATTTTTTTTAGATTATTGCCCAAAAGCAAGCTCCACTTAGAAAAATCGTAGGGACCTTGATTTTAAAGTTAAGAAATACATTTGATCAATAATGTTAATCTGAATAAAAGGAAAAGCTTTGGTAATGAGAAAGTCGGATTTAGTGATACAGGGTGTTCACGAAAAAATAGTAAAGTTTCCATATTTCAAAGTGTCATAACTATTTTTTTTTCAAATGGAACTACCACTATTTTATTTCTTTATTCGACAGTCTTTTGTATGCTCTTCGATTTTTATAACGGGTGTCCTGTGCCTAAACCCCGTAGCTTTCATCAGGTTATTCAATATTTTTCACAAAAATAGTTACGCATTAATTTATTACGTGTGTAAACTACTGAAGTCTGCTATTTCAATTTGCCGATTGCATGATGGTAGGGTATTTGATTATAAAACGGCCCATCGTAATGCGAATAAAAGATGTGAAACACAAAAGAGAAGAAATAAGCAGCATGCCGGTATTTAAATTGTATTGCAAACATGTCAATGAATCATATTGCTCACTTCAGTTTAGAAGTGATATGGCCAATGAGATAAGGTCGCATTGTATAAGAATGTTAACGTAAACGCACGCCTGTTATCTACGGTCACAATAACAATATTTAAAGTAAATCAGTTGTGAACCTGTCCTGACAGTGTAAAGACGAAAGGGCAAGTGCCATTTTGGTGGTTTTTAGATTTTTGGACATAACCAATGTTTTTTCGGGGGATGAACAACAGTAAGAGGTAAAATTTACGGTAACATTTATTCAGATTTAACGAATCAACCGATTTCTAAATACATTCGAGTGTGCTCCTGTTTTCTGCTGGAATAGTTTTTATTTTCATATCAATCATCCCAATTTAAGCACAAATTTAAAACTTGATTATAATGCGCTACTCAATCTGCTTTAGTTAAACGTTTCTGGGAAAGTGAGATAGGTAATTTTTTGAAAATGTGTACTTATAGGAGTTACTCTGAAGGCCGAATCGATGTAAAATGTTTTCAAAATGCTCGCACTTCCGGGAATAGCTAGTAACTTCGTTATTTTAAATGACAACCCCTATTTTTTTTATTGCACTTTGCATTCTACTTGAAATTTCAGTTCTTTTGATACCGCATGCCGATATCTAGCATTTATGGTTTTTAAGTTATCTTGACTTTAAGAAAAAAAATGGCGGATGCAGACGGTACTTTGATAATTGATTACCTACTTGAAAACGGTTGTAGTGGTAACCCATTTTTACCAGTGCATAGAGAAAGAATAGGGCTTTCTTTTAGTGTACTTAAAAAAAAGTTAAGTTGCGTATACGCGTCCGCACACAGAGACCCAAATTAAAAAAAAATCAAACTAAAAAGTCAGTTAATGAAATGACCATTTTCTTACTATCGCATTAGAGAGAGGAGCGAAATTGGCATATTTTGATATTACATGTTCCTATAGCTAGCTTTAACAGTTTCTGACTCATTCCCATTTCATTGAATTCATACCATTTTCTTTTTAGTAGTGGACCATGATTTTATAACAATCGAATTTTGGTATTTGAACATGTCATTCGTGGCAGTTGGTAATTATCTACTAATTATTAACTGTCATGTACTTCAAATACCACCTACTCATTCCTGATTCACACGATTAAAACACAAATTCAACGAGCAATTGACATTGGCAAAAAATTGGTCTCGTTGTTGCCAGTGTACATTTGGATACCTACATATGATATTTATATATTCATAGAGTCTCAAATACCAAACTTCATCGAGTTTGGCATCTATAGAACTTATTTTTGAATCTGGTGTCCCACTTTTATTGTCAATAAATAACGTTTATTTAAAATAGAACTCCCTATATTGTTTATTGGTTTCGATGTAATTTATTAACTTCTACGTTGAATGGTACCTTTTTTTGTCAACGCTGCCAACTTATTAATTTTTTTCGAATAATTCCCCATAAGCAAGCCCCACTTAGATAAATCGCAGCGACCTTACCTTTGAGCAATAATGTTAAAATCCGAGTAAAGGCAATAAGATGGTTGGATTTAGTGATACAGGGTGTTCACAAGGAAATGGTAAAGTTTCTGAATTTCAAAGTTCTATTTCCCAAATGGCACTACCACACTATTTTATTTCGCTGTTCGATAGTCTTTTGCGTTTTCTTCAATTTTTATGTGGGGTGTCCTGTGTCTAACTAAACCCCCTAGTTTTTAGGATATTCAATATTTTTCACAGTGCGGGTGGTAAAAACCATGTCAATGTATGGAATGATAAAATACCAATATACTTAGGCAACCAATTGGACACGTAATAAAGGTCTGCAAAAGTCACGTGAGCCATTCGAAATGGTTTTGTAATGACGTTACCGTACGAACTTTGCCGAATGCGTGCTGAATTAATTTTGCGTTTATTATTTGTTATTAATATATAAAACGGGTTTCGGTATTAATAATGGTCATTTATTGAAGGATAACATTGTACATACTAATAAACAGAATTCATTACTATTAAATAGAAAATAAAAACTAACGTAGAGTCACCTTTAATAGGGCGAAGTTCAGATTTATGAAAAGGGAGTTTCATAATCTGCTCTTCCACTTAACCCTAATACTTAATAATAATTTTTAATCAAAGAAAGTATACGTCCTGAGTACAAAATTGAATTTAATTTTCAATTAGTCAATTCTTGAAGGGCGAAAGTATTTTAAAAAGAACTCTCGTTTGTCGCGTGTGATGTTGGTTATCTATAACCATTTGTTCAATAGTTTTTTAAAATCATAATACATAATAGCCCATATCATAAACTGTATTTAAGAAAAATTCCCTGTATACAACTGGTTTACCCTCAAGGTAGCACCCATTTCGAATAAGCCAACTATACAATGTTTTATTCATTATTTTTTTCTAAACCCAATTTATTAGCATTAACAAAGAATTGTTTGGTATTAATTAGCAAAAGTTTGTACTGGCTTGTGAAAAAGCGAGCATTCCCCATATAATTGGATAATTAGGAGTTCACCTATGCTTTAGTACTTCACTAAAATGTTCTAAACTTGTATCCATTTTATCTAATACCTATCAAACGTCGCCCACGGCACTCCACTCAATTTGGGACATTCTGATGTTTATTTAATTTAAATTTAATTATGACAGACCACATGAAACAAACACTTTATGTTTGGCATGTGTGATTGGGTGGTATAATTTTGATTTTCATAGTTTCTACAATATAACGTACGTACATATACCTATTTCAGAATGGATATCCCTTTGGTAAAGAATTTTCTTTACACAAATGATGTGTTGTGGTTGCTGAGAAAAGTCTTGCAAGTTATAATAAACAAAATTTTTGGACGTTTAGTGAGATCATGTGCAAATAAACCGATATCCTATTAAGTTTTTATTATTTTATTAAAATTAAGATTATTAGATTGCTAGTATCACGCTAAGAAAATTACATATAAAAAGAAAACATATTTGATCGACTCTTAACTAAAAAAATAGATTACAAGTTGGTATTTTGGGAACATGGCCTCGACTCAAAAATACACCAAACAAGATATACAGTGAATTTATAAAAAATGTAATACTTAGACGTATCGTGTATAATGTTGGTTAATATTACAGTGGAATGTGTAGCTACATTCAGTATAAATAATACAAAAATGTAATTTGTAGGCGTTAGTTAAAGCTATAAAAGTTTTGTAAAAATATTTTTCATAAATTTTTACGAAGTTGGACTAGAAAAATTTAGAAAATGATATAAGGTATCTTACAATGCATAAATTAAAACATCATACAAAAATATTAATACTTTCAATAATCACACTGGTTAAAATTAAGTTTCAATTACTAAAATTTAATTAATACTGTTTGTAACAGTAAATTACCACCTTATCACTTAAGTACTAAATTGGTAACTATTGAAATCAATAAAATTACTAGGAATTGATTCATTTGACATATACTAATTTAGAAACCATCATATGAAAAAATAAGCAAGATCGTTGTCGACATACATTCCTTTAAACAGGCACAAATCTAAAACATTTACACCACAACATACTAGAATCGCCTATGTTTTCATTCTGTTATTTAGTTTAGTAAAGCCATTCCTGTTTATTTTGTGGCCGTTACGAGTGTCCCTATGAAATCGTCCGGTAGGTTTCGTCCGTGACTCAAAGACCACATCCGAATCTGTATCACTATCAGATAAGTTGCCACCTTTACGCGAGTCTAGGGGAAAGTACGAAGAGTTGAGATATTACCGATACAAATTTAACTTACAAGGCTGCAAATCTTCGGAGTCCTCGATTAGTTTATAATTGGTAGGTTTCGGCCTCATCCTTCTCTTTGAGCAGAAATTGCAACACAAATAAAACATACCCCATACCAGCGCTAGTACGGTCACTATGCTGCAAAGTACTCCCAAAACAACATATAGAATACTCCATCTGCAATCTGAGTCTTCATCCGAGCCGAAATATACTTTGAATAAATCCTACAAAAATTTCAACTTTTCAGCATGTTGTTTTGACGGACTTGAGGACACTTGAGTAAAACGTGTAATTACCTGCATCCAAAACGACTCGCAAATACAGTTACGAGTCTTTTCATCACAAACACCATGGCCAGAGCAATTGTTCTGACAAACTGTAGTCTGAAGTCGCATGACGTTAAATCCTAAAAGGCTCTGATCCATCCTTAACTTCTGCCGTAGGTAATAAACGACTTCATTTGCATCAACCGGTTTTCCTTTAGCATCGTCAACATAGAAACTAATCACCACTTGATTAGTGCTGGTGTCTGATTTAATTCCCCTCACCTAAACACATGAGTTTACAACGGACCCCCTACTGAGACTTATCTAACCTGTAACTTTGTACCGTCCTTAACCAACAACGCCAACTTTCCCTTAATAATTTTATACTGTGCCTCGGATAAACGATTTATATTCGAGTCAATAACCATTTCGATAAGGTAATACAATTTAGGATCACTTTTTACTGTCACATGAACCGTGTCTGTATCACTCAAGCCCTGCTTATCGGAGACGGTCAGATTGAACACGTACTTTCCGGCCACCGCATTCACCAACATTAAGACAGGCGTACTATCGGAACCTTCTGCGAAATCGCCCATTGCTAAGGAAGTGTCGTCGCGAATCCACTTCCACTGCTCGACTGACCAATCATCCGTCGACTTCGATCCGTTGATGTAGATGACGTTTTGGGGAAGTTCGATCTCGAAATTGCCACCTGCGTTTGCCTTTGGTTTTTGGTTGCTGTCTGCAATTAATGAATACATTTGATGTATTCCAATATTAATTACCGCAATCATCATAGTTGGCGGTTTGCAAATGTATCATTGAGCATAATTCGGATGAGATTATGAAATTAAGGGAGAATCTGATCAAATGGAGGGCTCTGCCTATATTAAAAAACACACATTCAACATTTCAACAAGATGGTGCACTACCTCATAACTTGAAAACAGTTAAGTGCCCATTTTCAAGAAAATTGGATAGGTATCAATGGACCAGTATGGCGACCACTACGTTCACGATTTCTTCTTTTGGGGACATTCGCGGTTAAATAAATTTTACTACGAAAAAATTTGGGTCAAAAGTACAAAACGTTCATTGCGTTTATACTTGGAGCGGTTAATTACGATAAAAGATAAGTTTATTAACCAAATTTGTACACCTCTGTTGTTTATACGGGCGATAATAGGATTTTGGGTTAACAGCAACCGGTAAAAAGTTTAAAGACGATTAATTGATGTTTTTTCTTTCCTTGGTGTAAAAGTAAGTTCAGGCACTAAGCACTCGAAATAAGTGAAATAATTAGAACGCACTCGGCTTTCAGTCCCTACTGTCAATTGTACAATGAAGGCATAGCAAATTTCGAACTTCTGTTCAGAATGTGGAAAAATACATTACAGAAATAGATAACTAAAGACATACTTACTCTGTTCGACGGTAACAAACACTGTATCATTAGCAACATTTTTGTTATCATCTGTAACAAACACTTTAAATATATACTGTCCCTTTGTTAATCCAGTGACGTTAGTGCTGCTCATATTTGCGTTAACAAAATTGACGGTAGACGGTCCGTCGACTTGTTCCCATCGGAAGGCGGTAATTTTGTTGTCGTCCGTACTTTGACCAGCGTCGACGACGACCCATGTCTGAGGTAAACTAATTGTTATATTATCCCCGGCTTGTGCTACCGGCGGTTGATTGGTCGGCGGTTTTACAAACACGTGCACCTCCGCCGTGCTACTCTGATTGGCACTGTCTGTGACTTTCAAGGCAAACGTGTACATTCCCTCTTCCAAGTGGGAGAGTTTTAAGTATGGTGTATGCGTGTCTTGCATGTCTACGGCTTTATCCGCATCACCCGCGCTCTTAGTCCACTCCCAGGTGGTTATGGCGTGGTCATCGGTACTTAAATTACCATTCAGTGTAATTTCGTTACGTGGTAAATAAATAATTACATCCTGCCCTGTAGAAAAATATATTATTTGTTGGCGCCACTTTCATTGTTAACAAACCAGCATTGGCTTCCGGCTTGTAATCAGTCACTTTCAAAACTGTAACGTTAGCAATCGCCGATGAAGTATTTTTGTCAGTGTCTGTTACAGTTAATTTAAAGGTGTAATTTCCCGGATTGGTGAGATCGTTCAATTGCAGTGTGGGCGTGTCCTTGAGATTCGGTTGGTATCCTAAACATATCAATTGTTTATTTGGGCGCGAAGGTTATAGTCTTTACCCAATGGTCCCTGTTGTAACTCCCAGTGCCATGACACAATGCCGTCATCGTCCGTGGAGGAGGACGCGTCTAAGACGGCGCCAGTGTTTGGCAGTTTGACTGTTTGATTCGCAGGAGTGATAACAATTTTTGGCGGTTGATTAATTCTAGAAGGCGGCAGGACGGTGACATTAACAAACGTTTCGCCATAGGCATCGTCGCTAGAGACACTAACCTGGAAGGAATTTGTGTATTGATTTGCTCCAGTTAATTTGCTATATTGCAAACTTGGCGCATATAGTAAAAATGAAATTATCTAACGAAAAATGTTGCTGAAAGTCAAATCCTATAACTAATCCATTCCAAAATCAGAGAGGGTGGTTTAAATTCGTGAGAAATACTGTGTGAGTTAAATGGAGGCAAAGTTACCCCTGTTTGTGAGACATTAGCTTGTTAAAAGTATTTCTAAAAAACATTCAGAGTTGACTAAACTCGAAAAGCGCCCTCTGGCGGCAATAAAAGTTTCCATACGAGGTCACTTTCTCATAAAATTTGAAATCAGAAGGTTGTCCATGTTGTTCTAACATGACATTGCACCAAATTTGCAACATTTCTGACACACGCCTTTTCGTCTAGAAAATATTTCAAAACCTTAAAAGTAAATAATCCCTCGGAAAGCTTAGACAAGTGCATTTCCTCCCCATTCTGATGCTTGACGGCGGCACTTCCGGCGGGTTGTTGTAGTGAAATCCAGTCGTACTGATACTTAACCCCATCCGGCGCAGCAGGTTCGACATAGGCGATAATAGTGACTTCGCTGGTGGGGTACTTGACTTCCTTCGATTCGGCGGTTACGGTTAGATGTTTCTTAGTTTCCGGTGGTATACTTATATTAAGCGTTGACTCCGACATATTATTAACGTCGAGAATGCACACGCCTTCCCAATTTCGTTTATAACCAGACTTACACTTACAGGTACCTAATGTAAGAAAATAAGCAAATGCGCATCGTAAAAGGAAGCGGCTTACCTGCGCGGGATTTTACATTATTCTGTAAACATTCTTCGTTTTCCGGGCAGGACGGTATACCCAGACTGCAACTGATTTGATAGTCATAGGTGGATCCTCCCGCTTCCAGTAGGCTTTTGTACGCATCCTCCAGTCTGTGCGGATCGCTTAGTAAGTAAGACAGCTCACGATCTGAGACATCATCCGCTGGATTCTCTGCACGCAGAAGTGCTTTAGTCTTAGAGTTCATATATAGCCTACAGCCACTAAATCTGTGCCAACATAATTATGTGAGTCGAATACCGATCATGCGCAGTGAGTTGACATTCCTGTGTTGTAGTACATATCAGTCCCATTTGAAATTATTACTGGTCTTGTGTATTAACAAATGACAAAAATCACACCGATCACATTTTAAATCCTTGGCAGGTCCATATCATGACAAATGTTAGATGATCAGATGTGCTTTTAAGACTGGATTTATGTTTGGTGATCTTGTTAATAAATGTCTGTTATAATTACATTTATCATTCGTTGCATAGTCGCAATGTACACATTTTAAATTTTTGGTAGTCTTATGTGTTAAATGCTATTGCGCATGTGCGGTGTTCTATTTATGATTCAAAATATATCTCTGTCTGTGTTAGGTATGTTGGCACAGATTATTGAAAGTAAACTGGAGGTTACATCTATGATGTATAGGTATATGATCTAAGGAATTAGACCAATAATTACTAGGGGGAAACCACTTATGGGAAATACATGTAAAAGTTTTTTTACTTTGCCATTCCAGAATTACAGAAACAATACAAAGAATTCCATGGATGATTAATTGGAATTATGTTGACATTATTAGTCATTATAAATGTTGCTACAAATAAGATTTTTCTATTTTTTAGAACAACGGGAATGGGGATGATTTTTTGGGGAAAATTCTGGTTTTCTTTAAACCAAAACTGTTTAATTGCACAATTTTTCCTAATTTTACCATTGTCGTATCTTCTGTTTTCGGAGATCTCCATGATAAACATCCTATCTCGGGCACATGTCATATATATTTTTCAAATGTTTAAAATGACCATGAGTCATTTTTATTGATTGGTATTGGCTGCCTTAGTTACCATGGATTCAATAAACAAAACAAAATTTTTAAAATCCATGGCCTACTATTTAAAAACCGTCAAAACTAAGGTTTTATTTTTGGTTAATTGCTAAAATCAAAGCTAAAATTTAAAAAATATAGATTGTGATACTGATACATCAATGTAATCAGGAAAAAGAATGGAAAAAAATTGCGTAAGATATACAGGGGTTTTACATTTATAAACTACTTTGGGTCAAATCGTGGTTCAAAAATTTTTTTTACTACGCCACTGGATTCTAGGTAAAATATCTCACATAGGCAGTTTTCACCTTTTTTTCTATTTTACATGTGTAGTAAGATATGATAACATTTCAAAAGTTCAAACCTTGCGTTTTCACCCTGTATCTCAGACACGAACGTAGCTAGATTCATTGTTTATAGTATTAAGTTTCACAAAAAAGTAGCACAGGGTCGCGAAAACCGCAAGCCTTTATCTTTAAAAACAATTGAGATAATATACTGCAATCTCAGCCAAAATAGGACACACAGTACATTCATTTGACGACTAACGCGAAACTATTTATATACAGAGTATCTAACAAGCGAGATCAATTACTTAAAAAAAAACTGAAAAGTGCCAATTTAAAAAACAATAAATATCTTCATAATTATAAAACTTATGAAAAAAAATGTAATACGAAAGTATGTGACTTCAATAAGCCCCACAAAAATGAGATTCAATATGTAAAAATTGTTCAAAAAATTTATACAGGGTGCGCATGTTACATTTCAGTTTTGAAATTAAATATCCGTTAACTTACCATTCCGATCAATTACTTATCAACAAAATAATTTTACCTCTTATACTCGCTCTTATACCATTGAAAACTATCATAGATAATTATTATTTAGATAGTGATTGAAAATTTACAGATCTAAAAGACTCAACAAGATAATAAGTACTTATTTTTTTTTCATTACTCTAATCTGTAGGTAATTGTATCAAAGCATCAATTCCGTAACAAAAAGGGGGGGGGGGGGGCAAAAAATTATTAAAATTTTTTTTTCATTAGACAATAAATGTTAAAAGAGCATGACCTCTAAGAAATCAAAAACCGAATCTCAAACTCATATTTAGTCGGAATCGGATGATTCTCACAGTATTCTGGTATACCACTGGGAAACCAATATCTCTTGATTGAATTCCAATGTATTCCGATTTTATTCCATACTAATCCATAATATTCCACTTGCATTCCAACATATTCAGGTCCACTGATTCCAGGTGATGAATTTGGACAGTCTGACATGCACAGTGATCCAGCATTTAGTGACTCAGCTGACCCACTCTTTATAATCCAGCACTTGTGGCTTCTTTGCAATTGTCTAGCCTGCTCAAACAATGCTCTATATAATAATAACCCGAATATCTAGCGATGCTGTACGAGATAAGTGTGTGAGTACCACTTGGTTTAGCATGGCCTATCTGGAACGAATTTCAGGGAGGTACTGTGGCAAGCACTATGCTCCATAGCTATCATTATCATTACTATCCCAGGGTGAACCCCATGCACTCATTTTTAGCAAGGCCGAGTCACTCCTGAGGAGAAAAAAGGCAAATATTTTGGCAGGCCCTGGGATTGAACCTGGCACCTTCGTGATCCTACCACAAGCCTACTGTCTCCTCCTCACAAAGCTCTAACACTGTATAAATAATTTCTCAAAGAGCAAATGATTCAATCTGAATTTAATAAACACTATTCGGCCAATTAGAGGCATTTAGAAAAAGTTGCAAAACAAGGTCGATTCCAAATTGTATCAGCATTACATTACCATTATTCCGACACCGTAAAGGAATGAGTTATCTGGAATGCCTAGACAAAAAAATTTGGTAATCTGCACAGATCTGTAGCGAGTGGCTTCCCCTGGTATTGCTCTACACTGTACAGAAAGACCTACCCGTTTGAATGAATTCATTCCAGGATTCATCTGGATTGACGGGTCGAACCAACACCATCGCAATATGCTGAATTGATTCCCGATTTAGATTGGCAACCGGAGCGCACGTTTCGCTTCTCTCACACGTAATATGATAACACTTCTCATCTGTTCGAAATGCGACGTTACACTCTTCCTTTTCACAGCACTTAACAACGCACTGTTTTAAGTTGTTCAGATCGGGCACTTCGACATACGTACCTAAAACAAGCCATTACAAATTCATCACTATAGACAGAAGCAGTTTACCAGCGCTTATGTTGCCCTGCGGTACGTATCCTTGAAAGATTTTCGGGTACAAGCGAGGACAGTTGTTTCTCACCGTGCTCGCGCGTGTATTTTCGAAAAGTTGCGAATGGCAAATTGTGATAAAAACTAGTAAAATGGGCACAATTGGACGCGTCATTTTCTACAATACGAAGACAAGTTTAAAGATAAAAATTGTCGGAAGATAAGCGTCTAACCTCAACTGCCGCTGTTTACCTCTCTCTGATTTAGAACATTTGGCAATAAGTTTTTTGATTGTGCATTTAATCTCAATGGCAAATCGAGGTCTATTAATGATAGGATAGGCCAAAACACTTCAAAAATTATGCTAAACACCTGTTTTTAATTGATCACCTGACAGTTCATTTTGCAAATGTCAAAGTAGTAACCTACAAAATATATAGATATCCCAGTGGCGTAACAATTGAATTGGTATATGGGCTCTCTATCCCCAGCTCTAGTCATTGTCCATTGATTATACAATCAATGCCCTAGTATACGAACAGGCCAATGCAATGTAAATTTCGACTCAGTATATCACACTTCAACTGAGTTCAACAATGTGGTCGTATAGAGATTTCTTACGAAAATCGTGAACGTGCACATTTATTTTAAAACTCAACCGAAATAGACAAGAGAAAAATGTAAATTAATCTAAATCTTCCTCCTCCTAGACGGCCGTTTATCAATAATAAGCATTTCAATTACTTATCCGAGGTCTGAAAACCACACGTATTTTTTTCCATTCAGTTTCGCTTTCAAGGATTTTGCGAACAATTCGAACATTACTCCTAAACAAAGTAAAAAAGACACCAGACGTAAAAAAACGTTCGACAAAAAGTTTCACAGCGGCATACTAAACCATTTACGTGTTATAAGTATACAAATCATCAAAAGTATGCTTATTATACGTAAACGGTAGTAGATATAAAATGACGTTACAGACTTATTTTGTACGCAATTTAATCCTGTAGACTAGATCCTCTATTTCTGTTTGCCACGAATACCTATTGAATTAAATGCGTGCGATCATGATTTTCGTAAAAAAGCACTATATGAGTCTAAGATACGGAAGTGTGTTTAGTCTCCTTTCTACACTATATTGAACACTATATTGCTTCATACAACAAGTAATTCATGCCCTTTATGTTATACTGTGAATAATACATTATATATAGAACCGCTAACCGACAATCATTACACTTTTGTTTGTGGTCGTCTGCTCATTACGCATTACCCCAAGGCAGTGTATATAAATTTCTTATATTGAATCTCTAGAACTTGCAATTGTTTGGTAGATAACAGTTTTCTTCTGTCAGATTCCCGTCTATGCGCCTTCATCTGCTAATGTTGCAATACAATTAATTTTGGCATGATTTATACGTCGTCCTAATTTTACATTTGATAAGTAGAGAATTAGTTATAAACATTAATTATATTCCTTTGTTTCAGACTCCCATTCGTGTCTTCGCCTGCTCAAGATGCTAACCGCATGGTATTTTTTAGGCACCGTTCACATTAATCGGTAAAATTCGCATTTGTTTAATAAATTATTTGTTATTGACATTAATTATTCGTTTGTTTGCTTCAGATTCGCTTTTGTGTCATCGCCTGCTGATGATGTTAACCCTATGGTATCTTTAGGGATCGTTAATTTTAATCCCTTAAATTTACATTTGTTTAATGAATTATTTGTTATAGACATTAATTATTCGTTTGTTTCAGATGCAAATTCGTGTCTTCGCCTGCTGAAGATGCTCCATATCGTATTTTTAGGTATCGTTCACATTAATCCCTTAAATTCGCATTTGTTTAATTTAATAAATAATTTGTTATAGACATTAATTATTCGTTTGTTTGTTTCAGATTCGCTTTCGTGTCATCGCGTGCTCACGATGATAACCCCATGGTATTTTTTAGGCACCGTTCACAATAATCCCTTAAATTCGTATTTGTTTAATAAATTATTTGTTATAGACATTAATTATTCGTTTGTTTGTTTCAGATTCGCTTTCGTTTCATCGTCTGCTGATGATGCTAACCCTATGGTATCTTTAGGGATCGTTCACTTTAATCCCTTAAATTCACATTTGTTTAATAAATTATTTGTTATAGACATTAATTATTCGTTTGTTTCAGATGCCCATTCGTGTCTTCGCCTGCTGACGATGCTAACCCCATGTTCTTTTCATAGATCGTTTACTTTAATCCCTTAAATTCGTATTTGCTTAATAAATTATTTGTTATTGACATTAATTATTCGTTTGTTTGCTTCAGATTCGCTTTATTGTGTCATCGCCTGCTGATGATGTTAACCCTATGGTATCTTTAGGGATCGTTAATTTTAATCCCTTAAATTTACATTTGTTTAATGAATTATTTGTTATAGACATTAATTATTCGTTTGTTTCAGATGCAAATTCGTGTCTTCGCCTGCTGAAGATGCTCCATATCGTATTTTTAGGTATCGTTCACATTAATCCCTTAAATTCGCATTTGTTTAATTTAATAAATAATTTGTTATAGACATTAATTATTCGTTTGTTTGTTTCAGATTCGCTTTCGTGTCATCGCGTGCTCACGATGATAACCCCATGGTATTTTTTAGGCACCGTTCACAATAATCCCTTAAATTCGTATTTGTTTAATAAATTATTTGTTATAGACATTAATTATTCGTTTGTTTGTTGCAGATTCGCTTTCGTTTCATCGTCTGCTGATGATGCTAACCCTATGGTATCTTTAGGGATCGTTCACTTTAATCCCTTAAATTCACATTTGTTTAATGAATTATTTGTTATAGACATTAATTATTCGTTTGTTTCAGATGCCCATTCGTGTGATCGCGTGCTCACGATGATAACCCCATGGTATTTTTAGGCACTGTGCACATTAATCCCTTAAATTCGCATTTGTTTAATAAATTATTCGTTATAGACAATAATTATTCGTTTGTTTCAGATACCCATTCGTGTCTTCGCCTGCTGAACACTCCATGATATTTTTGGGAATCGCTCACATTAATCCCTTAAATTCGCATTTGTTTAATAAATTATTCGTTATAGACATTAATTATTCGTTTGTTTCAGATGCCCATTCGTGTGCTCGTCTGCTGACGATGATAACCCCATGGTATTTTTAGGGGTCGTTCACATTTATCCCTCAAATTCGCTGAATTCGCATTTGTTTAATAAATTATTTGTTATCGCCATTTTAATTAATACTTTTTTTATAAATTCCCATTCATGTCTACGCCTACGGACGATGCCAACTCGATTACGATGGTATTTTTAAGGATCGCTCGCATTAATCCCTTAAATTTGCATTTGTTTAATAAATTATTCGTTATAGACATTATTCGTTTGTTTCAGATATACCTACCCATTCGTCTCTTCACCTGCTGAAAACTCCATGATATTTTTAGGGATCGCTCACATTAATCCCTTAAATTTGCATTTGTTTAATAAATTATTCGTTATAGACATTAATTATTCGTTTGTTTCAGATGCCCATTCGTGTGCTCGTCTGCTGACGATGATAACCCCATGGTATTTTTAGGGGTCGTTCACATTTATCCCTCAAATTCGCTGAATTCGCATTTGTTTAATAAATTATTTGTTATCGCCATTTTAATTAATACTTTTTTTATAAATTCCCATTCATGTCTACGCCTACGGACGATGCCAACTCGATTACGATGGTATTTTTAAGGATCGCTCGCATTAATCCCTTAAATTTGCATTTGTTTAATAAATTATTCGTTATAGACATTATTCGTTTGTTTCAGATATACCTACCCATTCGTCTCTTCACCTGCTGAAAACTCCATGATATTTTTAGGGATCGCTCACATTAATCCCTTAAATTTGCATTTGTTTAATAAATTATTCGTTATAGACATTAATTATTCGTTTGTTTCAGATACCCATTCGTGTATTCGCCTGCTGAAAACTCCATGATATTTTTAGGGATCGCTCACATTATTCGCATTTGTTGAATAAATTATTCGATATCGTGTCTACCGCATGGTACTTGGTAGCATTATGTATGCAACAATTGTGATATACTGTTTTGCCAAAGAGTACCTATGCATAGTCTTTGGTTTTGCTTAGGATTAAAATTCGATGCTGTACTAGGCTAATGGCTCCCACTGCAGAATTTTCGTGTGTATATCAATTTTACTTTGCAGCTATGCCAAAGTGACGCACAAAACATTAGGCAACATTGTGCACTTTTTGACGTTTCTTTATTGATTAAACTGAAATTTGTTCCATCTTTAACTCTGCACCGAAACTTAAGATAACTGCTATAAAGTAAAGATTGAAGGGAACACTGACCAGCAAGCAGCCTGCCCTACTGTAAAACAATCTATTTGTCTCTGGCGGGTAGGTATACTGATCTTTGATTCTCCTAGAGAATCCCTCGACACCGTCGGCGGCCATGAAGAACAACTCAAAACACGTCAAGAGCACCACGAGCATATAAAAGTAGCCGTATACCAATATCGCCTCGCGTTTCTCGATGATCACCTCGTAGAGGAACAGAGCGCCCAAACCAATGCAGGCGATGCATCCAAACTCACGGAGCCGTTTCAGATCGGACGCCTGAAATGAATTCTCGTCGGAGGCCAGGAGAAGAAATGAGGTGAGGATGTGGATCAAGGCGATGATGGTGCAAGCGTTTTTTAGATTGACGCAAAAGCAGCAGCTTGCAAAGCGTTTTTCGTGACACATTTCTGACGTTTTACATGTCAACGTTCGCAAGGAAATACAAATGCAAGAACTCCTACACACGCTCGCTCGTATATACTACCAATTTGCCGATGGACTGATTGGTTTACGGTTGGCTGGCTATTGTGGTAAAGGCCTAATTTCGGGTTGTGCGCCCCTTTTCACCGCAATCAACACTTGGGATGTGTTTGTGTGCTTCTTAGAAACTTCACCATTAATGATTAAAAAAACATACAATTCTTTAAAAATTGTAAAAAAATCTTAGTAAATTCCAAGAAGGCTATAATAATGTCACAGCCATTATGACGGGAGAGAATTTTCCTTGCGACTTTTTTAAGAAAGTTCCTAAATTATTCCAATAATATTTCACTTGATGATTCCGCAGATTCCATTTTCGAGTAAGGTACTCAGAAACACGGCAAAAAAATTTTTTCCCCTCAAGTTTTTAGAAGATGTTAGCCTGGAAATTTCAATTTTCTTTATGACCTATCCCATGTTTTTAAATTTTAATTCATATTTAACCCTTAACCAAAGAGTAATTATATTAGGTATTAAGTATTCTTTGCCCTTACTTTAATACCTATCCATAGCCAAGTTTTCAAGCGTTGGGTATTTGCCAACAACAAATTTTTCTTCATACTCCATCGTTCATTCATCGCCAGCATCGGTCATGTTATAATGTATTTGTCTTAATAAAAGATTATTTCTTATTATTTATTTGTTTTAAGTTTTCCGTCGATGTTTTCATCTGCAGCTGATGAAGTTCCCCCGCCATATTAAATGTTGTAAACACTATTACTTTATGCCTTTGTTTCAGTTTGCCGTCCATGCCTTAATTAAGGTACCATTTGTTAAGCTAAGGCAAAATAATACTATTTTTGTGTGATCATGTTCTCGTGTCCTTTGTCTTTTTTTTTTAAATATTATGTAATTGTACCTGATGACGTGTGAAAATACTATTGTATAGATCACAAATAATAAAATGAAATGAAATAACACAACTTCCCCATTTATTAAGACCTTGATCACTTTAAATAAGTTGACCTCAGTTAATGATATCGACTTTTTTCACGATCACTTAAATTCAATAATAAATCAAAGTAGATCTTAAGTCCTAATGTTTGTTCAGAGCCCCACTGCCATGTAATTGGAATTTTTATTCTGTATGGTTCAATAAATTAAATTAAATAAATAAATAAATTGCTGATGAAGTTCACTCTAAGTTTTATTATTGTATTGGTTTTATTATAGTAATAATTTCGCATTTGTTTAAATAAAAAATGATTTGTTGTAACAATTTATTATGGTTTTGTTTCAGTTTGCCATCCATGTCTTCATCTGCTGATAAAGTTCACCGTGCGATATTAATTATAATTTTGCGTTTGTTTAAATAAAATGTTAGGTATTTGTTACAATCATTGATTATGACTGTTTCAGTTTCTCAACCCTATATGGTATTTATTATAATCATATGTCATAATTTCGCATTTATTTAAATAAATGATTTGTAATAGGTAAACATCCATTATTCATCTTATGATATTATTAGCCGTATTATTATTTATTTAATAAATTATTTGTTCTACCTAAACATTTTCTATTAGCGTCCTAGTACCATACGTTTGTTTATTACTTGTACGGTTAAATGATGGTCAGTTTACTTAAATACGTACCTACCCGAGACCTATTAACATTGACACCAATTACCTAATTATAAATAGATTGTCTTTATCTATAAGTGTTCGCGGTCATGCAATGGCCTATTCAGATAAGTAGATCACCTCAGTCTACTCTTAGCTTCTGTCTAGGCTATTGGTATTGCAAATATTAATAATTTAAGTACGTAATTATTTATGGTATTTACATAGGCACGTTCACACATTTTACATGTAACTAAATGAGTTACACAAGTAGATTTGATCGGATCGATCTGTCACGCGTTTAGATATAAATTGTTGTTTTCCTTATTTAAAGCATAAGAACGTTTTGTGCAAGAGAAATTGAGTCACTAAATTGGCATTAATTGGTTAAACGGGCACAGTTGTATACCACCAGCGTGATTATAGACACCATGAAAAAAGTTAATTTTGAATCTTTGGGTGTGTATTAACTACTATTATTACATCATAAGATTTGCTGATTGACGTGCATGATTAAGTATCACCAATGAAACTGCTTAAATTCTGCGCATAATTGCAACTAGGTACAAGATACCCAGTTTGCGATCACGTCTTCAAAAAATACATTACCCTACTAAGCTGTATTTATAAATTTCTTTTTTTTAGATCCATCCATTCAAGAGTTACTAAAAAAGGCAGAAAAGGTTCGAAATCACTCATACTCGCCATACAGCCAATTCAAAGTGGGTGCAAGTGTGCTAACTGAAGACAATGAAATCTTCGCAGGTTGCAATGTAGAAAACGCAACTTTTACAAGCATTTGCGCTGAAAGGACAGCTTACGTAAAAGCTATAAGTGAAGGGAAAACTAAGTTTAAGGCAGTTGCCGTTGTTGGTTTTCAAGAGAATTTTGTAGTAGCTCCGTGTGGCACTTGTCGGCAATTTATGAGCGAATTTGGTAACGTGGAAATTTATATGGCAAAGCCGAATCTTGACGAAATTAAGGTTTCCACTTTAGATGTGCTATTACCATGCCAATTCCATTTTCATTAAACTTTTCTGAGTTCGCGAAGTACTTTTTTTAACCGTGTTTCCTTTTCTGTTCTGTTCTGTTCTAACGCAAGAGAGTATTATGACTGAACTATTACATTGACTTGAACCAAATTTGGTACATATCTTCCACTTGACTAAGAAGACAAAATCGCGATTGCGCCGCGCCAATCATTCAAAATCAAAATTTTGAATCCTAAATAACAGTGACTGCGCTTTCCTAATTACGCATAATAGCCCAGGTTTATTTGCCAATCTATTTAGTAGTAGTAGGTATATTGTAATTGTAATACGCACTATATAGCAATAGTAAAGCGGTGCGGTTGGTATCTGTTGGCTACGGCAAAATTTTTAACATCCTTTCACAACTTTCCTCTTTGCCTCCTTCATGATTTTTTGCTTTATACCTACTTCTTTCTTGTCTCTTTAGGCTACTATATACTTCTTTACTGTTCTGTCGCACTTTCTTTAAGGGGCCTACCAGAGCTGTGCAAAGGAATTGGTACAAAAGGCTTGGAAAGCCTCAAGCTCTAAAAAGCTTGCAATTCCAAGGCTTCAAGCCTTTTCTAAAAACAGGGCTTTGGAATTTACGTCTGAAGCCTTTTCGCGTGAGCTTGGGGCTTTGGATTTCAGACAAAGAGCTTAAATTCCTTTTAAAAGAATTGAAATCACTTTTTCATTTACACTTTGATCTTAGCCATAGGCCGAGAAACGAGTCTACACAAATCACCCGATCACTTTTTAATTTTATTGCCCAAAGTCTAAGACTACGATCCTTTATCATGAATGAATAATTGTTTCCGTTTATCCTGGACCTATTTTTTTTTATTTTTTTTTTGTATGAAGATGTACTAAAATTAAGTTAAAACTAAGTAAAACTATACTGGTAGGTACATTACAATAGGTAGTTACTATTATTATTATTTTCCTTTGTAAGCTTGATTAGTGTTTAGTAGTGTAGGTATGTTAGTTTAACGCTAAACTCTGCAATAAGTTTTTTTGTTAAGAAAACTACTAAATGCAATAAAAATTATTATTATTATTATTATCACTTTTTCATTGAAAACTTCATTTTAAGGATGGAATTCCCTTTAAAGAGCTTCAATTCCTTTTTAATAGGCTTGAAATCCTCTTTAAAAAGGCTTCAATTCCTTATATGCTTCCCACTCCCACATCATTTTTTATTTCCATTTTTTTTTGAGCTTGCACTTTCAGTACGTAGTAGGGCTGGGCGATTACGGGTTTGAATAATCGATAATCGATTATGAAAAATAATCGATTACACTGATTAATCGATTAATCAAATAATCGTTTAATCAAATAATCGATTAATCAAATCATCGATTAATCAAATAATCGATTAATCACCTAATCGTTTAATCAAAAGTCGATTGTCACGTACAAGGAGTGATAAATATCTGTTTGTATACATTAATACGTTAATTATTTAATAATAAAAATAAAAAATAATTCCATTACTCTTTTCATCAAATCGTTCATTACTAGGCAGATCGATTAATCAATAATCAACAAAGTGTCCCTGGTTTGAATCTGGGTTCGGGCATAGATATTTGCAAATGCATAGTGGGTTGGTTGGTAGAACAGCCTTGGCTGAAACCATGTCCATTTGAAAATGAAGGTCAAAAATAAAAATAAATAAATAAAAATAAATGATTAGGCAGCTTACTCTCCGCTTAAAGTGACGTTTTAACATCCGCTATAAAATAAAATAATACTTGTGAGCTGTGAGTGCTCCTTTTTGCGTAAACTGATGATCCAGCTAATAATAATCAATTAATTTTTACTTAATAATTGATTAATCAAACAATCGATTAATCAAATAACCGATTAATCAAATAATCGATTAATCAAACAATCGATTAATCAAATAACCGATTAATCAAATAATCGATGAATCAAATAATCGATTAATCAAATAATCGATTAATTTAATAGAATAATCAAACCCGATTATCGATTATCGTTTGATTATAATCGATTAATCGATTTTTTTGCCCAACGCTAGTACGTAGAACTGTTAGTGCGTGCGGTGTTGTTGTTCTCTAATGGGATAAAGTGTAAGTACCTACCTCTATCTAGAGCCTTAACTAAATTATAATACAATTATATGCAATTATGCACTAGCAAGCAAGCAAACCAAACCAGCACTTATGCAAACCAACTATATTTATTTATTACGTTACAGCTACTGGGTCCTGTATTCTCATTATATTTTATCCCTTCACTCAACGATTTTATAAAAACGAAAAGCATTTGTTAGAGTAATAATCATTCATATTTTATTAGACATTTCAATTCCTTTTGCGAAGGAATTCCATTCCTTTGCCAAGGATTTCAATTTTTTTAAATTCCAAATCCCAATTCCTTTTCCTAACGAATTTCAATTCATTTTTAGAAAGGAATTCAATTCAATTTCAAAGGGCTTTGAGCTTAAGGCTTCGTAACTTTAAGCCTTTTTTAAAGGGCTTTGGAATTTTAAGCCCTTTTCGTGCTGAGAGGAATTTGAGCTTTCCATTCACCATTCCTCTTACACGGGCTTGAGGGCTTTGGAATGAAGCCCATTGCAAAAGGGCTTTGCACAGCTCTGGGGCCTACGCTTATTTACTGTCAATGTTCTCACTTCTTTCTTATAATGCCTTCTGTATACAACCGTTTCAGCATTTTGACGCAACACTGCACTCTTCTTTCACGTCAATTTGGAGTCCATTATAGCGGGTCTGGTCCGACATTCAATATTCTCTATCTATCTTATCTCTGGTGGATCTGGTCAAGTTATCGATATGTTACATACCAGGGGTTGAAACCCGTGTGAACCATATATAGGTTTCGGTTCCCCACTACTTATAAGTAGAATTTTTTAAGGATGATAAATACATAATTTAAGTAGGTAACTTATACCAAAGAGTAACCATAATTACTCTTTGCTTATACCAAAGGGTAGGTTACTCTTTGCTTATACTTTGCATAAACGTATTTGTTAGGTTTAATTGAAAATTCTGTTTAGCTTACCCGGTGCGTTTTACCTCCGGCAACTGCCTGTCTTTTTCTATTCTTCATTTGTTCAGCAGTACAATAATTGCATTCTTCAACCCGCCTTACTGTTTTTGATTCGATTGTCTTTATGTTCGGTATTAGTCATTCTAGTGTTAGCTATACCTGAATCTCAGTATGCCAAAGTTTACACTTAGAGACCCACCTTTTTTGTCACATGTTAAAAAGTATGTAAAAAAACTAGATGGTAGCTACCAGCGGCAATAAAAACGAGCACTTTTTCCAAATAAACCAAGGGTCCAACTCCAAAGTGGCAAAATTTGTATTTCTCCTTCAATATTTTTTGTTGTGGCTACCATATAAGAGTTCCAAAGACAATTTTGTTCCTTCACTAATGAAGTATGTACACAACAAATTTCGTGAAATTCTCTCTATTTTAGTTGTCCGGCCCAGAATTAAGTTCAAAAACCGCCCGATACCAAATTTCGTCGAAAACAGAATTTTTTCGCACCCCCATTTAGGGGTGCGCCCTTTCGTGGTATGAATTATGAAAAAAAATTGGAAAATCAGAAAGGGAATAGCTCAAAACCTATTCAAAGGCGTGCCACTATAGTCTTTGGAACTCATATAATCTTATGGTTGCTAAGAAAATAATTAAAGAAGAAATTCAAATTTCGTCACTTTTTTGAGGGTGGCTCCCAAACGAAACACGCTGGGTCCTGGGTTTATTTGGAGAAAGTGCTTGTTTTGGTCCCCTATACCACACCTAATATTTTTTACATACATACACTACCTTGTATAGGTATTCTATAGTAGGTAAGTGCTAAGGGTCTTTGAAAAGAATATAGAACGAGGGGTAATACCCTTAGGACAAAGAAAAGATTCAACGTTCAGTTCGCTACAAGGTTCACAAAGATCTTTGTTTACTGGGGGTTATTCCATACCACCCAGTGATATGTGTGATATGTTCACCTCCAAAACGTTCAGTCCTTACACATTTTTCCATTGTGAAAGGTGCTAAGGGTTTTAAATGCAACAATAATCAAAGTAATCAGAGCTGGGCAGTATTCGATTTTGTAAATACTTTTTAGTATTCAAATCCTTTAAAGTATTCAAATACTTTGTAATTAAATACCTTTATGGAAGCAGTATTAATTTGTATTTGTAACTCAAATACTTTCACAAATATTTAGTATTCGAATACTTCGCAAAGTATTTGGATACTTCGTAAAGTATTCGAATACTTCGCATAGTATTTGAATACTTAACCTTCCTTTTTTACCAAAAATCGACTACACCAAAATTTCTCGGGAAAACACTTTTTCTTATTAATTTTGGTGCGTAGAATCCCAAACAATTCGTACTTTTTCGATCAGACTTCTCAATCAAAAGTTATAGACTAGAAACCAATTTCGAAAAAAAATTCAAAGGGCTGTAACTTTTGAACTAGTAGCCCAATCTTGTAACTGTTTGAAATTATGGATTCTACAGGCCACATTCTATAAGAACATTTTTTTTCCGGGTCGATCTGAGACAATTTTTTTTAGGGCCTCAAAAAAAGGCAGTGTACAACCTTCCTTTTTTACCAAAAATCGACTGCACCAAAATTTCTCGAGAAAACACTTTTTCTTATTAAATTTGGTGCGTAGAATCCAAAACAATTCGTACTTTTTCGATCAGACTTCTCAATAAAAAGTTTTAGACTAGAAAAGAAACCAATTTCGAAAGAAAATTCAAAAGGCTGTAACTTTTGAACTAGTAGCCCAATCTTGGAACTGTTTGAAATTATGGATTCTACAGGCCACATTCTATAAGAAAATGTTTTTTCCCGGTCGATCTTTGATAATTTTTTTTCCAGCCTCAAAAAAAGGCAGTACTTTTAAGTTATTCAAATATTTGAGAACAATTTAGAAATGTTTAGGGAAAGTTTCCATTGTCACAAAATCAAATATAAAAATCCGATACAACTGAATACCGAACGATACTGGAGTGAAACTTTTTGACTCGATAGTCTACGTAACTTAAAAACAATAGGGACCTTTCTTATATCCTTAAGACCATGTGTACCAATTTTCAAAGCGATCGCACGTTTCTAAACAAGTTATCATGCACACGGATGGTCAAAAATGGATCTGTTCCAAAATCGCTAGGATTAATTTCAGAAAGGCATACGTATCATGTGTACGACGCTTTAAAAACTGGTACTGGAAAACCAATCCCTATGTCTACTTCTTAACAAATATCATAGATGAAAATAGCCCTACAGCTAGGACCTCAGATCGAGTGGAATTGCGTGTGTAACTTTTAAAAATTGTATTTGGTCTATTTTGTTATTACTACAGCAGATTGTATTTTTGAATCGATTATGGGAACTCATAAGGTAAAATTTATTACACCAGCAAAAATGTAGGCTTTATTAAATTAATCAAACATCATTTGGGAATATAAACTAAAACATTTCTACATTACTCGTTAGATATCATTAGCAAGCAAATGACAAAAATTACCAAAAAGGGCACCAGCCTATATAGCACTGACATAAATTCTCATTACTAGTCGCCTGTTGAATCAGTAATTCGACTTGCCGTGGAATTGTGACGTTTTCCTCTTGCGGAAAGTCACGGCCGGTTAATTTTTCTCTAACCCTCGTGATAATGGCGAGCGCTTTTTTACTTACGGCTTCTATATGAATGCCGTCGCCAACCATTTCGTGACAAGGCAGACCTTTCTTGGAGACATTTAAGCTCAACGATCCCAGCTCCTGATCCTGCGAGGAAGTACCCGACAGCGACCCCACTTCGTTTGTGTTAGAGCGATTATTTCGACCGGCGTCCATTAATCGCCAGTTCAGCAGCGGGTCATAAACGAACGCCTCCAAGACGGCCATTAAACTATCTTTATTGTGATGCAAAACCGCCATCACGGACTCACACGTGCGCCGGTATGTACCTTCAATTCCAGTTACTTCCATGGCGTTAATCAGCATGCGAGTTAAGCGGAACGGAATTTTTTCGGGAAACTTTTCACGCGTCATCGCAACCTCGAAACAGTCGCCAAAGTCGATGTGCAGAATTTTTCCGCTCAGACGATCCAACATTAAGTTGGACGGGTGACGATCGCCTAAACCGAGTATATAACCAATCATTGACATTACGGCAAGTGACCGTGTGTAGTTGGTGCGTCGGTCAAACCACACCTCCGACGATGGGCTTTTCAGCCACAGTAATCGTGCCAAATCATCGCCGTGGGTGTGTTCCAGAGCGTGCTCAAACACTTCGACCTTTTGCATCAGGGTTAAATGGTCATAGTCGGGTGCCATACGCAGCATAATTCGATGCTCTATATTTAACAGAATCTTCTTTTTCTCTCTGTAATCCCTTATGAGCGTATGCAGAGTGTCGCAGTGAGGTACCCAACCAATTAGACCAGAGTTTGTGCTTAGTGGAATAACCGCATATCGCTGTATGGTAAGATTGCGCCGGAAGGTGTCCGGATCTTTAAGTAGCAGCGTGTTTACCAACCCGAACAGTTGCATTACTCTTTCGTCTTGTCGCAAATCCTCGTGACCCTTTAAGAGGAACATGTAGTCCTTGCCGTTACTGCCTCGAATTAACAACTTGCGCGGCCTCTGCTTGGACGTGATCACCTTAAACAGTCGTCTTGTTAACTTTGAAACATCTTCACTTTATTATTTACCTGTAACGAGCTCTGAATGTACGCAATTCTGACTACCGGCTGACCAGGACAGTAACTTCCGGGGACCGCCAGCTCCAAGTCGCGACAAATTAAGAGGTTCGGAGATACATATTGCAATTCAAGGGAAGTCAGCTGAGGCAATTGGCGTGATATTCGCCGAAATACGTGATAGTATAAATCCCAAGCTTGATTCAAATCCCGATTATTTCCAGAATGCTAAAAAATTAGTGGAGTAGACTTATTAACCTCCATCAGCATTATTATATTAAGTATCAATTTTTTAACCTACTCCCATTGTATTTACATACAGTATAGATATCGTATCAGCAAATTTGAAAGCACCCCCGATATCTTCGTTACAAGGTCAGAATTTTGAGACTCTTAGGAATTCTTGAGAAGTTTAAACATAATTGGAGAGTATACCCACAAAACTTGAGGCCGATTTCATTCCGTTAGTTCGATCCCGAAAATTTTAACGATTTCTAAACCATAAATAAAAAGAATGACCAACTAACCATTATCGTCTTGTAACAGGCCAGTTACATTTACAAGGGTCGAAGACTTCACTTGCATAAGATAAAATTGAACCTCTACGACACTCAAAATAAAAATTGGTAAAACTTTATCGGTACTTGATAATTTTTTTTAAACAATTTACCGTACTTAAAGTAGTACACGTAACCACTCGCGAGATTGGCTGCAAAAATATAGCAATTATGCGAAAATAATAAAATTCTCATACCAAAATTGAAAGGCTAACGTCGTCTCGTGTCTAAAAATCCCCGCATAAACCGTCTAAGCAATGTTTATCTCAAAACACACATTTTTATCCCTGTTTGTTTCGGGACGTATTTTTGTTCATGTTCGCTATGAAGCGGTACTTGTTGTTCTTGTTCATGCAGCAAGAATAAGACAAAAGTGGGATCAATCAAGGCAACATTTCTGGGAAAGGGAACATATATTTTATGTCAATAAATCTTTTTCGTCGATAAGGTTGCCATACTATCCCTTTATAAATACAACGCTAATAGCGACATATTAATTGTCTGTTTTAATATGAAACTTGACCACTACAGTAAAAAAGTATGTTTACCTTAAACCGTTGACACCATTCTTGAGCTTCTGCTAGATCCCTACCGTACGCTTGATTAAAACTGGTTTCCTTAAGAGTTTGAGGCCCTCTATCCATAACCGCGTGTAATGGTTCCAATACGTCAAACATTCCCTTAATATCCTGTTCACCGAAAAACAATCTGAAGTATTTGAGGTTAAGTGGGAGACAGTACAGTCAATCTGCATACCTTGACGCCTCCTCCAACCCCTCGTGCCACATCTCATGCCATAAGATAGCTACCCGTACCAATTCCTCCGAAACCATCACAGCTTGATTGACTAAAGTTGGCGAATGCTCGCTCATCGACTTTAATATCTTATTTGCGGCGTTTCTCCTGAGCACTGATGTACTTTTAGACGCAACGGACAAAGGATATATCAACGCCTACAAGTAAGACATTAGACTAAATATTAACGATTCTACAACACCTGTGGGTAGGATTTTCCGATATCGATGAGAAGATGATGTATCAAACGTGACACTAAAGCCCGAGGTGTATCAATTCGCGCTATCAGTTGCGGAATCACTTGCAACCACGTATTTTTTTCAATCAAGCGCATTCCTTCGACAATCGCATCATGCACCTCGGACGACTGACCGTAGTCAAACCACAAGGTTAATAATCGCAAAGTGTCTTGAAGGGAGCTTCCCTTGGACAAATTAATTGATCTAAACTTAAACGTAAAGTGCTCAAAATATCGGCAAAAGGACAAACCTAAAAAACCCCTGGACGGCGAGAACGGTATAATGTATGATGTCGTTAGTTTTATCGGTCTTCGCCGTCTGGCCAGAGTTCCGAAGCAAGTTTTCATTTTTGTAAAACAAAACGGTTTCAAAGTTCATATACGCCCAAGAATGCCAGGCCTTATACCAAAGGGGGTTGTGTTCGGTAGCTTGCTGGAAGCATTTTAAAATTAAGGGAATGGATTTCTCCTTGACACCCTCGAGTGACTCTTGCCATTCCCCTAATTTTAAATAGCACCTCGCTAACAACCGTCGCCTGTCATCGTGAGTTACGTCTTCGCTATCAGTCAGGCGAGTATACTCGCGTAAGAAATTGGACAACTGTAGGTACGCCTCTTGTTTTTTACCAGACATCCACAAATGTTTCGTGTACGCAAAGGTGACTTGAGGTTGATTACAAGGTAACGGCTGATCTGAGTTCACCGAAGGATCGTACCCTAGTAACATTACCAAGGTTTTATGTGAAAGGATCTGCAACAGTTACAGTCAGCTAGTGTCACGATTATCGTAGGAAACTAACCAATGATCCACTTTTCCGGCACAAAGACGCGTACTTGAGCCAAGTATGTATGTCCTCCTGAGGAGAGAGTACCAACGAATGAATCTGTATGATGCGCTGCCAATCGTCTGCTAAGCGTTGTCCGGCTTGCAATCGCTGCCACCACATTGTGCAGAGATTGGAGCGACGTTCAGGTACCAATTTGTACTGAATTACTTCTTCCATTTCCGCCAGCATTTGCACAATTACCATGGCACCGTAAGCGCGCTGGTACGATTCTCCGGCCATTGCCGTCAGCTCGGTGTCCAAAAGATCACGAGACATGTCAATGTAATGTTGCGCCTACGAAATACATAAATAGATAGATAGATCTATTAAAAAAAAAGATAAAGCAGCTGGATAGGTAATACAGCCTCTCTAAATTATCGTGATAGGGTGCCTGAAACCGTGATAGGTTATTTCTTTTTTGTCGACTGAGCCCTTAACTTTCCGTCTAATACGAAAACATGGATGTAACAGTGGTCAGCACCGATTGGATACGGAAACGTGAACTGATATTGGTCCCTGCGGTTTACAGGACCAAAATTTAAGTCTCAATTCTGGCCTCACTGACACCTGCAGTAAACTTTTTTAACCGCTCAATTCGCTTCGCTTCATTCGAGTCAGCCGCACAAATATTTCAACAGTCCTTTCAAGCCTAATAAGAGAAATTATAATGAAACGGTGACGCACATTATAAATGTCGAGCACCTAAAAATAAACGAGAGAAGCATGAAATGAGAACGAAAAAAAAACCCAAAAAACTGCATACATAAAACCAAAAAAAGGTATATGTGCTTACACCATAGTAACGAAACTCGCATCTACCTTAAAATGGTGTAATTCTAGATTTAAAGGGCGAATGCGGAAATTTTCACACCTCATTTTAATGTTTTTTTTCGGATGCAGACGTTTAGAACAATGTTGCCGTTATCATTTCCAACGACAATGCTCAATCCCCTCTCGTTCACGAAAATGCCAGCACGTTTTAGTATACGACTGTAATTATTTATGCAAAAGAGGTGCGATTAATCAGCGTAACAGTTTCTCAGCCTTCCTCTTACGGGATCTTCTTTTAATGGGAATAAAACGGATATATTCAATTCACTCACTTATGGGTGTTAGTTTTGTGTTTCTGTACGATTTACGGGCCGACGTGAATACTACCGTAAGTGAAAAATCCCTAAATCACAAATTGGTTTTATGATGTCCGTAAAATGCAACTTTCACTCTGGCAAACCTCGAACGAAACTTACCGCATCAACCGAATTTCTACTAAGATAATTGAACGGCTTGACCCGCATAATCAAAACTGTGACTAGAACCACGCAGTGAATACCCCAGAGGCCCCGAACCAAATGCCTTATTTTCTTCCAGATTAATCCCCCTATTCCTTATTAAATAATGAACGCCTTTTACAAAATGGCTTCTTGTAATTAAATCAACCATTTTTCTTTAAAAGCTAATCAGGATCGCCATACTCCAAGAAAAATTAAGCTGTCGTTAAGAAACTCACAAACGAGAATTGTGCTGAATTGTATCTTTAAAATGGATAACTCATAGCTGTGTCCTTATTGGTCAGCTATCTTTGCCACAAAATCCCTACTAAGATAAAATTACCTTCTATACTTCCGACTCACTGTGTCTAGAATTTTCTAAAGCTATCAAGAGGATAATGCGCTATAGATAGCAAATGACGCAGAAAAGACAATCAATTTCACCAGTTACTTACGGATTTTTTCCCCCGGCCATACAATTTATTGGAAAAGCTTGCTATAAAAAACCAAAGCTTCATATTTAAGAATAGCAGTCACACTGTTATGATCGAATACCTACTAAACTGACATACCTCATTGCATTTGAGATTTTTATTTGGTTACAAGACAAGCAAATAATACGTGGTAACCAGCAAAAAAAATTGACTAACCTCATCAAATTGCTCCTTGTGAATCGCAAGAATCGCCCTATAAAACGCTCCATCGTGTGTATCCCTCGGAATAACATTTACGTATCTACAATGCTCACTATTAATACCTAGAAATGCGGTTAAATGGGAATGGATGGGTTACATTTTTTTCCCAAGGAAAATTGTGTCTTGTGAAATGGTCCATCTGCCAAAGGAAGCCTAAAAAGGAATTTGAAGCGGGATGAGTTTACAAAAGGATTTGCCACTAATGACCCAAACACGTTTAAATACCTTTCCATTGAACTCCAGTCGTGTAACCCCCACGCTGACGCCGCCGCCAACCTCCCAGCCTTTTGCTTATTGCTGTCGGTAAGGCCGAAAAATCTAGACTCGACGACATTTCGTAAGGTACTCCATTCACCGAGAGCCTCTAAGCACCTGCAAGCAATACTTAGAATACTTCCACCGCAATAGTGAGTACCTCATTTCTCCCAGACAGGCCTCTTCGTCTTGCTCTATTACCTCAAGCTTATCTCTGTACAGATTTAGGGCCTTGTCCCAATTGTGCAATTTTTCGTACCACCGAACCTGCACTTGAATGTCGCCGCTCCGTTGCATTACGTGCTGCAATAAACCCTCCGCGGCTTCTTTCTGTTGAAGTTTATTGTTGATTGATATTAGGGCTTCGACCACATGACTACTCGTATCTCTTTGGAATTCTTCTTCTTTGTAATGCAAGGCCTTGGCGTACGCTCTATGCAATAGAAAAAAAGGTAATGAACTAGAATTTAGGAGTGTTCAGAGCAAGATAGAGGACACTTTCTTAGGTTTGGGGACTAAATAGTACGTTGGGTACGCCAAAAAAAAACTGTACTTTTGAGATAGGGAGCCACTCGAAAATCCGTGCAGGAAACCAAAATGGTGGCCGTCAAAATGGCGCCATTAGCCGCAATATATTTTTTTGTATCTCTGCTCCTAATATTCCGATTTTAAGTTTCTTTTTTTTTATTGAAAGCTCTTGTGACGACGAAACTTTTTTGCTATTATCTCTAAAACTTAAGGATTTAGCACAATTTTAAAAAAGTGATTTTTTACGAATTTGAATCACAAGTAAGCTCAACCCGATTTTTATGTGTAACATATGTAAGGATTTGTATTATTCAGCACAATATTCTGACTCTTAAGGTCTGATGATGAATCGGTCTATACGATTCGAAGTCGATTAGCTAAAGAAATATTAAAATTCAATTATTTGAAAAACGAGTTTTATTGTATCAATTTGTATCGACAAATAATTCACTACGTCAAGAAAATAGTGGTTGCTATTTAAAAACAGTATGCTCCCTTTGACCGTGCAGAAGTATGCTACTGACCCCAAATTGAATGTACGTGGATTGGTAGCAAACTTTTTATAATTGTGGATGTCATAAAAAGCTTCTTTAAAAAATGTTTTGAAGATAACATTTTCACCCTGTATAAAAAGCATATCCGGAAAACGGTTAGCCTCGCGGTTAGCATTACGAAAAAAAACCGATAAGACCTACAAAAATAATTCTCTTGTTAAGGGATACCCGGGGATACCTAAAAAAATATCAAAATGTATAGGCTGCCCTCGAGAACACCCTATATATCTAAAAATACGTTTGAGGCTTCCCCTCAGGCTTCTCGTACCAACAAACCGTTACCATTAGTCTCAACAATTGAGACTCTATCGCCCGCTTACAGAAGGTGGATTCCCTGTATAATAAAAATGATTCAACTTATATGAATAGGTATAAACTTGGAAATCATAATATTCCGTTCGTAAAAAATCACTTTTTTAAAATTGTGCTAAATCCTTAAGGTTTAGAGGTAAATGTTATATAACAAAAAAGTTTCCTCGTCACAAAAGCTTTCAATCAAAAAAAAAAGAAAATTAAAATCGGACTATTAAGAGCAGAGATACAAAAAATTATATTTCGGCTAATGACGCCATTTTGACGGCCACCACTTTGGTTTCCTGCACGGATTTTCGAGTGGCTCCCTATCTCAAAAGTTGCCTTTTGGTATTAACTATTACCACAGAAAGTGGCATATTCCAATAAAAAAAAGTGCAGTATTTTCCCCATTCTAGCCATGTACCCGACGTACTAAAAATGGAGTTGAGACATAGACGCGTGGCGGAAACAATAGGTACAGAACGGCGGAGATGTTTAAGCAAGTAAACAGCAATCAAGGACCTTACCTACAATGCATAGCACGTTCTCCCAACAGTTGAGGGTCCAAAGGCAGAGGCCCCTTATCGCAATGCTCCATAAATTCGGCCAAATTTAATATCGTCTGAGTAATTTCCGACAAATCGGGTACCATTAAGGCTTGCTCTAAACTGCTGATCAATTCCTTCTGCATGCCATCATCCAATTCGGTCCAGCAACTGACAAAGGCAACATTGAACAAATCCTTGGGTAGCTGAGAGTAGGACTGCGCTAGCGATAGGCAAGAGCGTAAAGCGGGAATGGGCGACTGCTTCAATAACTCGATGCTTAAGCGTTGCAGCCACTCGAGCCAGTCATCCTTCGAAACTCGTCTCGCCGGAGTCCACGCCTGCTGAAGGCTCGAGGCGGACACTTTCAAGCGTTGTATCACGGTCGTATCGCTGGCGGACATGTTTAGCTCCCGATTTTTCTTAGGCTTCGGTCGCACCATCGTGAAATCGGTATCGTCCGCCAGGGTGGTGTCGACGGAAATTTTCGATATTAACGTCTCGTATCGCGTGTGCTGTATTTTGTGCTTCTGCATTATTTTGTTGACTAAAGGAACGAAGATGTTAAACTTTCTGCTGAGCTGCACGATCAGGGAGCAGAGCGTTTCCATTGCTGTGGGTCGCAGCTCGGGACAGTTGTCCAAGACGCGGACCAGTGGATGAACGATGCGCGAAATAAAATCGGAGAAATCTAAAATGTCGGCCAAATGGTCGATCGTTTCGAGCGCCTGTTTCGAAATCGTCGTCTGACAGTCGGGCGCGTCGAACAATTTGACGATCGGCGGCAAGATTAGGTGCATGTAGTCGTCTAAGTTGTTACCGAACTTCTTCAACGCCTCCAGTAATTTAATGGTCACGTTGCGATCTTTCGATGTGTCGTGATTGAGCACCCTTAAAATGTGCGGAATTAAGCGGGGGAGGTAAATTTTAAATTCGGCACCGAGCGCGACCGCTATGTGCTCGATTAACAAAATGAGCGTATTTTGAATAGGGCTGTTAGGAGTCCAGAAGTGTTTGATGAGATTGATGATGTCATCCAGGTAATTGCGAATGTGCTGTTTTACTATAGCAATCAGATGGGCCAGTTGTTGAAATAGGAACTCGCGAAAATTCACGTCCGCGGTGCGTACTACGTTTAGGAAACTCGGAAGTACTTGGGCGATGTAAGGCACGCATTTGATACCCAAGCTTTTGAATATGAAGGTGACCGCTTGGACCACCATAGTGTGATGTTGTGATAAAGTCGGATCGCGTATAATTCGCATTAGTGTGGCGATCGCAATTGCCGGGTAATATTCTTCCAAGGTGCTCGAGCTCATATTCACGAGCATCTCATTTGTACTCAGATCCGCATTCGATTCCTCTTCTTTATCCGCAATTGCAATCAGTACTGGTGCCTCGGGTTGGTAATCGATTTGACCACGGATTATTTTTTGTCGGTACGGATCCAAGGCGCCCAGTAACCCGAGAACCCTTATCGTCTCGCGCCTGATCAAAGCGTGCTGTTCGGTTTTAAGGAAGTTGATCAGGACATCTAAAAGCATCGGGTATTGGTTGTACGGTTTAACAACATGACCCGTGGCGCCAACGAGCTGCCCCAACGTAATTAGAGCAACGCCACGTTTTTCTGGAGCGGAAGCGTCTCCCAACATTTCTAGTAGAATCGTCAATAGCTCAGGCATCCAGTGTTGCAATTCTAATCCACCGCCAGTGGCTTCAGCTAAATTTCCAATGCAATTAAGCACGGATAGTACAACGCCAGGATTAGGCTCTTGCTCTTTCAACTTTGGAACGAGCACTTTAAGTATAGGTTCCATATATGGCCGAATTAATCGTGGCGCGTTTACTACAAGCCGATCCAGGGTCCTTGCACTTTGTTCTTTGTTACGACCAGTACCCGAGTGCTCCAGTTCCGTCAGTAGCTGAACCAGACATTTGCGCAACGATGGCATAACATACGCAGGATTCATGGTGCTTAAACGACCAATTATGCACATGGCCACCTCACGTATTTCGAAAACTTCATCGTTCAGCGCCACGAACAACGCACTGAGCGACTCGGCCTGAGCCAGATGCTTATCAAAAGTGCTATCTAATGAGTACAACACCCAAAAACGTACATCGGGGTGCATATCGGTCATGCCAACGATTAACAGTTTATTCAGAACTGAGGCAACCGTCGCCGTAACCGTTTCGGACGGATTCCCAAGGTGATTGTGAATCGAATGCTTCAACAATCTACAGCAAGTGCGCACCGCTTCCAGTCTGATATCCTTCTCCTCGTGTACCAAAAAATAATCGGCGCAGCGTTGGACGAACTGCAGCAAACTGTGACCCTCGAAATTAAAAGTGCCCAAAGTGCGCAACGCCAAGACAATACTAAAAGTATCATTCGCATCGGAATAACTACTAAAAGGCAGCACATTAGTAGCCAACTGTCGCGGCATACCGGGATGAAGCAGCGGTTTATTAATCAGAATTTGCGAAAGCATCTTTAAAAGCCCCAACGAGATTGGCTGCTTCAAATCCGGTATATTTTTCGCCAACTCCCGCAGGCAAACCGTTAGAGGCATAGTCAGACCCGCAGAATACATTTGCTCCAAAATATTTAAGATGTCATTATCAATGTGATCTTTAACAGCGTGCCCGAGATACATAATGCACTTAAAAACGCTAGCGTCGATGGTGACGCGTTTCTTAGTAGAGCCCTCCCTGTTCGGCAGAGCCAATTTGATAACTTCGATTATTTTCGAAACGTACGGCTTAATCAGATCCTCCATCGCCACGGCGATTAGACCGATTGTGATAAACGCGTTGGATCGTTCTTTCTCGCGCCCCTTCAACGTGTTCAGCAGGTAGTTCATCGCGATGGGAAGGTAGTTTTCGGCAAATTGCGCTCGATTAAATGCGGCAAGTCGCGGCAAAATTTTCAGTAGCACATTTTGTATGTGCAACGATCGCGCGCTGCTCTGCGCGATAACGTCGAGGCAGATGTAATCGTACTTCTCAAACACCATCTGCCGGCATACGGACGATTCGCTCACCGTCTTATGCAGAACGCTAAACGAAATGTTTTGATACGATGGCAGAACCTTGTTGTGCAGCGACTTGAATCGAGGTTGTACGGTTATTGTCGAGAAATGTTCGTCGGCTGTGTGCTTCATATCGGCGCTTTCTTTCAAGCTTGTATACTTCCGTTCCCATACTAAATTTGCGCAGCGCATTAACTCGTTTAGTACCAACAGGGCGCCGTGAATGCGATCGTCCTTGATTGTGTGTTTTTCGACCCTTAAAAGGTCCACTGTTTCGTCATAGCATTGCTTATACCTACAAAAATGCAATTGTTGTAGTAAGACGCAAATTACATAAATTACGAAAAATATAAGTCACTTTGCTTCCAAAGGTGACAGACTTGCACCCCATTTACACGATGCTCCATCTTTTACGAATTGCGTAAACGAGCTTCGTCTCATAATGATTAATAACGATACGTCTAAGACATAAAAAATGATATTCACATGACGCTTCCGTTTTAAATCCAGATCGTGATTCAAAACAATCAAGGCGTAGTATTTCTACAACATTTAAAAGGGATGAACGCTAATGCCTTCGTGATATCGTAATTAGGTATTTGCGTAATATTTAAAAAGTTATCTCATGTTTTTCTCCGGTCGTAGATAAGAGTTAGACTTATCCCTAAAAGAGAATTAATTTTGTAAATAGATGCCACAGGTGTGCGCTTTAGATAAGAAAATTTTGCGTATTTTACTAAAAAAAATAAATAGGGAAGTAGAATAGAAGATGGGACAAGAGAGGGAAATGTGTTAAATAGAAGAGGAAGTGTTGTAACGTCTGTGGCCTTTGACTGTTTTGTCACAGGAGGAAAATTAAAAAGTATTGGGTGCATCCACTTGTGAGACAACGAGAACTTTATTCGTTTTTTGTTGACAATGACCAATCTCGCGTTGGGACGAACCCGCCATTTCTCACGATTCGGAATGTGCACTTGCGCGTAGAAAGTGTTTAAAAAAAAATACCAACGCCGTGTGAACGGGGTGTTATCAGGTATGAGGTACGAAAAACGCTCTTTAGATTCCAACCGGTGGTGGTCCCAGGGGGGGAGGGTCCTCCCCATTGTCCATTTTTTTCATCAATTTTGTGTCGATCTCATTTCCATTATGCGAGATTTATTTTATTTTTCCGTGTTGGGACAAAGTTCAGGTTTGGGCCCCTTCCTTTACCAAATCCTGGGACCGCCACTGATTCCAACATATTCGTAATTCACTTATCTATCAGCCATCTAGAGTCCACTACCTTCAATATACAATCGAACTCTTGTACAGTTGATTGGGTCGGGTGTGGGCTCGTATAGTGAATGGGCAGCTTTAATACAACTACTCATTAGAAACGGATTGGTGCCGATTAGGGCGTTTTCAGCATTTAAAAACGCTCAAAGTTTACTTAAAAACGGCTTGAATTTTGTTGACATATCTAGGCCTAGTAGTAGGTGGGCCTAGGAGGCTAAATGGGGATTTACTTGAGGATCATAGGGATCTATCAAACTTTGTAGATGAGATGATAGAAAGAAAAAAGTTATATGATGTATAGAATATACATCCCTCCACAGGTGGGGAGTCACTAATATATTGGAGGTATGTTAATCTGCCGGTTTGCATGGTGGGGGTAACTGTACGGAAAGGTAGAAATCGAGATTAATTCGAGTAAATCCTAAAATCCTCTCATGGGCTGCTCTTGTTATAAACAAAACTCATGTCTAAAGTGTTGTTTATAATACTTATGCATAATACTACTATTAAATAATCGTCTTATATTTTGATTTGGTGTTCAATTAGTTTATGTAAAGAAAGACTAGGGACAATAAATGCGTGACGTTTTATACAAGTTTATCTCATTTAAATCCGGTCTTGCGATAAGGTGTTCGTTATCGCTCCGTAAAGCTAATTAATTTGAAGTAGGCTGGTTGGCTGGTGTTCGCCGGAGTAAACACATGTGTTAGTTTATCAAAGACGCATATTCAAGTTAGACGAGAGGGGGGGGGGGCTGGCCATGTTTTTGTGAGTTTAATTGGTTAATGGCATTAATAAGAAAGAAAATGTATCGGAAAGTTGAAAGGTAGAGAAGAATGTTTTAAATAGGCGTAGCAGACGTTTAACAGGTCAGTCTTGGTGACTGTAAAGTTTGTGTAGAAGAAAGTCTCGATAATGTTCCAAGAGATTGTAATTTGACAAATTTCATCTTCACCATGTGGAATATTTTTGAGTTTCAGCTTCAAACCTATGGTCTCATTTTTGGTGGCCTACTGCTACACCCATGACTATTGGTTTTTCATAAACTATAAAGACTTCAAGACATTAATAGGGAAATTGCAGCAATCATACCCTTTAAGAATATTAAAATTTGAATTAAATCTCCATCCCCCCCCCTCTCTCTCTCTCTTACAGTATAATGGTCTCCCAAGATTTTTTAAGTGAAATCTCGAATCAAATTGAAAACTTCCACAACTTGTTTCTCCTAATCTAACCCAATTCAAGCGCGAATAAATACAAACCATTGCGGCTTAGTTGTTTGCCTTGCCGATTCACGCTGCGCCGTAACAACCAATGCCGCTCTAAGCGCCTCGGCGGCAGCCTCGCGTATTTTCGACTTAGGATCGCGTACGGCGCAGAATATCAGCTCAAAAAATGGCGAGACTTGCTGATAAAAATAAGTGGGCATAGTTAAAGCTAGTTCTCGTAATACTAAGACGGCGGCATGCCTCTTCCCCTACAAATAGACGTTGAGAGACTACATTTTAAGCAGATCCTTGCTATACTTCAACACGATCGCCTCCCAGCCATTCGAAGGCCCGTTTTACTTCAAAATCAACATATTCGGATGCCTTAGATCCGGATACCAACGCCAATTTACCCATAGTCTTCGCCGTAAATTCCATAACTTCCACGTCGTTTGAAGGTAAAAGGTTTCGCAAATAGTTTGCGAAACGTGAAATTCTAGTCGTCATGTTACCAACATCGGCGTTGATTAGACAGACTGCGCATTAAAGGATCTTAGTATATTAAAAGTGGTCGCTAACGTTTTACCTATGGCCAATATTCCTCCTTTTTTTTCGTTGACATCCGTACTGGACACCATTTCAAAGATATGGTGGTTAAATTCATCGAGGAAGGTGTTGATTTCTTCCGGAGTCGCCTCTCTTAGCTCGCTTTTTACGAAGCCAGACAGTTCGTGTGCTGTCTTGAAGCGAACCTCCTGATTTCGGGACTTCAATCCCGACACAAAGTGCGGCATTGCAACGGATGGCATTTTCGTATTCAATGTAAGACGTTCAGACCATTTCAATAGAAGGAATTATTTGGGGATTTTAAAAATCTCAAACTGTACTTATTTAAAAGGAAGAGCAAATTTATTACTATCAAATTATACTACATCATTTCATAAAAGATATAAATACTAATTAATTAATAGTGCATCATAACATAACCTCTTCTATGACTTGTGGATCAGTGGATCTTTAGCCACACTCTCAGTACAGTATGAACGTGGCTGCGCTACAGATTTTTCATGTGGCAACAGCGTACGCATTTAGTAAAAAGGCCACGAACACACAACTCTAATTTCTATGAAATATTTGTATTATATATATTACAATTGAGCGTTTCGACAGATACAGTATAAATCGCAGCGCGAAATTAGGTTTAGCATTTTTTATAAACTCGGAGTTAATTAAAATGCCAATTTTAATAATAATAATTCTAACCAACTCTGGGGACGCACTGTAAATTTATAGAAAATTATCATAACCTTAGATGTCTAAAAAACTGTACCATGCACCTATAAACAATTCGGATTAAGACCTATAATAGTGATCTGAAAAGATGTGGGGCTATAAAACTCTGTAAAGTACCTACTGATGACATTTTCTAACACTATCCTCGAATAAACTATCAATTTTTTCCGTTGCCATAACTATTGAGATGGCCTTACTTTTTCTGCGTAGACATTTTTTTTAAATTTCTGAAATTGAACATACCTATTGATTAATACTGTGTTAATATGAAATAGTGAATTTAAAGTCGGGCAGCGACAATTACAATATCGGTAGAGATACAATAATTATACAATAATCAATTGCAACATCATTTCGAATGGTTACTTATTAGGAGCAACTTCATTTGTCTTCATTAATTATTGTGACATTCGCCTATTTAATTCAAATATATGTAATCTTGGATTCGTCGTGACCGTGGCGCAGGCACACATTCTTCCATATCTTTAATCCTTTGGTATCTCCCCACAGATCACACCAGCGAAGAATAGGGACTTCCATACTGTTCTGGGAATGTGACTAAATATCCACCTTATGAAATGATGTAGTAGAACTTTATACAAATAAATTTACTCTCTCTTCAAATAGGTACAATTCGATATATTTAAAACTCCCAAATGATTTCTTTTTATTTATTTAATTAACTAATTTATATATTGCCCTACATACTTATCGCCTAATTACAGGACAATGCTAGTACAATAATAATAATAGTGTACAGTATAATGAAAATAATAATAAAGAAAAAAGTTACAAACTAATAATAAAATAGATCCTAATATTTTGCTTTTTGCAATGGTCTGAACAGTTTGTATAGAATACGAACATGGCACCATTGTTAATGCCTTTGGTCGCTAGCTTCACCACCATTATGGAAATGGCTTGCGCTCGTTTATAATTTTTTTTAGGTTATGTAGTTTATTTTTAAGTCTGATATGTTTAAAAATGTATCAGCCCATCAATTCACTAGACATTCCTGAAAATAAAATGCAGGAATTAAAGTCCACCGGATACTACCACTGCAAAGATGTGGACACCGATAATCCTCTCTGGGATGTTCTAACTCGAACTCCGGAAACAAAAACAGCATTAGATTTATACCACGAAGAGCAAAAAATGGGATCAATTCGTACATTTATTGATCATTTCGACGATGCCTTGGGTGGCGGTATTCCCATTGGAAAAATTACAGAGTTTTGTGGAGAATCTGGAACCGGCAAGACTCAGTTGTGGTAGAGAGACCGACAATGCTTTGTTAGACTACAACTTGCAACAGTTTTCAGTTATGTGTTACAGTGCAGTTACCCAGTTGGTGCGGAGGTCTGGACGGAGCTGCCGTCTTTCTAAGTACAAACCAGAGCTTTGCTACCCATCGCATAAGACAAATCGCGCTTGGTGTTGTCAACCATTATGAATTCATTAAAACTAAACATTTAGTGCATAGGAAAAGAAAAGTTGAGGAACTCTGCGTCGACAAGATAATGGGAAATATTTCGCACATCTACATAACTGACCATATAGAGTTAATGGCAGTTTTAATAAAATTGAAACAGTTTATTAATGACCACCCTATGGTTTGGTTTACAGTTTAGCTAAACTGTATTTAATTAGTTTTTTTAGGTACGTTTGGTTGTAATTGACAGCATATCCGCTCCATTGAAAACTTTAAATGGGCAGGAACGAACGACAGTGGTATTTAACTTCTTTAGAGAAGTGCAGAGATTGTCCCAAGAATTTTGTTTTGCGGTATTGAATTCTTTCTACAGATAATTTTGGCATTTTATTTTGCAGTTTTAGATTGTTATAACAAATGATTTAACAACAAGAATAGGTTCCGGCAGTGCAGCATACCAAACTCCCTCGCTAGGTGGAAGTTATTATCATAGGATAAATTTAAGAGTAGAACTTGAAAAGAAGTCCTCTCCTGTATTCAAAGCAATTATAACCAAAAATGCATTAAAACCAGAACGTGAAATTGAATTTACATTATTAGCATAATTAATTGATAATTAATTTAAAGAACTGGCTCTGTGATACATTTATAATTTGCATTTTCTTTTGTATTATTTTCAAAGTAGTCAATAATCATTTTTATTTGTAATGATTTCATTGTGTTGTTTACTGGAGGACATATTCTGCAAAACAAGCATTATTACCATTATACACCTGAAGTGTCAATTGACAGTTTCTTATAATATACTTCGAACGAGGAGTCAGATATCCTAGGGTTGAATAGTGCTCGCTCTCTACTTGCATTAATTTCCAATTGTCTTTGTTTAAATGTTAATTGTGCTTAGGAGGCCGTGAATCGCAATCTGTACCTCATCGTCCAACTTTCAGATGTTATCTTACCTGGCAGTTTGTGGCTTGTTCTGAAATTTGCTTTTATTCCATTCTAAAGTCAAATCTTGACAGATGTTTTACAGTTTACCTACTCCAAAGGTATCTTTCTTGTTGTAAGTGTACAGCTAGTTATTCTGCCTCACCTTGTATAACGGTTAGACAACCCTGTATTGCGACGTTTTAATGTACTTGCTAACTTCATAGCAATCAACCCAAGCGTATTGTGCTGTCATGTCGGCATCGTTTAGCTTATTTTGGCGAAGTGAGAATAAATTATAAACAATTTTACGCGTATCCATTGTACTAATTTATTATCATAATTCGCTGTTCGGCGTGTCTACTAACTTTTATGTTGTACCTAAGTTAAACAATGTCCACGTTCGAAGGCTCATCTGTGGGTTATGTAAATTATAATTTTCAAAGCACAACTTTAGAGTTAGCGCGTTGCCAGTGGGCAAACTATAGTGATCAGCACTACCTTAAGTGTTGCAAATGGTCACCTGACGGTACCTGTCTTTTAACAATCGCGCGTGGCGCCGGTACTCACGTCGTGGAGCTCCCATCCGATCTATACACTGGCGAGTCCATGCTCACAAGCCGTCCCGTTAATCCTCTATCTCCCGCGGTAAGTGTTCCCGAAAACGGCTTGATCTACGACTACTCATGGTATCCCGGAATGAATAGCAGTAATCCGGCAACTTGTTGGTAAGTCGAGTGATTGTCAATCGGAAAAAATTATAGTAGTATTTTAGTTGGGTGGCGAGTGGACATGAGGGTCCCATTCATCTTTGGGATGCCTTCACCGGCGACCTACGCTGTACTTACCGAGGATACAACAATGTCGACGAGTTGGAAGCTGCTATTAGCGTAACTTTTTCCGCTGACGGTCAGAATATTTTTTGTGGTTACAAGAAGAATGTTAAAATTTTCAGCACTAGCAGACCGGGACGCGAATACTTGGAATATGCCACTCAACATCCGGCTTCGTGCATCGTTTCAAGCATTGCTCAACCAGGTGTTGTCGCTATAGGTGTGTATTATTAATATTTGTAACCCGTTTTCAGTTTTATTACAGTGTTTGTGTACATTTCAATGTAGATTTCTGGCTGTTGGAAATTGCATGTAGCGATAATCCATCCTGCATGCTGCTACTAACTTTTCAGAGCGAAATTTGTGTAGTTGTGATCAATGTAATCATTTAAATTTTTTCTGTTTAGTTCATTCTGCGGAAGGTGAAAATTTACAACCATTTTCGTATTGGTAGTAAGATGATTCAATTGGATTGATATGAATTATCAGGAAACGATAGTGTAACCATAGCAATTAACTCGGTAACCCGGTTGATCCTTGGAAATTCAATTGGATTGACAAGGTTCCTAATTGCTGCTACAGTTACCATTGTTTCTGTGCTAATGTCGAGGAACTCTGTGTTAACCTGGGCCTATAACACAAACTATATAATTGTAACAAGTCTACAAGTTACAAGTAATCTGCCTGTAACTATAACTACAAGTCCTACCAAATTCAGTATATGCAAATGAGTTGTGTTATGAAAAAGCTACAAGTGTAATAGTTATTTATGTATCAAGCGCATTAAGGCGATATTTATGCCGAGAGCGACAGAGCCCGAGGCCCGAGGGACTGTAAGTCGCCCGAGGGTTAAATATCGAATAATGCCTGAGGTGCATACAAAATTTTATTTTTCATTGTTTCAAATAATGCATTTCCAATATACAAATGTAATGATTATTGTTAGTGCTCCATACGAATCAAGTAGCATCTTTTTTTATTACATAACTCCATCAATATATTTGACAGGCAGTTTGAGGGCATAATGGATTGTCGTCTCATTATGCCCTCGGGCGTCATAGACTGCTTTATATATCTCATATGACAGATAGGTATAGTTGGCATATAATAGGCAAATGAAAAATAAAATTTATTCTAACAATTGTAGGACTTGTACGGCTTGTGTTATAGGCCCCTGGTTGAGTTCTAGTTAGGGTGCACCACATTTGTTGCTCTAGGCGTTTCCATAATTTTGTACCGACACATTTCAATTTAGTAAAATTTTGAATTTACATTTTTCCATTCATGGGACATTTTTGTTATTTTCTACACATTACTGGAACTTCCTCTCGCATATGTTGGAGCCAAAAAGCTTTGGGTTTAGATTCTCCCACTATCTTTTTCCCTCTTTTGAGGACCAACTGACAGTTTTACTCGTGCTGATAAATTTAAATGTTTATTTTTTCAGTATAAGCTGTGACGGGCGTAATTTTCATTAAATTCGGTTAAGGTTAAGAAGTGCAGGTAGTTTAAAAGATTTTTTTCCGCCCGCTTCTAATCGACCCTCTCCTTTTCGTTCAGGCACGTGGAAGAACACGGTCGAGCTAGTGTCTCAGAGCGACGGCACGTTCCGGCACCTGTGCAAACTGACCGGCCACAAGGGAGGGATCACAGCGATGGCGTTCTCGATGGACGGGATGCGGCTGTACACCGGAGCGAGGAAAGACAACGAAATTATCTGCTGGGATCTACGAGTAAGAGTACTTCGTCGATTTCATCATTTTTATTAAAGGAAATTGTGGTAATATTGTATTTAGCATTATATGTTTACCCTTGTCGCGTTTTAGGTGCCGGGCCGACCGCTGTTCTGTTTGGGACGTCAGTGCAACACGAACCAGAAAATTGCAATCGACCTCTCCAGTGACGGAAGATGGCTAGTCAGCGGAGGCACTGATGGCAAAGTACAAGTGTGGGACGTATCGCAAAGTGTAGCTCCCACAGTACATATGGAGGTAAACATTTTAGGCCGATTGTTTAAATGTTAACTGTTGTTTTACAGTTGCCTCTACACACTGACTGCTGTAATGGAGTGTCTTTGCATCCCTATCGACCAATCTTGGCATCATCATCAGGACAACATCATACCTTGGATCCTCTGCATCACACCAGAAGTGTCTTGGTATATGAAAATGCTCTAATTATGTGGTGGGTGGGACCTCAACAGGAAGATCCTGATTTCGTTGGAACTTACCTCAAAGTTTCATCTGGTAACACCTCTAACAACTGAAGATGTGCATAACCTCTGCATTAATTTTGCATTATGATTTAAACGAATATCGTTTAAGGACAATTTTGTTAGTCACTTTGTGATACAATACATAATATCATTAATAAAGTCACAGTTTTATCGATTTCGTTTTCTTATCAATTACAGAATGAGTAATTTCAAAGGTATTTATTTATTTATTTATTTATTTATTTATTGTCCCTCTTGTTGTAGGCCCTCAACAGGCTTCCGCCCAATTACATAAAGGGGTATTTACAAGGGTCAATTTTCGCTGTTTTTTATTAGTCGCTTAACAAATGTCCTCAAAAGCCGTATCGCCACCCCATTTACACAGTTGACAAATCGCAAGCGACTAAACCAAACACCTTAGAGCCAAAAACAACTTCATGCGGCAGGCGATCGTCTGCAACTGACCATTTTCATGGTCGATTTTAGTCACTTGCGACCAAGCTGAATTGACATTTAGACGGTCGATTTTCGCCGCAACCCGTAAACCCCTTTTAATAATAATAATAAAGTTTATTTGAGCCTTAAATACAAAATTAAAACAAAAATAAAACAACAAAAATACAAAAAAAAGTAGCCCAAAAAAGGGGTGAATTCGGCAATACCGTTAAAATCTATCATTTTTCTGCTGTATCGGTACGAGCATTCGGAGCTTTGATTATATACTAAAGAAAGGGTACGAGGTGTACAACATGTATTATTTATGGTGTACACTGTATAGACACTTGGTACAGGGTGACCTATTAATAAAAGTCGCAGGATCAAACCGTTAATTGCACAGCTTGGGGAAAAGAGAAATCACGGGAAATTATGCTTAAGTTTCTAGGTCTGCCGCTAGAGGGCGCACGATTCATCCTTAAGCGTGTAGTGATTATCTAAAGCTTTATTCGTCAAGGACGGATTAATAGAAATATGTGGGTGGGGGAGGAATTCCAGAACGGGAGGAGAAAGACGAGGGGGTCCGGAGAGGAATTTTTTGAAAAAATACCTTAAGAAGTATCAGATTTAGTGGTTCTAGACCGACAATTTATAATGTAAAGAAATATTAGCTTGAACTACTGAAAATGCAAATATTTCATCGATCGCAGTCATTTATAGAAAATCAAGTAATTATACCTGTTTGGGAAAATTATATCGCAAAAAGCAGGGAATGAAACATACAACTCTGGAATTATGGATCAATACTACATAATTACTAAAACCCTTTTGGATATTATATCAAAACTTTTAATGTAACATCCTTTATAAATTAAATATGTATATTTTAAACATAATAAGACAGGATTAAACAAATTAATATACCTACTATTTAATTTTTTCGTTTGCTTTATTTAAAAGAAGATTTATTAGAAACTCAAAATAAAATTGAATGAGCAATTAGGTACATTTTTGGTGTAAATACAAATAAAGAAACTGGTAAACGCAGAATAAGTCGAGTAAGTGCTTACTTCTTGAACTCGAAAAACACTGGTTGAAATCAGTTAAAACATGTCTTTTCTTCTTTTTCCCCCCTTCTCTATTTATGACTTTCTCTTTGTCAATGGATGACTCTATGAACATATATAATAGAGCAAGTGCAGTCAAGCGGGTTTGGCCCTAACTTGTTTTTTGTAGAGCACCGAGAAAGTTGAACGATTACGTTATTGTATAGTTGACTTGTTATTGTATTGTAGTATTCAAAAGAGATATTTTTATTCTCGAAGTGCGCATTTTCAATAACTTCATTTGTATAAATTGTTTAAAAAAAAATTAAGAAGAAAACCCTAAACCTTCAAAATAACTTACTGACGAACTCCGCTGAGTTAGGTGCGCATTTTTGAGTCACTTGGTTCTGCCTCTCGGTGGGGGGCGGTCGCCCCCATCGCTCCCCTCTTTAATCGGTCACTGTTATTCGTTATTAGGAATTTTAAGAGAGTTGATTCAATCGAAACTAATTACAGCCTATTATGGCATTTTCCATTCAATTTCTATCATATACAATTCTTGCATGGGGCGATTCAAATACTTTATTTGCCTTACAACGGAAACGTAGCCGAATCATGAGAGAGTGCTGTAGGAGAGGCTTTGTTGAGCTAGGTACACAGGGTGGTGCCTAGCGCGACGCAGCATAGAGGGATTTCAATGGTAATTTCATAGTCAATTATTAGCTCCCCTAATCATTTTAGAGCAAAAGTCTAAATAGGTTTTTTTAGAGAAAAAAATACTGCATCTGTTCATACGATCACTTATAATTTTCCGTTTTTCAAAACCGTAGAAATCGACAAAATAAAAAGGTACATTTTACAATAAATCAGATATGCCTTGGAATTACCTAAAAAAACAGAGATAACTTTGCATTATTTGCCTTTGACGTATAGGTATTAAATTTATACTAATTTATAAATTAGTTAATCATAAAATTGTTTATCATGTAGGTATGTAACTGAAGAGAAAGAGGAAATGTTAAAGTTGTTTTATGCCCGCCAAGTAACGTGTTTATTTACTGTGAAGTAACCCAATCGACCGATTCCAAGCAGTACCACAGTAGACAGAATTGTGCGCAAGTTTCAAAGAACAGGACCAGCACTGCAAGTGCAATAACGTTCAAAATGTCCTTCAAAACCATCAGGAAAACGACTATACATTCAACGGTTTGGCTACCGTAGCGGAAAATCCGAATATAAGTTTAAGAACAATTCTTCCTCAAATCTATTTCTTTTTCTTCGATTATGTACACTGGTTCCGGAAAATGATAAACAAATAGTATCTGATGCAGATGCAGCATTACATTCTCTAAAGAAAATTACCCCATAAACGTTTTTTCTTGCGTCGGTTAGTTGAAACAGAATTAAATATGAAAATCATTCATTTCATTTCATTTCATTTCATTTATTCGTTGTTGCTTTACCTTATAGTAGGTGGCAACACCATGTCCCTACTTAATAAAACAAAACAAGTACTATTTACCCCCCCAACAAGAAACGGCACTACAAGATAATAATTCAACCTCGCACGACGATAATACAATCACCACACCCGTCAAGATACCGCCTATATTTATTCATGATGCTTCAAATTACAAGCAGGTCATCAATGATATCAAATCAAACGTTAAGAACGGATTCACCATTAATAATAAAGGTTCCCAAATTAAAGTAAACTTAAATACCATCGATGATTACAGAGCGCTCACAGCCTACTATGATAAGGAAGGCAACGTCAAATACCACACGTATCGAAGCCCCGACACCGCCAATCTTTCCGTAATAATTAGGAATCTCCCGACATCAATCACAGACGATGAAATTAAAGAAGAACTACTGCTCAAAAACTTTTCTGTATCTAATGTAACACGCCTACGCAATAAGGACAAACAACCTATTCCTATTTGTGCAGTACTCCTGGCCAAAGAAGAAAAATCTAACTCCATATTCCAACTAGAAACCTTATACCACTGCAGAATAATAGTTGAGCCGAGACGGGGAGGCAGTGGCATACCTCAGTGTACACGCTGCCAGCGTTACACCCACACGAGGAACTATTGCAAGTTACCCCCAAGGTGCGTCAAATGCCTAGGGGATCACCATTACTCCGAGTGTACCAAACATCGGGAAGAAAAACCGCGCTGCGTCAACTGCGAAGGAGAACATACAGCCAACTTCAAAGGGTGCCCACATTACCAACAACTAATCAGCAACAAAAACCTAAACCAGTCTAATAACCGAAACATTGCCAAAAACCATCCAAATACCGGCAGATACACTTCCCCACACACGAGCTATGCCCAACTGTTTCACAACAAAAACACCATAACCTCAAACGCCAACACGAATGATAACAGCAAACCTAACCCCAACACATCATCCACAATAGTCGAAACCATACTTCAAGCTATAATTCAGGTAATTACACCACACCTCAACCAAATAAAAAATTTTTTTCACTACTAGCGTCTGATGACATGATTATTAACCTTTTTTCCACTTGTAAAGTAGGCTTTCTCGGCATTTGTTTAAAGTGGTTAATAATTTTTTATTATTAACTAGTAGTCAATAATGAGAACTGTCACGCTGTCACTTTTAGAAAACACAACCCGAAATTTCGCTCAATGAACGTTTAGACAAGTTCTCTAAAACGAATAATTGCCACCATTCGAAATTTCCAGAGAAATTACATACCTAAAATTATCACATTTTGAAAAAATTCGAACGAAATTACTCTTTGAAAAATCTCAATGACAGAACAAAATACGGCCTGTTTGACTTGTACTCCCACGTACTTGATTGACATGTTAAATTAAGAAACAAACAATTCTGTCCAACCGTTAACTCTCTTATCAATATAATATGTTAATTTAGAGGATTTCAAGTGCTAGTAGTGAAAAAAAATAGTATATATACCACGGTAGAGAAGTCTATTATTGCCTTCGCACCTTACACCCCTCGGCGCAAGCGCCTCGAGATGTAATCTTGGTGCTCAGGCAATAATAGTGGACTTCTCTACCTTGATATATAATGTACTATTATTATGTCCTTAATCCCCTCATTATTCCAAAATGGATCCCAACCATAAACATAATCTTAATAATTTACTCATCACAAACTACAACGCAGATGGAATAACTAGGCAAAGATCTAGTATTATCGTATTTTTATCACAGCATAACGTCGATATCAAATGTGTTTCTGAAACCCATTTAACCAACGAACAAATCCTAAAAATTCCGGGCTACAATATCTACCGTAATGACCGTCAAAGCAATACAGCATCTGGAGGCGTCGCCATCATTTATAAGAAAAATATTACCGCGCACCAATTGGATTTACCAAAGACTAACACCATCGAAACTGTAGCAATCCAGGTCGAACTCCAAAACCAACAAAAACTTAAAATAATAGCCGCCTACAAACAACCAAACAAAAAAATCGCAGCCAACGACCTGCAGAACATCTTCAACGACAACACCCCAACACTACTAATAGGCGACTTAAACTGTAAAAATACAATATGGGGCTGTAGAGCGACGAATCCAGATGGCGCAAGACTTTATCAATCTCTTACAACGCATGGCATCCAGATATCACCACCTCCCGAAGCAACACATATTCCGTACAGAGCCGACCATAAGGAAGACATCCTA